TTGATTAGTAACTACAAGTCGATTAAAAGAAAGTTATAAATACTATCCAATAACAAACCAAGGTGTTGGGCCAAGATCAAAGTATTAAAAGGGGGAAATTTTTGCATCTAAGTTGCAATCAGAGGCAAGTAAACAGTGGCTCTTAAAAGGATGATAAAAGAAAGAAAAAAGATCGAATAGAGAATTGCAAATGGTGCCATATTTAAGCCAGCTTAGTATTCTGTAGTCGTATAGAACTTTGATTAGTAACTGCAAGTTGATAAGGGGAAAGTTATAAATACTATCCAATAACAAACCAAGGTGTTGGGCCAAGATCAAAGCATTAAAAGAGGGAAATTTTTGCATCTAAGTGGCAATCAGAGGCAAGTTAACAGTGGCTCTTAAAAGAATGATAAAAGAAAGAAAAAAGAACGAATAGAGAATTGCAAATGGTGCCATATTTAAGCCAGCTTAGGATTCTGCAGTCGTAAAAAACTTTGATTAGTAACTACAAGTCGATTAAAAGAAAGTTATAAATACTATCCAATAACAAACCAAGGTGTTGGGCCAAGATCAAAGCATTAAAAGAGGGAAATTTGTGCATCTAAGTGGCAATCAGAGGCAAGTTAACAGTGGCTCTTAAAAGAATGATAAAAGAAAGAAAAAAGAACGAATAGAGAATTGCAAATGGTGCCATATTTAAGCCAGCTTAGTATTCTGCAGTCGTAAAGAACTTTGATTAGTAACTGCAAGTTGATAAGGGGAAAGTTATAAATACAATCCAATAACAAACCAAGGTGTTGGGCCAAGATCAAAGCATTAAAAGGGGGAAATTTTTGCATCTAAGTGGCAATCAGAGGCAAGTATACAGTGACTGTTAAAATGGGGATAAAAGAGAGAAAAACGATGGAATAGAGAATTGCAAATGATGCCAAGTTTGTAACCAGCTTAGTATTCTGCAGTCGTAAAAAACTTTGATTAGTAACTACAAGTTGATAAGGGGAAAGTTATAAATACTATCAAATAACAAACCAAGGTGTTGGGCCAAGATCAAAGCATTAAAGGGGGAAATTTTTGCATCTAAGTGGCAATCAAAGGCAGCTATACAATGACTGATATAAGAAATTGAAAGAAGAGAAAAATTATCGAATAAAGAATTTAAAATAGTAAAATTTCTTGTAGCTAGCTTGATTTTCTGTAGTGGTATAGATCTTTTATAAACATCTACAAGTCGATTGGAGAAAAGGTATGTATACTATTTATTAACAAACCTATGTTTATGGCCAAGTTCGAAAGCAGTAAATGGGGAACATTTTTCTATCGAAGTTGGAATCAGAGTCAGTCATACAGGGGTTATTACAAGAGAATTAATAGAGAGAGAAATGATCAAATAGAGAAGTTAAAATAGAGTCATGTTTCTTTGCAACTATTATAGCTGATATTGATTTAAACCTTAATAAATATTTAGAAATCGATATATAGTTCTTTTTTCAAATGAAGGTTTTAGCACACGATTTTAGGTAATAAATGTGTAAGGGTTTTTCCATGCTAGTGTCAAACTGAGACTTTCGTCAAAGATTGTTAAAGGAAAAAGAATTGAAAGATTGCTGAAACTTACTAGTATAACTAGTAATCGTTTGAATGGAGATATAAAAATGTACAAAAATTATGGTAACTTTAAAAGCAATTGTTACCTTAGAATAAAATAAAATGCTTTTATGGCACGATTTATCCAAATGTAGAATAAAATACAAGCAATACCAAAATAGTTATTTTGAGCGAATATCGGAAAAAAGGAAAAAAAGTTAGAGAACGTCGGTTGTTGGTTTAGTTAGAGGCAGCATTTTTCCCAAAACGAAAGATAAAATCCTACATGCATATGAAGGACGTGGGGGGTGAAAGGGGGTATTGAAATACGAAAATACGCCTACTTTTAGTGAACAAATACGAAAATCCGCTAATTTTTCCGGCGAAATACGAAATCCGTCAAGTTAATGTGTTATTTATACCAATAGTCACGATATCATGATATGTATTTGTTATTGATCCTCACAGCTTTTCCATATCGAGTGGAAACTCCGACCAGAAACGTCGACCTTGTGTCGAGCTCAGAATTTGTTGCATCATCATCTTTGTCGTTAGTACTTTAATCATACTCGAGTTCAATTTCGTTTCCAATGCTGTCAATTTCCTCTGCATCAACCACTGTATCTTTATGATTTGCAAAGTTAGCTTTCTCTGTGATGATTAGCTTTCTTTGATAGATCATTTCAGGCATGGGTTTTGCCATGGTCGTTTCTTGACGAGTTGTCCTCTGACTTTTCATCCATGTTTATCTGAGGTAGTGGGGAAACCAAAGGTAGGGCTGATGAATGAATACCATGCTCTGGCTTTGGATACCATGAGGCTTTTTCACTTGTGTGATAGTAAAAGGATGATGATGACAAGCACTTGATACTTTCTTTGACGGTTTTGCCAAAATCCCTACAGTATTCTTGTTTTGATAGTAAATTATGAGTGTTTAATATGGCTTGCTGAATGTAGATTACCCACATCTAACGTCATGCAGCTGAGAAGGTTCGTGCCTACAATTCCAAGAGATGACATTATAGGATCCAACCTCTGCAAACCCCAAGCTAGAATATCTACTGACTTGATTGTAGCCGCAAAAACCATCTCCTGTGGTCCATTTAGGATACTTGGTAAACGTTCTGTAGAACGAACTGCTCTTTCAAAGTCCATAAGAACTTGCTTGCACTGTTACACTTTGTTGGATGCTTCTGACTGTGTCATGTTTGAGTATGACTGTCCTTTCTTATGGACATACGAACAAACTAACATCTTTACATGTAAATGAAAAAGCTGTCCAAAATGTGCAAATCAGGGGGGTGGATTTGAAAATTTTTGAAAAAAAAACGAGACCGAGACAAAATTGAAGTTGCCAGTTTATGAGTACTTTGGATTATGAGTCTCTGTTGTAGGCTGTAGCGTCAGTTAAGTGAGGCAGTAGCGAAACAGAGGCTCATGGAGTAAGTCTAACTGTGAAGTCCGAAATACGTCGTAGAATATCGGAAAAATACGTGATCCGCCAAGAAAACAAAATACGAAAATCCGCTCTGCCAAACTGATAAATACAAAATCCGCTCCTTGAAATTAACGAAATACGCCGATCTGCCAAGCCTTTCACCCCCACAAGGACCCAAGAGAAAAATTCAAAGCAAATACCCAAGTATGTAGAATATTGGCAGTAAATTTAAGTGCCTTAAAAATACATTTGAAGAAGGATATATTTTCCCATGTACGGTGCATGCAGCTCGGTATATAGAAGAACAACAAGAGAAAACAATTGGGCGAACCTGAGGGGAAACCAAGGATGAATTTGTTTTCGGAAAAATGATCGTTCAAGGGCCAACTAGTATTACTAGAAGTGGACAGAAGTAGGTAAAAGTGTACTTAAGACCCAATTTAGAAAAATGTGGACCAATCATTGCTGGCCGTTAGAAGAGGGTGTATAATAGCAACGCTCAAAAAAGTTCATGCCCCTTTGAAAAACTTTAGTTGCCCCGTTAAACCTTGGTTTTTTCATCTAGATTCTTTACTCCCCGTTGCCTTTTCTCATCGTACTCAAAAGTTGTCGAGTGACCCTTTAACCCTAGCACAGGGCACCGCTGGCTAAAAACCTGATGACCACAGCCCCTCCGACTGTCCAAAAACATGATATACTTCTTTACTGCATTTGTACACTATGATAAATCTGAAATTAACGCTTTAAACGCTTTTAGCTTCAAAGAGGAGGGCTAAAGAGCAACTGCGTAAAATTAAGTTAACCTTAACCAACGACAAATTTCATTTCCGTGTGAAGTCGATTCCATGCGTTGGCTCCTCGAAACGCAAATGATTTTTGGCCAAACGCTGTTCTCATTTTTGGTATAGCAAGATTACATTTTACCACGGATTAGCCTGGTATGAATATAAGACGATTTTTTGAAAAAGGCCAATGAATGCGTTCAAATGACCAGTAGATGCACTTTTAGCAAAAGAATGATTAAGATCAGGACATATTTTCAGTTTCCAATTTTCGGCTAATTTTAATACGAAAACCTTAACTAAGGTTTCTTAAGTAACAAGCGCTAAAAGGCTACTTTTGAAAAAGACAAATATCACATGAAAACCTAACATTGCACAACAACCTAAAAACGAACACTTAACCGACCGCAAGGATTTCTTTGTTTTCGTCTCTCTATCTTTCTCAGTTGAACCAGAAACTGGCATCATCTTCGAAGAATTGTCGAGCAGACCTTCAAGGTTGCAGAATATTCGATCCCCCTTTTTTGTATTATATTGTATCCCTGCTGTCGCTTTTTAAAAGAACATTGAGAGAAGAGTGAGAAGTCGCCAGTGTTGAGAAAAAACGTGAGGCAGTCTCTCAAAATTTGCGATCGCGCATACTCGCAGGGGCGTACTGTAATGGGGTTAGGATCTTTTTTGTTAGGGAAGGCGGCAACCATGGTTGGCAGTAGGAAAGAATTTGCAGATATGATATTCTAGTTATTGGTCTAGAATGTCTACCACATCGATTCATAGCCAAGTAAGATCCTAGGCACCATGGGTAAACTTTGTATTATGCTTATGCTACATGGTAGTATAATCTGGTTTGATTTTGACAAGACAGGATTCCCACTCCTTGTTTTTCCAATGAGTTTAAAACAATCCATAAAACAAATGTGTACCTCAAAATAAAAAGGGAAGGCAATACACTTTGCAGGCAAATGGGACCTTCCCCTTAAACTTCTGCCTTTAAAGCTGCCACGGGTGACTTAACCCATTCGAGCGATTCCTAGGGGGGTTGAACACTCAGCACCACAACTTAGTTGTCATGGTTTTCTTCCTTGATTGGCACCGGATTACCACACAGAACTAAGGAGCCTAGTTAAATCCTCTAATTATTTGGCTACTTTGCAAAAGTCATCTACAGCACTGCTCACTTTCTAGATAATACATTCAATGCAAAAAACACCCACCTTCGTCCCCAATACACGATGACATGGCTTTTTCTCTACCAGTGTTGGTCAGAACATACGAACTGTAACCACCCAGCCATTTTGTTTAATGATTTTACATTAAATGCATTATGGGTAAAAAAGCTCCTTCGCATTTATATAGTTCAAAAAGTGGCAAAGAACGACAACGGGGATCCCTGAACACTTTCAATAGTTCAAGCTAGGTGATTTGGGGTCATATTTTTACTACCGCTTTTCACTTCAAAAAAGGCGTCATTAAATTTGAACGGATTGTGAGCATTGATAAAATGAAACTGACTGATATCCATGGACTTAGTGAACGAAGCAATTTAATGGCCTTTTTAGTGCTGCATCTCATTGTCAAATGGCTAGATGACCATGACAAAAGACCTGCAACTTTAATGAAATTGTTTTCCCGATCTGCTTGTCACTCAGTAAAAACGGGATAAGAAGAAAGATTTATAAGAACAGCTATACCTTTATAGCCTATGACGTAGAGATAAAAGAGCTTGAAAATCTTAGATTTTTTCTAATTGCATGCTAATAAGGAACATGTTTTTAGAGCGAAACTCAAAAAGGGTTCTACATTCAGTCCAGTATCATTTATCAATGTAAAAGAGCTTTTTCCCGCTGAGAAACTGGTGCGAATCCTGCGATAATCTGAACAGATATCAGAAAGATAAACCATCGGAGTGAGACAGTAACGGATATATAATGAGAAAAAACGTAACTAAATCTTGTTACAAAATACATAGATATTATGCCACTTGATTACATGAAAGTAGTTTTGAACTCTCTACTTTTGCAATTAAAACAAAATAAAATCAGACTTTATCGTAATAAATAGAACCTCGATACGAATGACGTGTCTGAGAACCTTAAATCTCTACTATACTCGTGTTAAAAAACTATTCGACTCGATGAAAATGTAAAAGGTTGAAAAATCTAAATATGAAAATTACCGAGGGTGCTTTAGACCAAGGCAGGACAACATAGATCCTAGCAGGCATTTCGTTATGTTCATCAGGTATAACAAACGTCTTAGAAACAAGAAAGATGGGGGGAGGTGGATGCCGCCCGTATTCAAAAGGGGAAAAACCATCGGGCCCAAGCAACCGTAGGCCATCGATGACATCATTATTTACGAAATGATATGTGATGCTATTAATCACACACGATGTGCATTGTAGGAAAAACGAACAGCACTCAGAAAACAAGTTCACTGACGAATGTCAATATTGCTACATGAACTATGTAGAACCAGATGCGGTCTTTTGACGCTGCTTAGCATATTCCGCCGATAATTTCAGATAACCTACCTAATGAGCAACTCTTTCTACAATTAGTATAAATCGACTTTGCAAACTTCGCAGAAACGCAAGAAAGGTTTGCATGCGTCTAAATCGACCAGATATCTATGACTTGCTATCCAAAAATATTACTGTTTTACACTGAATATCTTAACATAAATTTGATCAATCAAATACAATTACCAATTGATATTTACATTATTTGAGAAGCCCATGCATAAATTAGCAAAGAACAAACAGCAAATTTAACAAACTAGTAAATACAATTCCAGTTACTCTTTTCAGCGTGACCTGCTGCACTAATAAATCATTCAAAGTTCCAGCTATTTCCTAGAAGCTTTGTCCTTTCTGCCCAACCTAAAAACATACAACGTACTTTAGCAAACCACTTTTCTGTAAGGTGTTTTAATAGTCCTAAGGCTCCCTATGACATTCTAACCTATAAAGGAGACACGTTGTTAGAGGGGTGGAAGAGCAAAGATGTGCTTGTGGAGTTCCTTCTAACCGCAGTCACAAACTCGCCCACGTCAATACGATCGAGGCATTTACAGATCACCTTCTAAAAATCTCTAAAACAATCCTCTTGTCCGATCAACTAGCATTTATCTAACGTAAGGGTGATATCCTCTTTGATTTGTGCTGTTTTGAACTGTTCCTCTTCCAAATGCAGCCGAAGTGTCAGCATAGCTTACTCCAACACCGTAAGCCGCTGCTGCGTCTGCGGCTCCTCCATAAGCAGCGGTCAAAGCCCCAGTTCCGACAGATGCGTATCCGGTTAAATCGGCGCCAATGCTTCTGGCTGGTCCAAAGCTTGAGGCCTCCTGCTGGTAGTTGCCAAAACCTGCAGATGAGAACCAGGGTAAACGTGTGAGCCATACCATGTTAAGTTTTTCCGACCAGAGAAATTCTCGGCTTCAATCATGAGCAACTAGCGGACTGGATGCGAAATGAACTGTTCCATTGGAGGCCTCACCGAGCGAATCAATGAACAAAGACGGTTTAATTGGAATCTATCAGTGCAATGCTAAATTCTTCTTGAAAAGTTATTCTATACCTGTCCTTTTAAAAAAGTGACAATGAATTGGGAGAAAGAAGAGCTTGTGTCGCTGTTTAGATTGAAAGTTCAAGAAAAATTACAATTTATATATACTTATCGGCTGATCTAAGAAGCGAAAATCGCATCAATAGAATTTACTCCAATCAAACGAAACTCCAATCAATGACATCAAACTGAAAGCAATTTGCTGGCACAAAATAAAGTGCGCCAAGTAACGGATGCGATGCACTCAGAACAATGCATTTTTGGCGGCTAGAACATGCAAAACATTGCATAAAAAACATTGACCAAAGTGACACCACGAGTGGAAATTTTCTTGCGTCACAATTTTAAAACTGAGGCATGGAAAGACAAGGGAATTTGACCTGACTCAGCTAATCTTATATACGTGCACTGAATTGGTTTCAGCCTATGAGAGTTTAAAAGGGGCTTTTAGAAAGCCTTTCGGGCGACACGATCTTGATCTTAATGCCATGACTGGTGCTTAACTGAAGCGGCCCTTCACAGTGCGACTGTATTGTTGGCAGTCCTTTGTTCAACAGTGGAGACATCGAAATTTGTAGAGTATATATATCAAGATTCACTCACCATACATCTGAGCTCCGAATGAATAATCTGCCCCTGGTGCGGCTGCTCCCCCTGCGGCCGCAGTAGTTTGGCTAGCCATGGCAGAGGTCGAGGCAACTCCGTATTGTGATGTAGCAGCACCAGAAAGAGCACCGTAACCAGCCGCGCCATATGCTGAAAAATCAGGCAAGCGTCGTCAGTGAATCAATAAATGAACAGGCTATTTATAATGTTTACATGGAATAAGATGAAGAGATTCTCGTGAGATTCATGTCAACATGTTGGCTGTATAACTTATCAAATAACCCAAACATTTTTTATTTAGAGTATTTTATCATTTCCAGAAAATATCATAGTATAGACAGCAGTCTAAGTATTTGTTTATTTTCTCAAAAGGACTAACCATATCCAGCTCCGTATGGTCCTGCGGCAGCTCCTGGTGCCTGCGCGTAACCCGCTTGCTGCAGCATACTGCCGTAAGCGCCGTAGGCATTTTGACCGTAAGCCCCAGCAGAGCCATCGGCCTGGCCATACGCTGCACCTGAAATTTAATCATAAATAAACGTAAATTAAACAGGCAGTTGCGCTTCTTCAAATACAAAGTTCGGTTGCACTGTAACAGAAATACATTTTGATATACACCAGGTTGACATGATATCATTTTCAATAAATGTTACTAAGTTTTTAACTCCCTTCCTGCCCCGTTAACAAGGATACTTCCCTGTTGAGTTGCAACTACAATCCCTGCAAAAACTTGGTACACTGGTTAAATTCTGCAAATTGTAAATAGCACCCCTCTCTTTTCCAGGCAGTGTTCTTTTATTGAAATTTGTTAAAGATGGGAGTACGGTATTATACTTTTCGCCCAGGAGCATTCCTATTTTCACCACAAGACTGACGCGACAGGGCGTTTAAAGGGTTTAATGCAAGGGGTGTAGCCTGCGTGCAGATTGAATTTTCATTGAAGATTGTGCAGAAAGGTAAACTGCCACTTTAAATAAACAAATAGAGAGCCCTCCCTGTATTACCCTTTTGAAAACAATGGAGAGCTAGTAAAAATTGACATGCCTGTCATATCCGCACCTGGTGCCCCCATAAATTGTCCGTTCATATTCTGCATTTGACGCTGTTTTGTCCCTTGTTCATCGCAGCTTTTGACTTCAACCTGCAAAAATTAACTTTGTTTATCATTTTATGAAGCATTTCCAAAACTTGAAAGGCTAGTTTTTAATTAATTGTTCGTGCCACTGACAATAACTTCTAATAGTCACTATTTATTTTGCAAATAATTAATTCAACATTGTTGATTACTACAAAAACCTTAACTGATTACCTTGATTATTCGCTACATTACCCGTGCACTTAACGAAAAATCTAACTGATTATTTCTACTTATACAGTATTGAGTCTGATGTAGTAAACATAGGCACTGTGGAATGATTAACATCTACTTTAAGAAATAAATACTTATTTTCACCATGCGATAATTAAAGGCGCCAAGCAAAGATTAAGATCGAATGCATCTAGATGTAGAACACGCAGTAAAATAATGGACAGGCCTTTCTTTAAATTGGCGCTTTTAATGACACTCTGGTGCTTTTAGGAACTAATAAACTTATTTGATACTTATTCATTTAGAATGCATGTTACTTTGAACTGAAATAATTCATGAAAATCTACATTCCGGTTGGCAATAGGTTAATCAGACAGAAGTCAGCTAACGGATTTCAAACTGGACTATTTTAAACTTTTAATTATAGAAATATATATTATTTTCGGCTCGACATAATAAAATACCATACATATTCAGTGCTACAAGAGTTTTATCTAAATAAAGTCTGGTGAAAGGCAGCGCGAAGATCCCCCAATGGAATGTGCAGAACATTCGCTGGAACGTGCACCTGTTTTGCTACAATTTATTTACATTAACACGTGACAGTGGCTGTGCAAAGCTATGCTAGACCTTTCAAGAAATAAACTTGGTTGCCAATCTGCAATATGGTCTGCATATAGCTCGACACGCAACCAGAATTTCAAAATGCCAGACAGTGATCAGCTGTTGCTCTCCTGCTCTCGCTGTTGCCAATGATAGCGCAAAGAAAGTTGCCTGGCACTTTTACTAAGCCGACAATCATTCAACAAACAAAGGTAATTAAATATAATTAAACTACACTACACCGTTCTTCCGTTGATTTGGTGGAAGTGAATTCTCAGGAGTCTTTGTACTGTATCAGGGTTGTCAAAACCAACAAATGCAAATCCTAACGAATTAATTATGACAATGCAATTAATCAAATACTTCGGTAATACCTGCGAAAATAGTTGACATCAAGATGAATTTAATGCAAATAATGAATGCAAATACATAAATAATAGCAGTAGCCCTTCTTGTTCCTAGATACTGCTCGATAATATCTCAATAGCATTACTTAATTTAAATGTCAAACTGGTTGCTCATCAACAACTACATTTCATGACAAAAACAGTACTTTAATTTACAATATGAAAAGCAACATGATAAAACTGCAAAAAGAAATTGCATAAATAAACTACAAATTTATAGAAGAACTACATTAATTCAAGTCAAAACACTTAACCACAATGGTAATTATCTACTGTTCATACTCATTAAACTTTGTCAATTTATGATAAAAACAAACAAAAATACACCAATACAATAACAACCGTAAAATACATGAACTGAAAAAATCATCACTCGACCATAAACCTGACATCAATAAAAACTTATCATAACTCTTTAAATCTGGAAATGCTGAATACTCAAATCTCAATTAAACTTTTCCAGAACTAATCTTAATCCAGAACCAAAATTTTTCTAGAACCTTAATCCATTAAACAAGGCACACAAAAGCAACACAACATTTAAAAATCTGTTATAGTCTTGATCTACCATTGAATGCCATTTTTATGCTTGCTTGACACAAGAGGATGGGAATGAAACCTTGCTTCAAGGCTTGGATTCTCCTAAAGTTGCTTTTGTGTTCTTGTTGTTGCTATTGATAAAATGTTAATTCATACCTCGAATATTTCCTGTATTTCTATCTTGTGGAATGACAACTTCCATTACCTGAAAGTAGATGAATATAAGTATGTCAATATCCCTGTATTTAGTATATCATGCATCTTTCAAATATAAATTTCAAGTAAAAGAACAATCTTATTACAGAAAGTAAGGAAGAAGACAGCAACTGTATTGCATGTTAAGTAACATAACAGTAGCATTTCATGACACTCACATTGCCATACTCTGAGAAATAGGCTCTCAGTTCATTATCTGTGGTTTGTTGGCTGATTCCTCCAACAAATACTTTACATTCTGGATTCCTTGACCGAGATCTTGCAGCACCGGAAGTCACATTTGATAGGCCCTACAAAATGAAATTATTTCAAATTATTGGCAAAAATGCACAGCATTTTAAAACTCTTAAGGACGATTTTGTATTGGTAAGTGTTTTTGAAAAATGCAAAGGCTTTGAGAAGCAATTCATTATATTATCAAATAAACTATGGTTATTTTTTCAAATTTTAACCCTAGGTTCATTTCCATTTCTGTTAATTTATTGAGGGTCAAGACTATTCCTTAAATAAATATGGAGCAGTGAAACAGACTGTTCAGACTTCACATCCACAAAATACGAATTGAGAACATTATTCAAACTTATCCTTGACAATCAGGGCATGAAAATAAAAAAGGATAGAGTCAAATTCCAATGATTGCATGACAGTTTAAGGTATATTTATAAAGACTTAAACAATTTTTAACCAATTAAAAATCATTATCTTTTTTGGTGAATGAAAATTGTTCTTCATTTATGAATGCCCACATAATACTATTTTTTGAAGTTATTAAAGATATATTTTATTCAGTAAAATGACCATGATATGCAATACACAGAAGAGGCCTTTGGCACATCAATATTGCAAAATTTTTAAGAATTTTCAAGAATTCTGCAAATTATAACATAGATTCTTAAGGCAGATGAAACACTGCAAATTTTAATCAAACATGAATTTTTAAAAACATTCTCAAGGGTTCTTAGGTAGGAAAACCATTTTAACCTGTACAAGACACGTACATAAGATAAATTCCTTTGGTCTTCATGTTTCCCCTTTTGATGAATATAAAAGAAATAAAGGTGCTTTGTGCAAAAGGTTACTTTTAAACAAATATCTTACAGATCTGGTTGGTTCAGTCCTGGTAATATTAGGCGTGCGATTGCATGTGCGTGCATCTGCACAGACCTAAAACCCCCTTGCGGCCTACCTTTTATCAGCTCCATGTTTTGAATAACTTCTTGAATAATTTTGAGCAATTCTATGTTTTTATTTCTCTCTAGTAATTTTTAATTTATCTTGAGTGCATTATCTTAATGTGCATTATAACCCTTTAAGGCCCCCCCCCCTCATTACTCCCTTTTGATATGTCTCTGTTCTATAATTCCATTCTTGTATTTCCCTGACTACTTTGTTTTGGTGAAAACAATATAATGTGTGTTTCCATTGCTCTATGTTTTCCTGTTTTTATATTGTTTGTTCCAGCTCTTTTTGAAACTGAAAGTGAATGATTATTTGCTGTTCCCTATGCAAATGATTCTGTTTTCAAATGACTCCACTTTGAACAGAATTTTCATGACTTTGGTTTGGTATCAAATGAATCCATTTTTTGCATATTAATGGCACTCAAAATCTAAAACAGATTAATGGCAGCATGCCTAAAAAACTTGTAAACTCTTTTGAAATTATTTGGTTTTCAAGAAACTTCTTCTAAAATTTCGTGAAAACTATTTGGTTTTAAAAAAATCTCATACGCTTTTTCAAACAGTGATGCACATCTTTTAACACACATGTGACATATAAAGGGCTATCAGATCTTTGTAAAAGTCATAAGGTCTCCATTTCATGAATCCCATGTCATCACACACCTAAACTTTTCAAGGCATGTGATTACCGGCACGCCAACAAATTTCATATTACCAGGACTGTGGGCTAGGTGGGTTTTCATGCCCTGTTTGACATAATATAGCATAATAATAAAAATAAGATTCTGTCTAACATTTATATAAGCATCAGAATTTATGACTATTCCCCAATATTGTCTCCCTAATCTAAGGAAAACACAATGAATGCAGGAATGATCAAAAAATTTTTGCCCAATAAGACACCAATGCTTTCATGAAAAGAGAGCGTGGCAACACTAGGGCAGTAGAAATATGAAGCTGCTTAATACTATGGTTCCTTCTGCTTGTACCTTAACCCTAAACATCTAAGGACAAATGCTTTAGCAGTTTAAAAAACCATTGATAAAATGGTGAGTTTTCACACTTTTATAGATAGGAGCTATTATAAACTTTTAGGAAATTGTAGGAAAATATAAAAACTTTCCCTTTATATATAAGAAAATAAGAGTTATTTCAATAAAATAAATAATCACTAAAATGCTAGGGTTTAAGCAGTGTACAGGGTGATACACAATGTGGATAAAAGATTCTTTCAAGCCAAGAAGATTGTTCTTTAGTAAGTGATACACTGTGTAGAAAATGCAGAAATGTTAAGAAAAGTAAATACAGTTATCACAAGGCAAATAAAATGAAGGAGAGTGTCAAATTTAGGCCCAAACTGAGCTTCTATTTCAAAATATTTGAAATAATTGAGTCTTGAAAAGAAGATTACTTTGAAATATTTTAATTTCAGACTGAAAGCCCTGTGTTGTACAAAATGCAGCTAAAATGAATTTATAACAAGAACAGTGATAGGATATTTTAAATGAATATTAGGACTAACCATTTGCTTCAAAATTATGCTCTGACCAGGTCCTTTAGGTACAGCTTTCTTTGGATCAATCTGTAAATTGTACACAAATAAGCTTAATGATTCAAAAACATGCTCACCTCGAATGGATTACATGATCAAGTGAATGGTAAGTACAAAACTGCACAAGTCTCAAAGTTAAACATTTGCAAATTCAATAAAATGATACAGACCTGTTTGCCATCAAGAACATGAGGGACTTTGTCAAGGACATCTTGAGCAGATCTTGCATCAGCAAAGGTAACAAAGCCAAACCCTCTATGACATAACAAGAGATCAGTTGGTTTTAAAAACATTATCTCTTTCTGTCTGGTGAAGTTACACCATCATCAGTCATAAAAAACAGCATATCCAAACAGAAGCTTGTCACACTAAACAATAAAAATCTATATTTTTCAAAGTATATTTTAAAATAAAAAATTATCAGAACAAGGCTTCAACTTTCAGCTGCAGAAATTACAAGTAACAGCTATACCTATAGCAAAACATTGAACTCAATTCACAACAGGTATTACATCATCTTCTGTTACTGAAAATGTTACAAATTTTCTGGTATAGACAGCTGATGTTTTTTATCATGAGGGATTCTAAATCAAAGCATAAATAAAAATCTATATATAAAAAAACACAAGAAATATGGATTTACTTCAATAGCAAACCATCTTGGAGTACTTGGTATTAACACTAGTAATCAAAATAAAGACATCATAAACATACCTTGATTTCCTTGTGACATTGTCAATCATAAGCTTGCAATCATTAACTTGACCAAATCCAGAGAAATAATCTCTCATTGATTCTGTTAGGTTAAAACAAAGAAAAATTGAAAATGCTACATTTCAACAAATCAGCTTTTGTTAATTTTTGCATGTGTTTCTAATTATATAAACTTAGATTGTTGCTCAACCTCAAGTTCGAAAAAAATCTGCGAAATGCAAAAAAGTTCACGCGAAATATGTCTTGGACATGTGCAGTGAACTTTTTCTGGGATTTCTTGCCAAGAATTTATCTTTGAAAAAAGTTAAGACGAGATTAACTTTTTTGACTTTTTGCTTGCAAAATCCTTTCAACGCCAATCATAATCCATACTGCTTTGTCACGTTTCCAAGCTTTACATTCCAATGTCGTGAGGTCAACAAAAACATTCACAGAAATTTTTCAGGTGAAATAGTTTGCAGCAAAATTTCACAAGACTTTTTCACACTGGAGATTGGGCTTTATAAACTGACTCTTAGATTGTAACCTCTTTAAGATTGTGAATCTTAGATTGTAACATCTTTAAGATTGTGATTCTTAGATTGCAAGTAACATCTTTAAAATTGTGATTCTTAGATTGTAACATCTTTAAGATTGTGATTCTAAGATTGTAACATCTTTAAGATTGTGATCTAAAGTGTCTCTTAACCCAACTTTAAGCTATGCCATCTTATAAAAATAGCCATGAAAAAGTCTTATGAAAAAATCACATCTTTGACAAACAAAATTTAGAAAAAGATCAAAACAAAGATCCCTCAAGACTTTAATTTTGTCTTGCTTGCTAAAAGACACAATTTAAGCAAACATATTCAGCATTACACTGAGAAAAAATAATTATACCTTCACTTGTAGAAGGATGAAGTCCTCCAACAAAAAGTTTCCTGAAATTGAAGAAAAATCAGTAATCCAGGTTGATTCAAGACACTTTGGAAAATAGCAAGAAGCTGCACAAGGCTGCATTCAAACAACATTTTTCAAATAAAGCCCTAGCCCCTAAAGAGATGTTAGAGAGTAGATTGGGCTTTTTCTGAAAGATACCGCATCAAGCCACTGTTACAATGACAACCTGAAGAGTTTTTGACCATTAGTTCCATAGCTGACTTAGATAAATTGAAAATCAAGAGCAGTTGTGGTTTCTTTTATTTGTTCTTCAATTTGTGATCTGTGTGTGGAGCAGCAGAGTACAGGCTGTCATCTTGCGGTAAATTGTCCATTTGGGTTTGCAAAAGGTAAAGGCAAAAGGCAGGTTTATGTCATCATAGAACCTTTGAAAAATAATACAGTGCAGTCTTGGTCATAAAGATATTTTTATGTGTGTGGCAAATCACATGCATAATATATTTCATGTGTACCATTCACACATTTTCCTAGGGCTTCCAACAACAGGGAGCCGTGCCCACCCTCTTTTTTGCAAAGAAATATTCTTTACAAAATCTTTTTTCATAAATTGTTAACTTGTCTTTGCCCCCCCCCCCCTACAACTTGTGCCAGAGCCTGCATTACCTGTCTGGCTTTAGTTCTAAAAATTTTACTTTTGGTGGGCACTTACTTTCAGTATTGCATGCATTTTTGGGAATTAAAAATCATATTCAGTTTTGGATTGCACACAGTTTTTGAACTTTATGACAGGTACTTAATCTTCTGAAAGAATCATTGCCATACCATCATTAAAATAATAATTTTTGAGCTGTCTGTTTACATCAAATGCTAGTGAAAAGAACAAAAGTTTAGGCAACCCCTTCGAAATGTAATATCTAGCACAACACCCAGAACTAAAAAAATAGGTGTAATTTTTACTGTTCTTCTCTCAAAGTTTCCCCTTTCATAAGAAAAAAACTTCATTGGAATATGCTTGTCACTATAACATGTTAAACTTCAATCCAGATTTACCTAAGCTTACAATATAATACAAGCTTGAGGAAATGTTTCCTTGTTTTGTGAACTGAAGATTTTAAAATAAATTGAAGAAGGAAGTTGTTTTGTATATAGATCGTACGTCCTGCTATAATAGTTTATTTGCAATCATCAATATCAATTTAAAACTGCAGTATCAATGACACTCTATCAAACAGCTGCCATATATGAGACATGCCAGATGCTACCCTTGTGCTATTTCTTCCCAAGATGACCAAAAACAAATTTTAAACCAAGTCTGTCATCAGTGTCAATTAATCATTGTATATATTTCCACAAAATCTATATAGTATCATCATTTCATTCCATCTGTCTATCTATATAGAATCAGCATCACAAATTCCATCTCATGGTAAGCATGTGTAGAAAAAACCAATTCTTGGTTTAAGTTTTTTCTCAAATTTGGACTGTTTTCTTCAACAATTTTCGTTTTCTAAATCTTGGATAGAGCTGTTGAGACAAACCCATAAAAACATGCTTAGCAGCATATATGTAAAGTCTAGCCTCTACCTCCCCCGGAACTTAAAGTTAAGGTTTATGCCCTTTAATATGATGCAAAAAATATCACATTGAGCTGGGGGAAGGGGGATGAAAAATCTGATTATGAACTGTCCAAGATTTTAGCTAAAATTCCAGAGAGATCTTAACCAACTTAGAACTTTTTTGATGCTTGGTAATGACCTTCACTGTCTCTAGATAGGCCTGTTCAACTTAAAATAAAAATTTCTTAATATTTGGCTTCTAACTGGGTTTTTAACCAAATTCTTAACCAAATCATTTATTCATCTACAATCATAGACATGCTTTTGTTGTATAGAACACGACATTTCTAAGCTGCTACCACATGCAGTATTGAAACTGGTATGAACATAAAATCAGCGACATGGGATTGAGATTTTGCACCACTCCCTGCCTGGATTTCATGACAGTTTTCAACGAGATATCAGGAGTGCAGAAGATATTACCCAGAAATTTCTCAGTTTTTCTTGAGTGTGTGCAAACTTTACAGCACTTATTCTGTTAACATCAATTTTACAACTCGGGGAAATTCAATGGTTGAGAGATAAACTATGCTTACCTACCACTACCATCAGTGGCTGTTACTCAAAGTCCTAAAGGTTCCGCAAGCAAAGGAATAATTTTGGATATTATGTTTAAAAAGCCTGAAATTATTATCCCGAAGGATTATCTCAAGCAGGGACACCTAGAGAGGGACAGGGGGCAAACTGCTCAAGGGCCTCAAGGTCTAGGGAGCTTTATAGAGAAACTCTTTTTTAAGAATGGAATTAAGCAAACGTAACAGAATTGTCCCTAAAAAATATAAAAACATTTTTGGCGATTGCAAGAAAATGACTGCAAAAAATAGTCTGAAGAGTATTCAAGCTTATCTAAAGAACCTGGTGATCATAAATTTTTTTGCTCACTTCACTTGCAACAGGCCATGTTTTTCGGTTTTGCCCCAGAGCCACTAAAATTTCTAGGCAGCCCTGATCTCAAGAAGATCATTTAATTAGGAACATCACACTTTTTTGCAACCTCAGTTGCGAACAAATTTAGAAAGTCATTTTGTCATATTTGTAAAAGCATTTTAATTTGAACCAAACCCAAAACCACTCCCATATTTCAGGTTTGCAAGAGTGCACTTGTAATTTTACAAAAATTAAATGAAATCCACACTGGTCCCCACCTATAAATCAACATACAAACCAACTTTGAAAGGGGGAATGGGATAGACGTTTTAGTATATTCACACATACATAAAGGTTCCTATTAACAGGTGTAGCCATGATTGTGTATAATTTGGAAGGCTTTTTTATATTTTTAATTTTTAGCATTCTTCAATCTGATAGGACAACAATTTATTCAGGTTAGCCTTTAGACTCAGGGTCAAATATTTTGATACAACATGCCATTGCTGTTAAAAAAAACGCATTTGACATTAGGTTATGGAGTTTCTTTTAGAGTTGTTCCATATTCTTCTGTCACACTGTTATATCACTAATTGAACTACGCACTTCACTGAATGAATTCATTATAATTTATTTCTATACACGACTTATAATTAGCAAAATAATTAACAAAACACAAGCAGAGCGCACATAAAATCAACCTCTTGGTAACAAACTAAATTTTTCAATTATACACGCACAAAGTTGTTACGATATTTAATTTGCTTCTAGATAACAACAAGATCACTCATCTTTTAGCTTACAGTCCGAAATTACTGATGTTTTAACATGTAATGTAAATTATCATCAGCACCGTCACTGTCGATATAACAAAAATCGATATAACAGCCAAGGCTTAGGCCCGCGTGTTCGCCCTGAACGCAAAGAAACCTAGACATAAGCTTGATCAAGGTCTTTTCTGTATTCTCATGACTCTTTCGATTCCTTATATTAAAAACAGTAAGAAACCTACCCTGGATCATCTTGTTGACCTACAGTTCCCATCATATTTGCAAAAATCTGATGGCGTTAAACAGTCTTCTCTGAGTTCACGTAAAAATGGCGGAGAAAAGGAAGTTGAAAGAACGTGTTCTGTCAATAATTGGTCTCTAGACCCCAGTCCCCTATTCATGTCAAAGCGACCCAACAATCCCTCAGCATTGTTTTCCGGACCAATCTTGAACTGGGTTTATGAGGTGATAGTACCCCTGTCTGGGCTTGTTATAAATACATTGACAGAGATTGCACACTGATGTTATTTCTCGCGTTACGATGGTTGTTCTTTTTATAAGCATTTAGCTTTCTGTCATATATGGAGAATTCAAAATCTTTGGGGCAAAGAAGCTCAACGAGTTGAACCAAGGAGCAATTGTCATCAAATTAGGCGTGTTTCGTGTACTATATTGACACTTTCACGTATCAAAGTTTATTTCAATGTTTGTGTGCCTTCTATTGGTTTATTTTTTGCAGAAAAAAAGGTGACAGAGTGATATTTAATTCAAGAAAGAATGAACAATTTTTCAATGATCTGTACTACAATGACTTGATCTCCTGATTTGCTTACCTAAGACTGGTAAGAAAAGTTTCCCAGCTCTTCAGTTTTCGACATTTATCAGAAATAAATCTGCAGAGGCGGATCCCGAGTGAGTTCCTTGGTGCACAGAACCCAGTCAGTTTTCCAACATATAGCTAAAAATAGTGTTGCCTGAAATAAGTAATATTTAAACTAAAAAAGTGAAACCTAGAAATTATAAGTTTTATCGCAGTCTCTTGAAAATCTTGAAATTGCCGGTTTATGTAATTCGTTCGCCCTTTTCCTTCCTTTTTCTCTGTCGTGATTTTGAAAAGAATTTTCCAGACTTTGTGGAGGACAACAACAGTCAATCTTAGAACTCGGAAATAAACGTTTTCTGCCTCGAAAGTCAATAATGTGCACAATAATAGTCGATGGAACTCAGTCAAAAAGCATCTGGAACTCGGAAATGATACCATATTTGTAAGAGAGCTGTACAACAGCCAGTAGTTGATTGGCTAACTATTGTTTCTGACCTGTTGTGGAACTGCAAAACTTTGAATTCTTATTTTCACGACCCTCACAGCATTCTAGCAGAATATTAAGCGTTTGAGATAAAACCAGAAAGTATCGTTAATTTTCCAGGAGCATTAAATACTTTTATTTTGAATTGCAGTCGTTGATGGCAAGGGATACCTATGGTCAGACGGAGCACCATATTTTGAAAGATAGGCTGGTGTCTACGTAGGCAAAGCAATAAATTGCGAGCAAAACAAAAGGGAAAACTTAGCTGTGGCATCCAAGACAAACAAGAGGGTATTTAGAAAGGGAGAGGGTTGCAAAAATTTTCACAGAGGCACTATTTTCTGTCGGAAATAAATTCATAATCTAGATTTAGTGAGGGGATAGTACTTACCCCCCCCCCCCGACCCCCCGGTACCAAAATGCATAAATATGAATAATAATGTTGTCTTAGGCACAATTACCAATTCATTATCTGAAAGACCTTAGCCTTGACCTGGAACCAAGTCAGATTTTTTGCTGGACCCGCCCCTGAATCTGGTACTTCTTAAAATCCAAAAAGATCATTCTGGAAATATTTTTCACCTATAAACCACTTTGGAGAAAGGTTTAGCAAGAAATATAAGACACACCCTTTGTATGTATGTATAAGTGCTGAGCAGCCATCCTGTCTTTGGGAGTTTATGGGTGCATTTAGAACTTAACTACGTTTGTGAGCATAAATTTACTCACAGGTGGCTTACGTATATATTGCTACTAAGTAAGAATAACCTGACGAAAAACAATAAAGAAAACAGCAAGACTCAAATATTGAATGATGTTAGACAATCCAAGGTTGAGCTCTAGTATCCATGTTATTCATAAAATACGTGTCGTTAAACTAGCTACAACACAACGTTAAACACTTACGTCAAACCATTTTTAAAATTCTGCACAAAACCCCATAGTGCCAAATCGGCACATTAGCAAAATCTAAGTACGATTTGGTTTTTAAATAAGCATTCCATTCCATCAAATTTCAAAACTGCGCAAAAATGAGCATTTTGCAAAAAAAACTATCATTGAAGAGAAGCTTAACTTAAGAATGTGTGTCTATCAAAGCAAAAAAAACCTTAATTTGAGCAGACAGAGAGAGTTTGCTCTCTCAGTCGGAATCATAATCTACGTAAAGGCAAGTGATTGTCCTTCGGTCAAAATAAGTAACCAAATTGTGAAACATCAACAATAAAGTGACTGTAAGGATCTTGACTTTGTCTTTTAAAATTTCCCTTTCCTTGATTATTGAAAATAAATTTTTTATAACTTTTGAAAGTATATTGTTGCGAATGAAATATTTTGTTGCTGGATGAAAATTATTTTTGCTGAACAGGTTTGTCTGAATCATGATTAAGTTTATGCATTATATGTGTTCTGAATACCCGTCCCTTTAAGCTGATTTTATTCTAAAAAGCCCCACGTTGATTTTTAAGAATCATGGAGGGAAGAAAAACTCAGTCGTTGCCGGATTTTTCCATGAATTGCATTACCGAGCTTGCCAAAGAGAGGTCAATGACACTTGGCTGAGAAATGCTATGTTGTCTTTTCAGCCTCTGCAATGAAAAAGAGGACGATACATTGTTACTTAATGTCATCCACATCCATTCAAATGTTGTGGATATAAAGTTTAGCTGTTATTCTACGGTATAATACAAACTATTATATGTCAAATCAACTTTTATATTCAATGTGTAAAATCATAGTGAAATTAGATTTTATTCGCTGCTAACTATCCGTATACTTGAATAATGATCTTCACTTCATAGCAAAATGACGGTAACTTGCCTTCAGAAAAAGATAAAATTATTTCTTCTGAATAAAAAATTTAACATAGGTTTAATTTTCAGCTTCATTCGTTCAAGGATACACAATGGCAATTCGATCGTATTTTGATAACACGCTTAAATCGAATGTAGAAAATCCATAAATAAATAACTAGTATTTATGTCATCACACAATGACATGTAGGCGGAATTTCAATGATGGCTTTTTCACTAAAAGCCTTATCAGGTGATTTCGCATCACCTGGACGCAAAGATAGATGAACACGTAGAGAAGGTGAGCAGAATATAAAAGCTAAATACAGACAAAAATCGACATTTGCGTGGATAGCGAGAAAAGTTACGCAACATACAGATCTTTTTTCATCCATATAGCGCATGTGTTTAGAGGTCGTCTCTGACAAGCGATTCCTCTGAAGAGTTTTGCAACAACGGAACCTTAATGTTATGTAAGTTAACGTGCTTTTATGTAAAATGTTTCTTTGTGCCAACATGATTTCGTTTTTGTATAACTATTTAGTAAAATAATTTTTTGAAATTAGCTAAATTATCAGCAGAATTGGGTATGGTAGGAGGAGATTGGAAGGGCAACAACGATTAGGAAAACTGTTGTGCCATTTGGCACCTTGAAACAACCCGACTATCATTCTTTCGACTTTAGACTGAGCTTTGCCTAGGTTTACTGAACAATTAATAGATAATCAATAAGCTAACAAAGTAAAACATTTTTAATAGTTCTTTGATTTAAAAAATAAATCCAGGAAAAATAAGGTAACAGTTAAAAGAGTTTTCATGCAAACATGGACAAAAAATCAAAAGAAATGCGTCCTTAATCACACTGTTGAACGTGATTGCAAGAAAATATAATTAGCATGTTTAGTCGAATTTTTCGTCGATGAAATGGAAGCAATTGAAATAAAAAACTGGTTCTTTAAAACTCGAAAAAGTAAAAGGATGGTGTAATTATTCCTGCTTGTAGAATAGGATTGTAGTTCACGAAATTTGAAATGAATTTTCTGAATGAAATAGTATTTTTCTTCCTTTCCTGAATCCTCGTTTTTCGCAAGTCTTGATAGGCCACCTAAGGAATAGAAGATTTTTCCAAGTAAGCGTACCTCCGGGTTCAAACCATACACACGCAGGCCTGATTTTTAGAATAAACAATACCAACCCTTTTGCCTTGTTTACGCAGCGTTTCGAGGATTTCTTGAAAAGCAGGCCTTCTTGATGCTTCATGATCCCAACAAAGTTCGAAAAGCTCCTAAAAATGTTCAAAAAACGCTCTGACTAATTATACTTCAAACAAATTCTCGTAAAATTCTTTCAATTAACATCCAAAAATCCGAGAACATCTTCTGTACATAGGTTTTTACCACATCATCTGTTCTTAATTCAACCTGTCAATGCAGCATATATGAACGAAAATTCGATTTCGCGTAAACAAGAATCATTATCTAAGCATTTACTCTCCCAACTGCAATCGGAATATCATCCAAGGCATTCAATCTTCTGCCGCATGAAAAGTTCCATATAACAATTTCTAAATGCTCTTCCGCGTATGGATACACCTCCAAGAAAATTTCATACAATATTGTCCTGAAAAGAAAAAATATCAATACATCATTGTGATAATTACTTGATAATATAGCCTCAAATTTCTTTGAAAGAAGTGCTGCTCTTGGTTGTCTAGCATTATCCTAAAGCCACCTTTCTCATCACAGCTAACTTGTCTGATATTTTTTTAATGAGGTAACTAAACAAAGCCTTGTCCTCGAATATCTTCATCAAGTCGTTTACTTTCTAACTTTAAACTTGCATATCATTGAAAAAGATTAACATTTCTTCGTTTATCACTGACCACTGACAATAAACTGTACACTGAAATCCTAAATTGTTTCTCTAGTGCAAAAAAGCGTACCCATATGCGAAAACATCTCCGGCTAGCGTAGCAGATCGCTCACTCAACAGCGTGTTTTCCTTTATCCGAAGCGACTTCATTAATTCTGGGCTAAAGTACATGATCTGACGGTCAGGGATGTATCCGTAGCGTTGGCTTAAAAGAGAAGCGATTATCGTTACTTTATGAATAATTTTTTGTTGCATGCTATGAAAAAAAAATGTTCTATTTTGCAAGCAACCTCAAGCCTCAACAATGATGTGATCGCGTTTGTAGTTGGCTATTTCGATCCACAACAACGTACAAAAATATTCTAGCTTAAAATTTTCGATCAATATCCTGATTTAAATAGTCTTAAAAGTGTCAGTAAATCAAGCACCGATATTGGCTCTACATTGGATGAACAATACATGATTCAATGTTTTCATACTGTAGCACTGAGCATGGCTTTTAACAATATGGTAACCCGCTTAAATCCGGTCAGTCTTTCGTATAACAAATTTACTACTTACTTCACCACTGGGATGTGCCTGCTTATGTAGTCTGTCATTGCTATCTTCACTTTTGACTCCAAGTAAACATTTCTTGAGCAAAGTTTTCCCAGTTCAATCTTTTTAGCATGCAAATATTCCATACCCTTCAAATGAATGAAACAAACTGTTCAATCGAAATCAGAACATGTTGCTTTAGTATGACTGACTGTTAGCCCTTGAATAGCCTTCAGTGCAAGATCAAATTAATACAGCAGTTGCTATTTAATCAAAAGGTAGTTCAGGATAAAAGTTACCAGCCGTTAAGAAGTTTAAGTTACTTTAGAATCATAAAGCAAAAAGGCTACCTGGGCAATTTGTATCGCAATACTCAGCTTGAAATAAAGTTCAAACATTGTTTTCTTCTCATGAATATGCGTGTATAGGCTGAATCCTTTGACAAGACTAAAAAAGACATTTTTAATTAGCAGCATTTGAAAATATTTTTAGAATGACAAATCTATTTACAGTTACAAATATAAATTATATATGGAATTTGTATCTACGCCAGGAAGGTAGGTTTACCAAAAAGGTAAACTTGAGAAAGAAGTGCCATGACCAGCCCCTATCAACTACCAATATTAAACACCATCTATATATACTTAGATATTTCAAATGACATACTTGTTCTACCCTGGGTGACATCCTTCGCAATCCCTTTCCCCCGTTCTTCATCCTTTAAATCTCTGAGGCTCTGGCACCCAGGGTCAGAGGCGGCGCCAGAAATTTTCCGACAGAGGGGTTGGAGCTTCCGACAAGGGGGCTAAAATGACTAAAATAAGCAGTTTTCGTACGTTATTTGTCAAATTTGCTCCGACAATAACCTAAAATTTCCTCCGATGGGGGGGGGGGGGCTAGATGCTTCCGACGGAGGGGCTGTAGCCCCCCTAGCCCTTCCCTGGCGCAACCACTGCCCAGGGTATACATTTTCACACAAAAGCCTAACATACCCCGCTAACTAAACGAGACAAAATATTTCTTCACATGAAAACGATCAACAATAAACCAATCTGTCTTATAACCCAAAATATAACCCAAAGACAGCGTGTAATTAAAGATAATGGCTTACCTTGTGATAATTGCAAAATCAGGACCTTCGAAGCTGGCACCCATGAACAAAATGATATTCTCATGTCGAATTAGGTTGAGAAGTGACACCTGAGAATAGTAGTTTAAGTTCATTAAGAAAGCACTTGGTTAATCAAAAGAGGCACCAAAAGAGCTATGTTACTCAAATATTCATATATTTTGGAGCTTTAGACGTCCTTGTGCAGGAGTAGTGGCGTAGGGGCAAAACCTTTCGTGGCACTTCTTGAGACACGGGCCCCGGGAATTTACCCCAGTTCCCCCGCTTCTCGACGGTACTAGTCACAACTATTTACTGTTACCTCTCTAAGAAAGTCATCTTTCTTGGTCTTTGAAATCCTGTGCACCATTACTTCACCATGCCAGCGTCCCCTGTTGAACAGAGAGTTGCCGTTTAGAGAAATGAAATGAAAAATTGAGACTTAGACCCTTCTAAAGTTATAATTGAGGCCTACTTGTCTTTGTCTACATAATCCCCTCTGAGAGTCAAGCCTCATTATACCTCAGTTGTGAGATATTTTCATGTGAGATGCTTCCTACCTCAGCTTCACATGTTAAGAATGTCTTTATCGTATATTGAGAACTTAATCCACGTGCCTTTATGCTCTACATCGAAACAGACACGATGAAATCTGGTGATATTAATGGAGGAGTCACCAGCGCTGACTATCCATCTCCGCAATATAAACACACCTGTAGACAGGGCCTTTCATACTTCTTGCTACCATTTCCTCAAGCATGATATCTTCGTATGGAATATGCCACTCTGACAAAGACGAAGACTGAAAGGAAACAGTTATTGCTTACATCATGAATGAATGCTCGCGGACATGAACAGTTGTACTAGCTCACTTACAAGATACAATGGATCTTTATCACACACCAGTAAATAAAATCCATATTAAATTCTAAGAATGGAGGCAATAAAAAGACATCATCACAAGAATGATTTTACTGCAAATTTGCAAGTGAGGGTCACAAAAGTCGAGACTGGCAGGTTAATGGTTTTATGAAAGCACATCATAACACGAACTGTTTCTTCTTCAGCTGGCGATGCAAATTAAAAAAAAGCTTTTATAGCTAATAATAATCAAACATTTTTGTCATGGTTAAATTGAACCAATTTGTAGAATTTCTTGGAAAACTGAGGCATGTTCTTACAATTAGAATGAAAGCTGCAAAAATCTAAGCTTCTCTCATACCCGCGAGAAAGTATTATTTCTGCTTGAAGCAAATGTCTGCCGAGAATGCGAGCGAGACCTGCAAAAGAATGCAATGTATCTATAAAGATAAATCACAGACTTGTGCACATGTAATTATATGAATAAATCAACGCCAAAAGCCTTCAATCTTCCCCATAAACGAATCAGACTGCAACATCGTGGACTTCAGACTGCAGCAAAGTCTTTTTCTTCTGCTTTTCCGCTTCGAAATCCATTGCCGCACTCGAAATTTTGTGGCTCTGATACCTAAGGTATTCCTTGAGAACCTTGTGCAACTTTGTTGGGTACATGGACCACGGACCAGGCTAAATGTGGGAGGGCTAAAAAGAGCGTGACTGAAATTGTTGAGGCCCCTTTTAGAAAATACTGGCTTATTTCTACTGGGGTTTTATAAACAATCTGGTTCAGAGAAAATATCAATAGCTATAAAAAAAATAAGCTTGGGGATAATAAACCATCAAGAAAAACATCTAGAAAATGAACAAAAGGCTTCCAGTCAAGAAAAATTGCTACTTCTTAGGAGTATACTATTCAATGTTGCGTTGGAGCATAGTTAGAGTAAACTTTTTCTAGAGTAAAAATTTCTCTAATATATTATTGCAAAAAAGTGGAGGGGCTATAGCCCCTGCTAGCCCAGTGGCTGCGCGGTGCCTGGTTGGGTAGACTGTTTCTCTCTTTGAAAAAGGTTTCTTTACTTCGTCTGTTAATCTGTTCTACCTCACCCTCTTTAATGCGCCAATTTCAGATTGTAGAACCATCTTTTTCAGATCGCGGCGTAGGTGTTTTCTGGCTCTATTTGAGCCTTTGATGAAAACAACTGGAAAAGGGGAAATTTTTTAAAGTCCTGTTTCTTTATTTCTCCATATTTCTTTGTACCTATACTTTTGAAAGGGGATTTCCCTTAAAACAAAGATGACAAGAAGTATGGAAACCATTGGAGCAATATGAATGAGCAAAGAAGACATCCTAAACTGCACTAAACAAAATTCAAAGGTAAAAGCAGTAAAGCGAACAAATGAATCTCTAAAACCTTGAATAGATAAAAAATTTTTGCTCCAAGTGACTGCAATAATATGAAATAACTACACGATATGAGTTTCCAAAAAAATCATTAAATTGTCACCTTGGCTCGATGGCATCTAATGGACTGTAAATGTAGCTCCCATTTCTTTTGTGTAAAACTGGAAGAAAACAGATTTTTTTTAAGGTATGCTTGGGGAAAAGATAGGAATTTTAGAGAGAAGGGGACTGGAAATTTGCGAGGAGTAAACTTATGAGAAAGGAAAGAAGGCTGGAAATGTGACGCGCAGGAGTAAAGTTGAGCACAATTGACGATGATTTTCTGATATTTAGGTTCTGGGGGCATTAGAGGCCCCGACAGTGGGTTGCAGTGGCAATGCCTTTTGTTTTTGATGCAATGTCAATGCTTTCATGATTTTGGGTTTATTTGTAGTTAAAATATCTTTAAATATCCACGAATTAAGAAATCTACCAAACATGCAAAACTGACAAAGCAACATTTGCACCAAACGAGGCCCTATCTACACCCCTGGATACTATCAAAGTGGGGAATAAGCAACTGATGCTCAAAAGCCCAAACCCTAAGGCAAATACCAAGAAGAGGCAGTGGTCTGAAAGTGCATTTTTTGAAACGGTTTTCCTGGGCCATCGATAGATTAATTTTGAATTTAAACAAAACGTGAATCTATGGTCATCAAATGCCAAGTTTAAGCATGTTTTCAAGAAGGAAAAAAGGCTCAGTTTCTGTAAACTTTGCATAGCTTGTGAATAAAAAGCACAAAGTGATCGAAACAGAGGTTGTAGCTCCCGTGTGTACAAATCGACACTTTGACCTGCAAGCTTATTATATAATCTTCATAGTGATATATTGTCACTTGTTTGAGCCTTTATTAAGAAATATCCTTTCTGTTAAAAGTAGCCTAGAGAGTAAAAGTTACAAAGACACTCCGTTTTTACGCCTACAATGGAATTTCCATTACCGGACACCTCTATACAACGGACATCTCTCAACAATGGACAGATGTTTTTGTTCCAAGTGGTCAAAACGCTCTTAGAGGAACCTCTCATACAACGGATACCTGTATAAAACGGACAATGACACTGGTCCGAACGGTATATAGAGGCTCCTCTGTATGCACAAATAACTATTAGAAAGTTCGTGAAAAGTAATTAGGTTGATAAACTTCCAATCAGAGCCTTTGTTATACAATGCATAAGACTCACTTTGCTCTTGAGATTTTGCATGTATCCTGATATTTTCTATTTTGAGAAAGTTTGGTTCCAGTCCTCTACGAATGCACTTGCAACTAGAAACTGACGTGATGTCATCACCTTGAAAAGGCCCTGGAATTTCGGTGAAGCGCATCTTCGTGGCGGATGATGTCACAGCATGGCCAAGCACAGTTGATAAACTAGAACTTGCAGTTGTTGCTATCTCTTCTTCTGGAAAGTCATCAAAACTCAATTTACTTCCAAGGCAACATTTTACGAGGAGTAAACGTTTTCTCGTCATGCCAATCTTTTTGCCAAATCTACGCTTGCAACTGCGCTCATTTGTTCCATCTCCATATTCGACAGGCAGTTTCATTGCAGTGTTTTTCTTTGCACAAATTCTTAGATGCTGGGTGCTTTTTGCTGACTCACCTGGATAGCTTGTTTTTGCATCGATATTGCTCATTTTCGTACTGTCAAACCAAGACCACAGATTCTGCTCAGGTATCGACCCACTTTCTTCATGCATCTTCACAATCAAATGATGTCAAGCGCGATGCCTGTGTTGAAGTTAGGGATGCTGGCGGGGAAAAAATTTAAAAACTTGACAGATATAACATAAAGTTTATTGCTTACTTTTTCATCAGTTTAAAATATAAAAGAAGATTTTATTACTTATAAAGAAATGCAGGGACACCACAAAAAAATATGCCCAGAAAATAAAATCATCTCAACTTGAAAATATGATCTATTTAGCAGAAGTGACATGTCAATATTGCGTAAGAGTGATGGGAAGACGGTGTATTTCTTTGTCTTGAGAACAGATTGACTTCTTCATTTCTTCTCCTATTCAACAATCAACTTTGGGCTCTGCCAATCTGGCCCCTACATGAAGTATGAAAACAACAAATTCCCTTCCAGCTGACAATTTGTATAATGTATCGTAAATTAAGACTCTTCCCAGACAGCAGACTTGTCAAGTTCTCATCGTCTCAGATCCTCAAATAACATTTCAAATCTGCTATTAATTGTTAAAATCTGATAAGCTAACAGTTGCCTTGCTAAGGTTTAAGCAATATGACAAAAAAGTGGGACATAAGGAATGACTGGGTTATAACTTTATTTAATTAGACATTTCCTCGGAACTGCTGATCATTAAAGTTATCTTTTCCTAGTCAAGTCATAGAAGTGCGATCGTTCAATCAAAACGCTGTTTATGAAGTTCTAATTCTTACGATTAGTTAATAAACGTGTCGGCCTGAAAGGATAAATGAAATTGTGTCAACTCACCTTCTTCTAGATATATAAATCTACGTGTAAGAAGCGATATACCCGCAAGAAATGAGCAGGCAAACAAAACAGAGGAGCAGGTGCAACGGAGGTCGAATTCGGTTGTAATGGAATATGACGGGGGGATACCATTCCTGTTTGCGGATGACAAGACTCCTAAAACAAACATAAATCTAAGACAACACGGGATTTTGGACTTGCTGGTTGGAAAAAACTCCATGAAAATGTGTATCTCTGAGTAATAAAACACCACGACTTGCTGCTACTCTTAGCTAACCATTTCCAAATCATGCAAGTGAAGATCTAGGGTCATTTAATTTGGCAATTACAGTTAAATTTGTTGCTACATCGAATCAGTCTGATATCTATAAAATCTAGTCCAGTTTTTCATTGATGAGCTCAACTCCGGTAACAATTTAGGCTCACTGTACCCTGGGTACCAGACTCATTATATAGAATAATCTTTATTTTATTTTATATATAGTGAGTCTGGTATTCAGGGTAGGCTCACTGCAAATAAAAAATAACGGCAAATTTCTCATGACAACAAAATGTTCCAAATCATATTGCATGTTCCGACACTTTAAGCAGTGAGGCTTAAGTAGAAAATAAACAGTTTGAACAAGTTTACAACCAAATGAACAGATCAAAATTTTCTCACTCATAATAACAGCGACGTGTATACGCAAAATGTGCTCTCAAGAAATTTCTTACACTGATTACGTAGCTTCAGTTGGGAAAATCAGTTGTGTCATTTCCCATCAGCTCTGTTCCCAAGAGCTGTAAGCATTATCCTACCTATTTACATAAACAGGAGACTCCGTTTTCTTTAATGGCTGCTCTCTTGTTATCCCCTTGCGGTACTCATGTAATTTATCTTCTTTTGCAGAGTTGGTAGAAGCTAGTTGTAGAAAATGTTGTTTATTCATCACCGTTCATTGCAACAAAAGCACTTTCTCCCTAGAAAGAATTCAGAACATCTGCTTCTTTGTTATAAGGGGGTTGATACGTATAGATTTAATCATACATGTACGATAATGATAAATCGTTATAAGAGGTTCGGTCCACGTTTTTTGTCTTTTTCAAATTGAATTGCAAATTTCAAGCTACCCTCACAGAGCTCAACCTCGAAATCAAACGAATATTGTTATGCACATAGCACAGTCATCCTCGCTGTTTATCAACATACTGCATGTACACATATGACTGTTTATTACCAGAATCGAATCACCTAACTTTTAACTATGGTTTTTTAAGAAAAGATATATAGAACAAAAAGGCCTCTCACCTGAATACGATTTGAACTACAATAAAAATTTATAACATTTATATAACAATAGCAACAAACACCAGATATAATAAAAAAGGTTAACCTAAGGACAAAGTAATAGTAAAGCAAGACTAAACAAATTAAAGTGAAACTTGTATGTTGAGATTAAATTTTGTCTTTACTTTTAAATTTGGTCTTTCCTTTTGGAACTGAAGACATCATTACGAAATGCATCTCATCTCCTACAACCTTCGTTCCTTTTGACAAGCAGCATTTGCAGTACCTTCCAGGCCTTGCTATTCTTTTGTTCCACAATCTTCCAGCCTCTTCTTCATGATTATTACACTCATTCGTAATTTTGAAAGGCATTGCCCTCTTTTATCATCGTTAATAACACCTAGGTATGATTGGAGCTTTAAAATCGATTTAATCTGGTCACAGGTGCTTATTTTTTGTCATATACTAGATTCAGTGGCGTACCCAGGGCTGGAGAAGTGGGGAGGTTTGAGGCGCACCCCCAGAAATTTTTTGGACCACGCCCTTCAAACACTCGCAAATGCGGGGAAACGCCCTTTTTGCAAAATTTTCCGCCATTGTTTGATTCATGCTAGCTACGGTAAATAGCAAAGTATTTTACAATTGTTATTGACACAAGCATACAGTATACTACACCCCCCCCAATGAGTTTTACATCGTTTTTGGACAAATCTCGAGGATCACATTTTAGAAAAATGGGGGGTCCGGACCCCCCTATTCCCCCCCTTGGGTACGCCACTGGCTAGATTACTGTTAAGGCAGGAAAAAGTGCGATTTAAAGATTACTGGAAGAGATAGCTTTCAAAGTATGATTTATCCCAAGAATTGATAGCAGAGACATTTTCACATGGAAGCAGAGATATAGAATATAACCTGGTGACGTGTCTAAGTTTCAAGAACTGCGATCCCTATTGTCATTATGCTTTCGATTGTAACTACCTTTTCTCTAGATTGATTGCAGAAATTCAAGTTTGTGCAGGTTACATTATGTTTAATTCTTGTAAGATAGTTCACTAAAATTGTAATTGACGAAATCTTTTAGTCGTTTCTGCTAACTTCACCTTAATGTGTTTTAATTTTTATACAACATTTAATTTGCCATATTTAGTAATAATGTTCAGTGCTCTAAATAAAATTGAGTAAATAAAATAGTTAAACGAAGGTTTATAATACACGCCCCTGGTTATTCATCTGGCAGGGTCGTTCAACAGACAACAAAGTGCACTTAACTGCAAATTATCAGCAACTACATACATATCAATATATATCTGTATAAGATATCATAAACTTCGTTTGCTACATGTATTTATTAAATTGTAAGCATGAATGTACACGCCGCCAGCTACCGCTGCAAGTCTTACTGGAATCGATCAGTAAGAGAGTAAATTCACAATTCTTTATCATTTTCCTTGCAATATTTATCGACAGCTTTTAAAGTTTGATTGTTTGTGAACATTTAATGCAAGTTTACGTAATGATGCTAATCAGCTTTGATGCAAGTTTTGCTGGGCGGAACGTTCGGCCGTTGGTATCGCGAGAGCTCTTGCTCTTATTGACTGTGACAATTTTTTTATGCTTCTTGATTTTCAAATTTTTTGCACATGTCGAAAGCGGCAGTCTTTGTGCATCCAATGATATTAGCAATTTAAGAATAGCTTCTTCCCATCATTGTGATAAGACATTATTTCTAGGCACTGGTCAGAAGCCAATTCTTTTGTGTCAGTCGCTACCATCTTGAGGAAAAATCCTTACAGAGTTTCCTTACATATCAATTAGATTATTTTTTTCGACTAATAAATGGATTAATGGCCAAAAAAGCTTTTAAAAAAATTCGTGGAAATCGATAAAAACGTTTTTATGAAAACTGCCTTTGAAACTTGTAAACAATTTTCTCTAACAACAGATTTGCAAACAAATTCGAAACTGTCCGGATACTTTCGTGATGGGGGTGTATTTTTGAAACATTTTCTTTACCAAAGACCGAATTTAAATTTTGTCAGGTAAACAAAAGTTTTGGGTCTCACTTTAACAAACTGTCTCTTTAACAACGTCCAAATGGAACATACCCTTTTTTCAATATTTTAGTTAGACCTGTCTCCTTCCAGGACGTTAATGGCCCTGGGTGAGTCCCTACCTCAAGCTGTAAACCTCAGTTCCCAGCACTGAGTACTAATCATTAGCCCCCTCCCCCTGTACCAGCACCCTTCCAAATTTCCGCAAAATGAATTCTAAAATCCTATCATATCAGTTTGTTTTTAATCAAATAAAGCTTTCTTGAAAGCGTCCTTAACAACGAAAGAAGCAACAAGAATGGATTTCGGAAACGAGGCATCTCAAATATGGGCACAGAGTAGAAATTTTCTATTCTGTGTTTTGGGTCACTATTAACATGAATTACAATTACTCCCAAGGATGACACAAGAGCTAAGTTACATGCAACTGAAAACTGCCAACGAAGCAAGAATTTCGGTAAGAGTAAATTACGGTCAATATACTCATTTATACGTTGCCCCTTTTTTAACGAATAGATCCTGGCTGAATTTTATCAAAAGGTGAATTTAATGGGGTACCTTTTTGCCAATTTTCTTTTGCAAATCATACATGTTTTTGCCGCGAAAACATTGCAATTGAAATTGGAAGATCTTTGGATCTGTTCATTTCGGCTCATACATGCGTCAATTCTACCGCATACATGCGCTAAAAATACCAAAAATCCAAAACTAATTTACAATAACATTTGTCAGCAAACAAAGACAGATGGAGATTTTAAGTAGAGTTATTGCTTAAAAGAGGAGTTCTCTCAGTTGATAAACTAAACTTTGTAATATATTAGCAGCTAATAGGATCCTAGAAGAAAAAGATAAGTCGGACATCCTAGGCAACTTTATTTTTTGAAATTTTAATCATTTTAAATTGTTACTTATCTTTATCGACACTTTATTGACTTTTAATGTTGTAAAATGATTGCTGATTATCAAGTGAATTTGAATTTAAAGTATTTTTGCTAGCTATCATTATCAATGACTAAATTCATTTCCTTAATTTTCGAAATACCTGCGGGAAACATTACCAACGTTGCTCAAATATCTCTCTTTTTATTTGACTGAGTAAGTTTTTAGCAGAAGCATTGTATTCCTTTCTTATATGCTTGATTTTATGCTAGCAGATGATTTCATTTTATTTCCACCAATCACTACTAAATTCTGCTTCAAAGCCAATGAAATATAATTAGAATTACTGTATCATATTTGTGAATTTGTAAATTCAAAGAAAATCAGGATTATGGACATTCAATATGCTAAAATTAAATGCAAAAAATGCAAACAAATATAAAAAGAAATATATGTATTTTTGAAATCAACCATCAAAGAAAGACCTGTAATCAGTCCCATAATTTCATTATTTTTTGGGTAAGCCATGCTATAGGCATATGTAAATTTGCGCTCATTTAAGCATCATACTTAGTCACTGTCAAGTGTGCAGAAAAAAGCTATCCATACTAGTTATTGGGGATACAGTTGTTATTTTGGCGTTTTGCAATTACAGTAGACTCTGTTTACAGTAGACTGGTAGTCACCCCGGTTACAGTAGACTGGGTGACAGGAAGCAGTGTAACTGTAAGTGAACAGTTTTCATAATTTGGTCTAAACTTCATGTAAATGTCAGCAATTCTATGAATTTAGGCAGATTAGGTATGAGTGGAGTTGATAGAACTGGAGGGGGGGGGGGGCAAATTATTTGGAAGGACTTAGTAATTAATAGCTGCTGTTGGGGAAAGCTAATAGCAGTATCCATAAACCTGCAGCTAATTACCTAGCAATTATATTATGTACTGTAAAATCTTATCGGTAAAAATAGCAGTCTAACAATTTTGCACTTTATTATTTTCAATATCCCACTTTGAAATGGCATGGCAATAAAAGGGAATACAGGACAAAAAGTGCGCAGCAAACATCACATGGAAAAGTTACTTATCTGATGCTTTATCTATTGACTTTATCTTTATCCTTAAAATTTAGTTAAGCATCCTGATAACATAGCTTATGTTCATATGTTAACTTAGACTTTATTTTTAAATTTTTGCTTCTTCAGATTAGATTGTATATACATATATTAGATTATGCTTAAACATTTTATGTTTTCTTTCCTATTGTTCAGAGATCCTAATGCCTTTAATCTAATTTTATCCAAAAGGAGGAGCAACGAACAGAACAGAGAAAAAGAAACATTTTATTACTCATTTTGCATTACTTGACTGAAGATGGGTATGTCAGTTTTAAAAAATTGAGTGTTTGTTTCAAAATGTTAATGTTTTGATGTTATCATCAACAACTGAATCAATTTAAAGATTATCCCTTTCCTTTTAAGGTATCTAGACACAGCTCATGCTCTTGAAACAGAGGCTGGTGTGAGTTTAAAAAAATTTGAAATATGCGACAATATCGATTTGCAAACAATTCTTCAGGTAATTACATTGCTAACTTTATATGTCAAAGAGCATATGCAGAACCTCGATGTTTTTTATCTTCTTACATTGTGCATTGTTTCTTGTTGAGAATGCCTGTATTTAATAAAGAAATTTTTACTGTCTTCTTAAGCACATTCTTACTGCATTCAAAGGCTACGGTGGACTTTTGCTGCATATGCCTAAGCTACAATCATGTTAATGAATTAGGCCAAAATCAGTCCTAGTACCATTGGCCACTTTAATTTTTCAATAGCCATTATCAAATTATAAAAATAGCCAACTTTGCTTTCTCTTATTGTGGTCATGGTATCATTAAACATCAGTGTGAAAACAAAGATTTTGTTTCACGGAGTAGCAGCATGGGAGTGATGCTCCTAACAAGAAACAAGTTGCCCATTTCTACCACTTTTGTACCTTTTTGCCAGGCTAAACCACCTTCAAACTTGGTGTTTTTTGTAATAAACAGGCAAATTTTAAAAATGTTGAAGAGCTGGTATGCTTCTCATCCCACACACCAGTACACCAAACCATGCACCTGCCTCCTCATTCACCACATATCCTTACTCTGCACATCAACTTCTAAACAGAAATTAATCGGTAGAAGAACACTAGATTTATCCGCCTGTATGTACATTTAATTGGAATTGATATAAACTTTATTTGATTCTGGAAAGTTCATCCTTACCTTTGTTGAAAATATTATTTTTTCACTGGTACACTTATCTGTCAGTTTGTGAAAATCATACAGGCAGAAATGTTCTTTTTTAGCAAAGCCACTAGGAAAATGTTCATTGTGCTATAGGAACATGCAATTGCTACTTCACCAGGCTTTCTTGGTTTCTATCTACATCGATATTTACAAAAATGCCATGATTTTGAAAGCAGAAAATTGTGTAAACATTAAATGTGATCGTTTTGTAAAGTTTTTCACTGAATAGCTTAAGATCTATCAATTTCTTTGGAATATTGCAAGCAAACTCAAAGAAAGTGGCATCGATTTTGATCTTTAGGTTTTTTCAAGCCATTTTCTCATGTGATTAAGCATTGTGTTGTAGAGTCTGACAGAGTGATTCTTCATTCATTAAAACGCACCATACCATATTGTAACCAGAATTGTGCTTACACTGTACACACACTGTACTCACATTGTACACATACTGTGCGAACACTAGCAGTTAAATGATAGATAAGTCTCAGTATTTCATTTGATTGGTGTTTGAAGAAAGGAGAGTATATTCTTGCAAAGGACCTATGAAGTTTATGTGATGAAAACATTTGAGATACAGCTGTTTCCCAGTTTTTTTGCAATTGTAAATCCCCATTGTGAACGTATATTTTCATTGTACAAAAAATTCATAGCTGTGATCTCCGTGCTATTCAGAAGTTATTAAAGTACAGTGAATTGCTAGAAGAAGCTTCAGTCATGGAAACAACTGACGTAAAAACAGCGTGTTTCAAGATTATGCAAAAAGGGCTAGATATTGATAATCATATTATCAACTCTTAAATCAAAATTTTGGTTTTTGCCGAATAAAGGGATTATCATCGTGAAATTATAACATCAACCTTGAGGAAGTTTTAAAGGAGCTAAATTGTTGCAGTCACATATTTTCACTTTTATTGAACGATGAAATTAAATTGAAATCATGTTAGAGAAATCATTCTCAGTGCTAGAATAGTGCTTAGTTTAAATTATGAGTAACCGATGCTTAGTAACATTTTTATTGCATTTTTATCAAGATGATTGCATTTGTTTGCTTTTTCTACCCAAACAGGAATTTGAGACATATTACCACGTTAAATTCAACAAATGGCCAAAAATAACAAAAAGAGTTAGAGATAGCGGTATGTTGTAAAAATCTTAACTCAACAATTTTTTATTTCAAAAATCTTTTTATAGAGATTATAAAAAAAATCTAGATTTCTCATAGATGAAAATTCATTGTTTGGCTGTTAAGTATCTTTGTGAGTACGATGATATGATACTCGCCGTTAATTACTTCTTCTCTTGTTTTATCCAGGTGATCCAAGTTTAAAAGGCGGATCTTCCAAGAGAAGAATTTCTTCAAAGGAGTAAGAACTGCATCACATTTTCATAGTTCTTAGTATTAAGTGTACTAATTAATTTTCAGCGGTGTATTTAACAGTGAAACGCTTTCAATTCAACCATTTTTGGCGTACTCCAACAACTTTTACACGACTGTTGTTTGCATCTTGTTTGAAATTAAGCTATATCACAAAGACTGTTTTTGGGAAGGAAATGGACTGGAAGTTGTTTCAGTAAGTTAAAGAGACGAAAAATTCTGAATGAAGGGCCAAGTTGTCGCAAGTTTCAATACATTACATTTAGACTGCCATTGTACCACGAGACTGTATGACCCTGGCATTACTGCTGCAATTTGACAAATATTAAATGAAATATTAAATGTTATGTTAAATGTACCAACAAATATTAAGCGAAATCGTTAGTATATCTAAGAATCTCAAAGAGGCGTTTTTCTAAGAACTGTCAACAACCGATTTCAGCCTCAGTAGAAGTGTCTTCATATTTTTTAACATGTATATTTGGGTTAGTAATTATTGCTTTTTTTGTATCGAATGGAACAACAAGGTATGAACAATGAAAGATAAAATTTACTTCCTTTTACAAGAAAGCGACATCCCCAAAAATTCTGAAATCTGCATTGCATAGTTTGATCTTCAAGGCAGTTTCATCTTCTTTGTAGTTTTACAAAAAGCAACTCGATTTCACTTCCCAACATTGATCCTCAAAATGAAACCCAGAAATCGTCAGCAACGAAGAGACCGTCAAGTGACACAAAGCGAAAGACTCTCAAAGCAAAGCCACCAATCGTAAGCGAGAAATCGATTATGTTTCTTTGATTTTGATGTTATGTGGAGCAGGTTTCTTGAATATTTGAATGTTTTAATTCTTATTCTTCGAGATGAATTTATGGATATGAATTTTTTTTGGTAAGAATGTATATGAAGTGACACAAGATTTCTTTTTCTGGGAAAAAGATTTGGGTAAAAAGAGCATAAAATACAATTCCTTTAGGGTAAAGTTTTTTGACAGTGCCATCTAACACTCAGATGTAATCATATCTTTGAGCACATTTTCAAAGTTATTGGAGCAAGTTTATTTTCTTCTCTTTTCATTGTTTGGAAAACATTTTGTTTTTGTTCTCCTTCTTTAATTTGTATGTTATTTTTCATTCACCTTTGAATGTTTTTGACATAATAATACTTCTCATTCTAATTCTTATACAGAATAAAAACCCGGATGCTTCGGAAGTCGCAAAATCTCCCAGTTTAGACAACCTTGATATGGGGCTATCGGTGCAGTCACTAGGCACACATCAAAAACAACCACAAGAAGTAACAAGAGTCGAAAACGTTCATGGAAAGGTGAGTTTTTAGAGGTCCCTCATCCAGTGATCAGTTCATTCTTTGAGTAGGAGCACATGGCTTAGAAGTTGTGACGTCATTTTCACAATTTTAGATACGATATTTATCGTCTGAATTTTGTTTAAGTATCTCAAAGTTTGTACCCACACATATTGCAAGTTTCTGATGCACCTGAATAACCGTAATGGGTTGTTTTGCTCTGCAAGCTAACGTTAAACGCCTTTCTTTACTGGGTGCTTTACCGTGTTTTGTTTTGTATGATCATCATGAACTATTTTATTTGCTCTTTAATTTCTAGAAAGTGGTTATTGACTACAGAGCAATGCTAAACAACGCTCTAAGTGGATCACATGTGACTGAGTTTGCACCTTCGGTATGATAAACTAATCTCCTGAAGATTGTTGCTTAGTTTTGTTTTCTTGTTGTTTGTTCATATGGTTAACCTAGGCTGCAATGGAATTCAATTTTGAATGTGTAATCTTTTGACGCGTGTAATGTTTGAAATTGTATTCATATTAGGTTTGTATCAGAGCATACTTTCAAGAAAAACAATCTTTGTTAATGGATCTTGTTGCGTGATCATGAATGTGTCGTCTTTCTCTGTTTATACTTAACTTCACTCTATCAAGCTAAAATGTTGACGACAAATGGCTATTTTTCTTGACAGGAAAAATTACTGAAGCCTTTGGGAGGAGTTCCTCATCTAACAGGCGAGTGGAGGGACCTTGCTGCTGTGGTGAGCAAGGTAAGGACGTTCACCATCTTGTGGATTATCTTTTTTCCAATATTTTATGAAATTTACCCTTACCTGCACAAAGGTGAATAATATCTAGCATGACCAATAGTATATGACACTCTTAGTGGGCAAGGTTAACATATCTGTCATTTTAAAGCTACTTTCTATATACAAATACAGTGCGTTCTACAATATCTGTTTGCAAAGTAAAAAGCAAGTCCCTTCCTTGAATGACTCATCAGGATTAACTCTGATAATGTACCCTGATTATATGATAATGTCACTGATAATATAGTTAATAGACTTAGGAACTTTTCTGTGGACGTTGTTGCCAATACTATTTCCCAAAATATTTATAACACTGATAATAATGATGCCCTTTTTCATAGGACATCTATTTGGAGAATCCAAACGTGACCTGGAATGACATCATTGGATTGGATGAAGCTAAGCGTTTAGTAAAGGAGGCAGTGGTTTATCCAATCAAGGTGCATCATACATTATTAGCATCGTAGAAAATAAATAATGAGTTTCTTTGACTTTTTTATTTGTTTTGATATAAATCATGAGAGTTGTTCTCGGTATTCCCTGCATCAACATCACCATATCTCCCCATAAACTAATCAAATCTTCGTTGAAAGAAACTTGATTGTAATCTTTGCTTAACAGTTCATGCAAAAAAGCCAGCATTATTCGTTAAGAACGTGCAGCTGAAAGATTCACGACTTACAAATATTATCGTCTCTAATAGAGTTTGCCTGGACTTTCTTATCTATCATTCCATTGCACAAATCAATTTGTGATTTAAAGTTGATGTAATCACTTTCTTTAAATAGTATCCGCAGCTGTTTACTGGTATCCTGTCACCATGGAAGGGATTATTGCTTTATGGTCCACCAGGTACTCGAATATGAAATTTTCTCATTAGAACTAAGAGCAATGAAATGAGAATAATTGAAAACGAATTGATAAGCTAATAAATGATTTACTGACTCTTAAGCACACTATGGGAATACCTCTCGAATATGCTCAGATTGTAGATCTGTTGCAGATACAGTACCCTTGTACATATACAGTATTTTGAAACAGCAATATAAATCATGGCTGTTTATAACCTTGAAATCTTTCGAAGTCCTTCAACGACGTCTATTGTTTTTTATGTCTCTAGGCACAGGGAAAACACTTCTTGCAAAAGCAGTTGCGACCGAGTGCAATACAACATTTTTCAACATCTCTGCATCGACGATAGTGAGCAAATGGAGAGGGGATTCGGAAAAGCTTGTCAGGGTAAAGTCTCAAATGTTTTGGAACATAAAGAGTCTTAATGATAGAAATTGTGATTGTGATGATAATAATGATTATGATTATGATTGCAGCGATTTATTGTAGTGATTGATTGGTGGACAACGATCATTTGTTTTTGCCACTTTGTTGCAGGTATTGTTCGAGCTTGCAAGGTTCCACGCACCTTCGACAATATTTTTGGATGAACTGGATTCCCTTATGAGCCAACGAGGCGCTGGAAGCGGCGGAAGGTACATACTAGGAAATTACACTACAATCCCTGTCAAACGGCCTTCTTATTTCCAAATACAATTTACAGAAACCTAGAAACCAAAATACAGAATGCAGGTGAACCTATCAAGCTTAAAAGCTCTTGTATCATGGGCGAGAGGGTCTTGCCAGTGGAAATGTGTAAAATTTTGTGTGGTGTACAATGTAACAATAAGCACTGTAAGTGTGGTTGTATCTATCGTAGCCAGCTCGCTAGACGGTTCAGTATTGTCATGCCTTTGTGTTGCGAAAAATATCTAAAAAGTAACTATTTACAGCTCATGTGCTTTTCTTTCCCTCGATTTACATTGTGTAGTACTTGAGTAGAAGTAAGAAATCTCCATGATTACCAAAACATTGTCCTTATAGTGGAGAGCACGAAGGCAGCAGAAGAATGAAGACAGAACTGCTGGTTCAAATGGATGGACTCTCGAAATCTGAGGACCTGGTCTTCCTACTAGCTGCATCAAACCTTCCATGGTGGGTCTTTTTGCAACTCTTTGATAGTGGTGGACTGGCAAGGGATGCTTGGGTGCGATCGCATTTAGTAGCCCTTCATACAATACTAGAGCTTGTTTGTCAAACCATACGAGTCCCTTTAACCTCAGCAGAAGTATCCCTAGGAAAGTGATGTCGGTCCACCCCTGCTCTCACTAATCAACTATGTTTTACGGTTTTCAACAGCTTCATAGCGGCAAAAAATTAATTCTTCAATAGAGAATCCATCTTTCACAAGATTACGTTACTTTCTTTACTAATAATTTAGAAAGAATTTACTAATAATGCAAAACTTGCACTTTCACAAATTTTCTTGCACTTTCTATCAAGCAAATAGTTTACCGCGTGTCCTTACTTGAATAAGGAATAGGTACCTATTTATTACGGCGAAAAGTTCCCTGATGATCGCATTAAGCCTTAATTCGGAGTATCAACTTAAAACCGTCCTGTTCTATACACCAAAAGTGGCACAGCTCCGCCTATACGGCATCCAGCACTTCATGATAAACCTGTAAACAGTAATTCTTATTCTTACTGCGAATATATAGCTTTATCTTGATCACTCATAATAGTTACAAGTAAGAAACTTATCTTGATCATACAGGGAGCTTGATCATGCAATGCTGCGTAGACTGGAGAAGAGAATAATCGTCGACCTTCCGAATGATAAGGCGAGGAAAGCAATGTTTGAGCATTACCTGCCTCCTGAAATATCGAACGTGAAAAATTCTGTGAGGATGACGTCAAAAATTGATTATGATTTGCTGGCACAGGTAAATTTTTTGTATCTCTTGTTGCTGAAGCATCAGAATTTTATTTGGACCTTGGTGCATTGCCAGGATGTTTCTTCTGAAAATATATCGACAACGCTGTTCTTAAGTACTAAATAGGTATAAGTGATCAAACTCTTTTAGGGCCCAGTTTCTGGAAAAGACCTAACAGGATCTCTTTGTTTCATCCGATGATTAATTCTGTGCTTCAATTAGTTAGTAGAAATTGAGTTCCAATCCTTATGAGGGTCAGGCTTGCTCATGTATTGAGGACAGTTAGAGTTTCCCTATGACAAAATATATTTTGCAATGAGTTCATTTTCAATATACATACATCCTCATATATACATATATATACATCCTTTCGCAGGCGACTGTCGGGTACTCAGGTTCCGATATCTGTCTGGTATGCAAAGAGGCAGCAATGCGACCAGTGAGGAAAATATTTGCAATTCTTGAGGACCATGAAAAAGGTATGCCATGCTGTCTAGAAGTAGTCTAGCAGCCACATAAAATCTTAGAATGCCCAATGGTTGTTTAGAGCTGAATACACTTGGTGTCTGTTTAATGGGCAAGTATGAAGAATGTTTAATTATGAATATACGAAGCTTTTTTAAACTTAACTGCAGACGCACTACATATGTTTGAGTAGAGTATTAATGGCAATAAACATTTGCAGTAACTGACGAATAGCAAATGAACGGTTTTCAAATGACAAGACATTGCTGTGTCATTGTCCTAGTAATGCTGTAGTAATGATGAAATTGTTTTCAAAAGGTAGGTTTTTGCCTTTTTTGCGGCAAAATATGAGACTCTCATTTCAGTAAACTTTTTTGCAATTCATGCTGGATACGCAGCCTGCGAAAAGAGTGGTAACCTTTTCCGATTTTCTTGAAATAATGGACAATTTTTTATCTTACTCATTAACTGCTAAATTTGATTTATTTGTCATGAAAATACGTCATTATCAACGGTCAAAACAGAAGCGCAAATCCGAACCAATTCATCTTTATTTTTTCAAGGGACAAATATAGAAGAAGCAATCTCATCTTTACGCATTGACCCAGTTACAACGGAGGATGTGAAAATCGCATTGGAGAGAACTAAGCCATCCACGGCAAAGCTAAGAGCCAAGTACGAGGCATGGCAAAAACAGTTCGAATCTGTGTGATCCATTTTGATTTGTATATTATAGATTAGCTTTAAAGTTAACATATTTTTATGGTATTAGTTAATAGTTACCTCAAATTAAATTTTCGGATTATACTTTCTGTAGTTATTTTTCCTTCATATTTTCTATATTCAGTCATAGCATGAGATGAAATATAAGTGAAAATGTAAAGAAAAACAGGTGAATGTATAAATTACTTTGGTGAATGCTGAAATACCAGCTCTTAGTTGCGAGATTATCGGTTCCAAAAAAAAAATTTGGAAATATTGGGAAAAAAATTTGTGGCTAGTTTTCTGTGGGGTTGTTGAAGGAGCAGAGCAGATTTCAGCACCGAACAAAACCCACCCCCCGGTCTCTTCTGGAATTTGTAAAGCATTCCACAGTGCAAATTAAGGATAGCATTAAACACCTTCGGCAATTGTGTGGGGTTGTGCATACTTTAAAATTCCACGACAGCATGGGCATATTGAGAGAAAACAGCAAAGAAAAAACAGAGATGTTCAAGATAAAAATTTTATCAACTATTTATCTAAAAGTCAACAAAAGTTTATCGCCTTAGAACTCAAACAGTTTTAACGCGAGTAAAAGATCAAAAAATATCTTCTAATCAGTCCAGGCATAAGGCCACTTTGCATCCTGAGGTATCTTCGCACAAAACTATTCCTTACACCTAGGCATCTCTTGAATTGCAGAGCAACATCAGGGACCATGCCATTAACAGTCAAAGTTGGTATCTTCTTAACTTTCTCTTGGGATTTCAAGCGCTTGCACTTGAAAGTCGTCCGTGCAGAAGGTTTTCTTAACCTTTGTGTTGACAGGCAATCGGCGGAACAAGTTCGAAAGCTCACAGAGTAACAGAGAGAAATGGAACTTCTGCGACAAATATTGCAGATTCAATTCCAGGAAGAAATAGGATTTCCAAGAAGGAATGAGGCTGCTGAATAAAGCAGCAACATGGTCATGTGAACTGTACTGAGATGCATGCTCAGGAGAGATATCTCTCTTGGAATGCACGCTTCATCAGTTAACGGTTGAAAGTGAAACTCAGAAAGCTCTTTAAAGCACCATGTTTGAACAATAGTTAAATGGGACAATTTTATCTGAAATCGTGACTCTGGAGGAGCAACCGCTTTTGTGTTGTCACAGTGAATATTCTGGCAAGCAAAGGTGCTGCAAACAATTTCATCTCAAGGTGATAAACCATCACCGTTTACGTATTCTTCTTTGCAACCCACCTGCAAAGGAAAATGAAGAGTAAGTGCATAGTTTCAGAGAAAATGAACAACAGCAGACAGTTCATGACTGAATTCTCTTCAAATCAGATTTTCTTTCCTAAGTGAACAATATAACCGTACCTTGATTATGTTGTTTTTGGCACAGTTAAAGTTTGGGCCAAAGACGAATCAATTAGGCAAACTATCGGAAACGCAAATAAGTTCTAGAGTATTTTTATAAAGAACATTTTCCTAAAAACTAAGAGTTGAAATTTGAAGTAGGTAGTTCAGCGAATCCAATATTGTCTTAACGTTGGCATCAAAGTGACGTTTTAAATTAACTTGATACGAAAAGAGTTACAACGCTTGGGTAAACACGACCACAATACTTGTTTAAATCAAGAAAGCCTACAAACAAACCTCTGGTAGAAGTCGACAAGAGGCTCAACCTCGATGCCAAGCTTTCGACAAGCTTCAAGTGCATCTTGGGTAGCACGTGTACCAAGTGAACCACTCGTTTCGTTGGATAATCGTGAGGTGACGATTGACACCAACTCTGCCTTGCTTAGTTTGCTCGCAAAATATGCAGCGCATTTGACAATTTGATGAAACCGCCTGCAAAAATTAGAGAAAATAGGAATGTTATAAATGTTATAAAAACAAAAAGATCTGAAAATTGATCGCAAGTACTTTATGAACTCTAAAGATCTAAAATCGAATTTCCAGTCAAGCGGGCGATGTCGTTATTGTAGCTTTTAGCTCCCAAAATACATTTAATTTTATTTTAGATTTCTCATCCATCAGTTGTCTCAATCATGAAATCGTACGCCTTACCATTCCTCAATTGCCAAGTTCTTTTTCTTCTTTGAAGATCGATTAAAGTCAACATCCCGCGACTCCTCATCTCGTTGAGATCTCAGCCATCTATAATTGCAACAAAAACGGTCACAAAAAGATTCTACCATTGTTCATTGGTCTAAGTAAGTGACTAGGGAAACAAGGAATAACAAAGCTATTGCGGCGTGAATCATTTGAATTAAACATGCAGTCATAATTCAAAACGATATATATACCATCCTTAACGTATTAAACGAGCGTTGAATACAGTATTCCTTGTGAAAACGAGCTCTTTTTGAAAAAAAAATCATAACAGCGGAAGTAGATGAAATACTCTTGAAAATATATCATGATTATATTGGGAAAATACGATTTTCGCTACACCTATTGTGAAGCTAGATATCTTGTACGAATAAAGAGTAAAGACAAGACGCATATGAGTATTTTTTTATAAGGTACCAACTTAAAACAAAGAAAGAATAATTACAATATAATTTATAAGCAGAACTGTGTTTAACATACAAATTTGTAAAGAAAAAGCAACTACATTTGGGCTTAAGCACGTTAAAGTGCTAAACAATTAAATGTTAAACAATTAAACGGAGACATACTTGCTTCTTTGACGAAACTCTTCTTCAAGGAACTTGATTGCTTCACGAGCACTTGGGTTGTACCTCTTCAGCTCATCCAAAGCCTGGACAACTGTGTCATCAAAAATAACCCCAAAATCCTTCAAAAACTTACATTGAACTGATGCCAGACTTACAGAAAACACTCGACAACGACGAGAAACTTAGGAGATAACTCATTTGATGTTGAAATTCTAAGAATAATTGCGTCGTTATTTTAGATCATAAATAGCGCAAGAAGATGGAAAAGAGTCCCTTCCACCATAAGTCAAAAACTTATAAAATAGTGGAGATTGGGACAGCCATAAATGTTTTGCTAAAATGAGAAATTAAGATGATATTTCATAATTGACGACTTGTCAGTCAATCATGACACCAGCTAAGTGAAAAGCCATAATTATAAGACAGTTAGAAACTTCAACGCAGTTAAATTCGTAGAAAATGAGTTTTTGAAACAAACCTTGACTTGGAACGATGATAATAAACTCTCTGCTTTTGCCGAGTGATCGAATTAAAGACAGATGGCGACAGAGGGCCTGGGAATCCACTATCAGATATGGCGGCAAGTTTGAAGTCTCTGGTGCACCTGAAGAATTCATTTTCTCCTCTAGCTCAGTAACTTCGTGCTGCAGAAAAAAAGTTCATTTGTTTAACACAAAAAGTTCATTTGTATAGGGCTAAACGACAACAGGAAATTTTTCAGTATTAAATGAATTTTAATGAGGATAATAAAAGTCAAAATCATCTCCATTGGACTAACCATTAACTTTTGTTTGGCTAAAGCTTTCATAAAATCTGTTTGACTTTTTCCATTTGTCTAGAAAAAGAGAGGAATAAAAAATAAAGGAATTTCTTTCAGTTTCAGCATCTCAAAATAAATAATCGACCATAAAAATATTCAAATTTTTCTTTTCTAACGCAGAGCTAGAAACTTTGCCGTTAGCAACACAGCTTATTTCTAATTTTATTGCCACAAATTTTAGTCGCCACCTCAAAATGATCGTGACATTCTTCGACAGAATATTCTTGCTTCAAACAAAATGTGAAGCCAGAGAGGCACTGCATGCATCTCTAAAGACAGCAGGTTTTTCGCCTACTGGATTTGCTTTTGTTCAAATGTTTTTGAAAACATTTTATTTAACAGTATATAAAAAGCTCCCATTGGCTAGAAGAATACTAGAAAATATGGGAGACCTCCTCATGAACGATATAGAGAAAAAGGATTTATAAGAAAATAGGTTCTAACAGCAGAAGTTAACTATTGACGATTTAAGTATTCTGAAAGAAATCCCAGTTGCAAGAGAAACCTATTCTAAATGTGAGAAATCAACAGATAACTTAAATAGACCAAAACTACAAAGTAATACTTGATACCACGTATAATTCGAAAGCAAAAGAATTTAGTACCATTGAAGTCCTCTCTAATTGACGAACGGGTGAAGGCCCGTCCATAGATTTTGGTTCAGCTTCTTTTGTGGCATGGTTAGGTGGATATGGTCCATTGGAAACATCGTTTACGAAGCCAAAGCTTTCATTTTCTTTGGAGCACGTAAACTGTCTGACCTGCAAAGATGGTAAAATACTGCTTAAAGGAGACAGAAAAAGGTACTAATGAATAACAAAAAATAAGAGGACTTCACCTATACTTAGCAAACACACGAAAAACACAAACCTAGATAACGGAGTTAACAATTTCAACCCCGGGTCTGTAATGCAAGAAATTTTTGGTCTGAAGACAACATGCTTCACCATCAAAGAAATAAATGCCTAGCTAACAAGTTTAACTTGAGATTAAATTTTAATGGCAATACAAACGCTGGTATATTTCATCAAAGACTGCACCCTTAATGAACTGTCAAAGTGAATATAAATTTGAATGCGGAAAATCACAGGCGTCTACTCTAAACTATCATTAGATCCTCGTTCATAAAGGCACCTACCTTCCCAGAAAGATAATTCCCGAATGCCTTCAGCGATTGAATTCTGAAGACGAACTGAAAAATAAAATCACTGATGTCAAAATGATATACCGTAAAATTATACATATAAGTCATTACTTTCAAAAATTAGTCTTCTAGTTGTCTTCTTGAAACAGCTTAAATTAGGTGACGTTATGTATATTTAAATGAAAGCAGACCCAGTATATAGATCTATAATAAAGGTTTGTAACAAAGATCGCTAATATATATTCATATAGCTAAATCATACAACTTTAATCTTCAATCATTTATTCATTTTGGGCCAATTAGGATAGGTCTTTAAAATATTCGTCGAGAAACGTGCACAAACACGATGCAAAGTTTGTCGTTCTACGTAACTGCAGACCCGCAACTGCAACTTTCCTAAGATTCGACAATCTTCCGTTGAACATTAATGTGTAGAGTCACATTGACTACCTGTAGAATGCTAGCATCAGCAGTTCTCATATCCCATTCATAGTCCAGTGTTTTGTGAAACGGCACAAGAACGGGGAGGCCAATCAATGCCTTATCTTCTGGTAATGCCTTCAATTGTTCTTGGGCAGGAAGCTTTAGATCTTCTAAGCAAAGAACGCTACGTCTTCTCTTTGAATATTGAAGAATTCCTAAAGATGAAATTGGCCACGCGTGTGAGGATATCAAAGGAGACTCTTTTCTTAAATAATATTCTGTTGGTAAAAATCTCTTTTCTTTCTCTGTTCAATTGTGTCAAAATCTTTTTCAACATAAAGAAAATGTAATCTTTCGTCAAGCAAATGCAATTGATATGATATTCTTTAGAAACAAGCTTTTACAGTTTGAAAAATTTCTGCCTTTCTGGTAAGAAATTTCGAAACTTAAGATGAGGCTATCAAACAAAAGTAGCAAAAGTTTTTACCCACCTGTGAGCAAAAGGTGATGTTGTGGAAGCTCGTTCAATGTCCTAGCAACTTTCTGCCAAACACAAGACAAATCCTAAAATAAACAATACGTTGTTTCAGCAGAGGCAGGTAAAAAAGAACTCCTTTAAAAAGCTGATTGTATGCAATTAAAATTACGGACACAAGAAGAAACGTTTTTGCAATCATTCTTCATTTTTTAGAATATTGTACAAAATCAGTAGCCATGTCTATGATTAAATGACAAAACAGCTTGAACTGGAAATCAGAAGTATACATACTTTGCAGAAGCATAAACAAAAGGATTATTCATCAATACTAACAGCAAGTATGGATAATTTGTCGTTCTGACTGCATTGTGCTATTTACTTAGATCAATTACATAGGCAGCCTTTGCCTGACCTTAAAGATTTAGGCAGAAAGCACAGAAAAAGAATGATTTTCACAGATATCTCAGAGAATTTTTTTCTACATATAAGGCGTGTGTTGAGAGAAACGACAAAATGATTTAAAAATGTTAAGTTCGTATAGTTATAGGAATTAAAGTCTACCTTTTCAAAAATACCCATTTTATCGCCTGCATACTTCAACCAGTCAGTCACGACCTTCATCGTATGAAGGTAGCTAAATTCTGAAAAGTAACTTAGGGCAAGATCCAATGAGGTATCCGATGCAACGTCTGAGCCAACTCCATCATTCCATAATGCATCTCTTTTGGGGTACCCCGGAGAGGCTTCAGAAAACGATGATTCTTGAATCTTCGCGCTTAAATGCTGCCCTATGTGACAAAGATTTTGAATTTTCTGGCGATCCTCTTCTCTACGTTTTTGGGATATGCTAGACAACAAGATACTGTCTTCGGAGCCATCGTCGTCTGTGCTGTCTTCACTGCTGCTTGTTATTGTGCTGCCCAATTCACCTGCAATATAAAACTTTTGAAAGTAATGTAGCTAGTAAAACGATACTTGATCGGGAAAATGATTTTAAGAGAACAAAAGTCCTGTATACATTGATGCCTCAAGCACACCGCTACCAAGACCAAATATGTAGCCGTTGCTGATAAGATATGAATGAATATGAATGAAAAGGCAGAATATGAGTGAAAAAGGGGGTTTTCTTAAATGTTGGCTCTGGTGCAGCAAGCATTTTATGGGAAAGAGGTAGGTCAATATTTGATTGCCAAAAAGGGTGACATTACGACTTTTTTGCATTACGACAAAACAAGGTAACCCAAGAAGTTTCCGTCGCTCTGCTGTGACAATTTTAGATGGCAACAGTAATCGGAAATCATTAATATATTTGTCTCAATTAAAATTCGAAACAAAATGGCAGAGAATGACATCCTAGAGCAAGGGGCGTAGCGTGCGGGGGGGGGGTGCGGAGGGTGTACACTCCCCCAACTTTCAGAGAACTCGTCTGTAGAATTAAATTTATAACAAAATATTTATGTAAATAAAGAATTTTTGTCGGTAAAATATGGTTTTGCATCTCTTACACCCCCCAGCGAGAATGGTCACGCAACTCCACTGCCTAGAGCACAGCATTACTCTCTTCAAAACTCATTCGTAGATTAAAAACTTGCATTTGTAGCAATCAAACCTTCACTAAGATCACTTCCTAAGTCATCTTCGTGATTTTCACCAGAATCCTCATTTTCACTGGAAACCCGCCTTCGTCGTCTACGTCGACGGTAATTCCTTCTCAATCTGTCTCTTTGCTTCTTCATTTTGAAGTTGCCATCTTTGTTACCGTTACACAAGGCACTGTCCGAATCCACTAAGCTACTTGAAGCTCCTGATGCTTGTTCCCCTGCACTCAAAGGAGAGTCAGACAGGGTCTTTGTGATGTAGTCCAATAACTTCGAAAGCATCGTAAAAGTGAACGCCACAGCAGCGGATACAACCTTGGAATCTAAAATTTAAAGGCATTCAAATAGGCCATGCCATGCAATTCATTCTGCAATAAAAAAATGCATTAAGTGTAGACACATTACTGCCACAAAACTTTCGACCATTGCTGGGACATACCTGTGACTAAAAAAAGATGCATACGTCACACGAACACAGCCATAGTCATAGCATTTTATGCTTTAGAAAAAGTGTAAACTGTTTTATAATGAGCGACACAGTCAAACATAACCGATTAACACTTAAAAGGCTGTCATTGAACTATGCTATGCCTTGTGCATGCTCAAAATGTGCATTACGACACTGACAGAAAAAAATGAAAACAAACTTTGTGTACTCTTATACTATAACCACTGCTGAAGTTATATCACAGCCTGCAATCAGAAAACTTTCTTCCCCGATGGTTGAAAGCAAACAAACGTGCACGTGATCGATTTACTCTTGGTAATGACACACAATATGCAATTGCAACACACCTTTTTCAAACAGGTCAGACACTGTAATTATGCAGATAACAAAAATTTTGACCATGAGACTGCCATTGACTCTCCGTTCTCCATAGATTTGAAGATTCTTATGAAGATCTTTTAGGGTGCCTTCAGTTTCGACGTCCTTCCAGACAAACAGGCCAAGAGCATCTGTAAACTTCTCGATTACTGATTGACAAATCTTACTAAATTCAGCTGGTGACAATCTAAAATGAATCAGAAAGGCAATCACTAATAAAATCAAATTTCAGCTTTATAGCAGAATTCTGAATGACTGACATTTCTTTATATGGTGTGTATTGACCCAGAAACGTAAATACCATCCTGGGACTTCCACATTTCGCTGCTTCCGAGCAAGATTTACAAATTCTCAAATTCATCCTGACCCAGTCCAGTCATGTGTTAATACTGGGTCGGAGTGCAGTTATTGGAATGCCACAATTCTCTACATACTCTATGAGCTATAAATGTTACATTTATCCATCATGAGATACAGTTTCTACCGATATCTTAAGCAACTCACCTTTCATATCTGAAGTGTTCTTGTAGTTCAAGGAATTCAATGAGAAAATTTTCGATTTCATCGACTCTAGAAACAGAACGATACACAGTTAAAGCTTTGATCAGGTACAAAATGGTGATCCAAATGGAGACATGAAGCTTTAGTAAGCTGCAAGTTGAAGACCATATTTTTAAGCACGGAAGCTATCATTTTCTATAAAACTCTAAGATCACTAATACCTTTCACTCTCTAATTTCTGTAACATTTCCTTTTTTAACCATTTGTTGCGCTCAAATGTTCTCTTCAGATTTTCTTCGGCACCGTCAAAACTAGCTGTTGAAGCCAGGCTATAAATCAATTGAATTTCAATCAGCAAATCTAAACTAATTGATTGAAAAACTAAATAGTTTTTACAATTTTCAAGGTTTCTAAAACCCAGTGTTTTTTCCACAACATTTGAGTAAAACTGAATTCATTATGCTCGATAATTTTTTACTTAAATACTGAACGTATGAGGGAAAGGCAAGCTATTTGTAAGTGTGTGAAGGCAGATGACTTATCGAGACTGGTCTGACTACGTTCAAGTGCATCTCATTGCAACGATGCCTAATATACGCTTAGAGGTGACACAATTTGAAATAATAAACAAAACCGGCTGGGAAAAGTATAATAAAAAGTATTATAGATTAAAATGGAAATGAAGCTGAGTAAATTCTTAGACAGACAAGTTCACAATTATAACGGTAAGTAACAAAGAAAGAACGACAGTAGAGCTTCAGAACTGTCTGGTTATTTCTAAAAAACCAAAACAAGACAACGTTACCATCGCATGTAATGATAAGCAACTTCACAGCTGGAAAAACTTGCTTGCTGCTTCAGGGTTCCAAGCTGATTATGAGGCATTCCTAGACAGGGAAACCCAATGGTGGGGTACTTTACTAAAATACTCGAATGGACACTTTGCAAATAACTTTAAATAATTACTTGCAGCCCTTTAAACAGGACAGAGTTAATGCTGCAAAATAACATTTTATTTGGGAGTCAATATATCATGAAATTGAAAAGTAAAGCCCTGGCAAAACGACTAAACATTTCACTAAATATTTTACACAACTTTTGTTTAGTGAGAAGTTTAGTGGAAAGTTTATTCGTTTTGCCACCTTGTTTAGTGTTGTTTAGTCGTGTTGAGCATTGTTAAGCAAAGTTATATTCTGGTAAAATTTTTTTAGCGCTGTTTAGTGTTGTTTAGCAAATGTTTAGTGACCCAAAATCTCTAGAATGCCTTCGTGAGACATTTGCTTCGTCTCTTTGTAGGCTACCGTGTCTTCTTCAACAGTCAACTTTGTTATCGATGTGCTAAAAAGTATTTTTTCCCCTTTCTTTTATCAAATTCTTAGTTTTTTCCACTTCTCGAACTTGAAATATTTTATGCTAACATACAACAAAACAAACAAAAAGCAAATCCCTATGCAAGATCCCCTACAGCCCCGCAGCGTCCTACACAGGTCGCAGTTAAAAAATGTTGAGCAAAGTTTAGTGAAAAGTTTAGTCACGTTTTGCCATCCTCGCTAAACTTCGCTCAACTTCATTGAACAAATGTTGAGTGAAATGTTTAGTGAAATGTTTTGCCAGGGCTTAAGAGATAACTGACTGCATTCTTTTCATTTCCTTTTATCCTCAAATGTCTACCTCAACAAATTATTCTTGTCTATTTATCTTCATCTACGACGTATTGATATGAATAAGAATGCCACACCGAAAATGCCACTATAGGCAAAGCGATTGGCGACAATGGTCGATTAGAATTCCTTTCATATTTTAAAAAGACCTGTAGTAACGCAATAAATAGATATATTGATTCTATGTGCTCCGGCGTCCCTGATTTCCTAAACATGACAACCTGATGAAATAATCCATGATATTTTTTATTTGATCAATAATCAAAAACAACAAAATAGCAATAATATTTAAGAATATTTATTGCCTCAGTCTGTTTCCTAACCACAGTGACCATGACCTGTTTGATTGTTGTACAAATTTAAAAATAGACAAAAAAACACAACAAATTAGTTACCATTTTCAGGGTTGACCCAAATTGCCTGGTGATAAAATCTCTCAGCAAGATCCAACGCTGAATTGCCTTCTAAATCCATACTGTATCTAGCTGTGTGAAAAGAAGCGTCTTGTAAGATAATTCTAGCTTCTGCCAGCTTAATAGAGCAAATATTGTACTTATAACAAACAGATTTAGAATGAGATTAGGTCTGCTTCTGAAGGCAGCTATCAACGAAAGCAAACATGAAAGAAAACTTTGCGAAAAGGTATTATTCCTTTTCTAAGCAAGTAAAAACATTAAGGTTTTCTTTGTTTCTCAATACAGTTAAATTCTGTTATGCTGGACTTTTGAGTTGTGAGTAAAGAAATGGTCTGACTTGGCAAATGTCGAATTTTGACTTGAAATAGGTAGGAAAATACAGAGAATTGAAAGTCATTCCAATGTCGAGGAAGTCTGAGTTATTCAGGGTATGAACTTAAAGGACTCATCTGTATGTAGCAATTATATATATATTTAAATGTTTAAGATGAACATTCTCAAATTGTTAATCTTTTAAGTTAATATTTAAGATGAACATTCTCAGAAGGTAAAATATCTAAAGAAGCTAAATAAATTTGTAAATAAATCTTTAAAAATTACCAATGTCACCAAGATAAAGCAAGCATCTTTGACACGCTCTTATTGCCCATTCTATTGAATCCTTTGAGCATTTCTTTTGTGCAAAATCTAGAGAGAAACAAGCTTTGGCACAAGTGATGGCAAATGCAAGAAAGAGGGAAGAGTAAGCAAGATATTGGATGTATCAATTCATCATGTGCAACATAGAAAGGAGATATGTAGAAAAACAGCTGACCTGAGACATTGAAAATCAAGCATTGCTTATTGATTTCAGTTTTTACCAATCACAAAAAATGACAAAACAAATAATTTCCTTCACAGGTCTGAATTTGCTAGAAAATTACAATTTATTTAGATCTTAACATGGGCATATATGAATGAACTCATAATTTTGGTGGCTTAGTTAAAGTCCACCGATGACATTTTGGTCAAAGGATTAACAGGCATCTCACTTATGGATTATGAAAAAGGCATATTGACATTCAAATCTGCAAGTTGCAAGAATCCTTTATATGAAAAAGGAAAGTATGAATAAAATCAAACCAACTGTACAAAATCATGGGATGAAATTCAAATCTGTCCCACTTATAATAAGAAGGTACAGAATAGGTGAAACTTGAGCACAGTTAAAATTAAACTATATAACTTGCAGAATTAGATGTCAAAATCTAACAAATGACAAGGGAGAAAAAACCTAATAATGATTTTAAGAAGTGCCTTTAAAAAAGAAAAATACCTGCTGTCCTTCTCTTATCATGTTGTAAAGCATTTAGCCAGTCTAGTGAGCTGGGTACAGGTAAATTATAATGATCTGTGATCTTGATCAAAAGTTGATGATAAAATGAGTGTGCTGCATTAAGATGGGCACTATACAATGCCACAAGGACAGGACTGCTCTGCAAAGTCTAAAAAACGAACAAATTAGGTACATGATGATTATTAATGACAGAAAATGAAAGCTTTTGAACATGAATATCATAAGCTCTTAAATAGTGATGAAATTAAAGGCAATCATAATATCATTGAGGATTGGTGTCAGCATTGAAAAAAAAAGAATCAATTTCACGCAACTTTGCTTTTGCTGTAACTTATGCTAATTGATCAAAGACATTTTTGGCCATACAAACTTGCAACTAATGTACTATATGTAGGTGGTTTTGGTTTAACTTGTCTAAGATACCCAATAGGATGTGTAGACAGAGCGTGTCTTGCTCTTTGGAGGAACTATGCAATTTTTTCTACAAGGTTAGTTCATATCTTTAATCAGGCAAGCAGGTAGAATGTGAGAATCTTTAGTGATTTTGTACACAGTAATCATGCTTCCTTTATCTGTTGGAGTCCTGCTTCTTTTAGGTATTGAAGGCTACATTCCCCTTAATATATTTCGATAGTATAATTCTTGTTAGGACAGGATGGCCTCTTTTGGCTCTATGGTAAAAAAATTAGCCTTTTTGTCCATTTCATCTGGAATAAAAAACAGTGAAATTTTTATGGTCTTTTGTGTTCTGATGCACCAGTGGAACTCCTCCCTCCTTATAATGATGGAATATGGTCTCAAAACCTGATATTGCTACAGTAATGGTTTGGTTTTGTCTAGAGGGGACATCAGTAATTTTTTTTATTGCAATCAAGTTAGATTTTAATTGCCTCTATTTATTTTTCTGTTTAAACTGGGTTTAAAACTTCAATGCTTCACATCATTAAAGCCCTGCTCAAATATACTGGATTTATTTCTGATCAGATCACATATAATATTGGATGGCAGTTTGTTCACACAATAATGCTTTATTAAGATACAATCCATATTCTTTGCTGAGGCATACCACACTGCTTTGAGTGTAGTATGGAACCAAAAAGGACCATCTATGAGCTTGATATGTGAATGCACTTACTAGTCTGACATGGCTTTGCTCCTAAGGCAGCTTAATTTTTCAAACAGTTTGGTGAAATTTTTAATGCCTACGAATTCATAACAATTGATATCAGCACATATGTAACAGGTCAAAGATAATAGATAATTCAAAGATGTGTGGAGTGTGGAGTGTAGCATTGCCATATGAACAAAAGTTATAAACCTGATATGCAATGAACCCAGTATCATGTGAATAGTCATAAAAATCCAATCAGATTGGGTCTGTGAATCTATTTCGGTTTTCAAGCAAATGCAAATAAACTCGAATGATGTACATACCTTTTTGTCTTGCCTCAGTTTTTGAATAATGTCATAAAATGCTTTCCTCCATAGAACATCCTCTATTCTCCTTGCCAAATCTACAGTGCCATTGAAAAGCATTTGCTCGCAGACATCTTTGAGCCTGGTTAGAAAATTTCATTAAAATAAACAATATATTTTCAAACAAAAAATATGTTTGATTATTTACTTTTTTATTCAAGTTTGCAAACTCTGGGGGAGGGGGGGGGTTGTTGAAAGGCTCATTAACATGAAGAAAAAACGAGGGGAGAAGATGGGCAGATAAAAGTAATCTTGTGTTACAAAGTGTAAAACTAGAGTAAAGAGACTAAAACTTACTTCTGTCTTGTCAGAATGGTCTCTGATTCAAAAAATTCTTTCCATTCTGTTGCATTTTGAAGTTGCATATCCAATCTCTGTACCAATTGCTGAGCATATCTGGGTGAATTCAAAGAAAGGCAGCATTGTAAAGAAATGGCAAACACGAAAGAAGGAATGTTTTAGCATTGACCAATACAATGTTTTAATACTGACAACATTTACTTTAAGTCGTGTAAAGTCAAACAAATGATTGAATGATAACATAAATGATATGATAAACTACTTTGTGTCAAAAAATAAGCAGTAAATCGGATGCAAGCCTTTCATTCTGAAGACTTTAGTCTTTTGATAAACATCTGATTTTGAACAGTGCCCTGCCATATTCATCTGCTTTCCAAAGCCTCAATATATTGGTTGAGCAACATATATTTAGGGGAAAATACACACATGTATCGCTTGGAAAATAGCGATTTTACTCGAGGATTCAAGCACCTTGATGCTACTGAATACGACTTTACAATGGGCAATAATATTGTTTGTATCCAATTACAGAAGCAAGTGATATCTGATGATATGGACAGTGAACATCAGTCAATCAACGATTTATCAAAAGCGCTGCTACTTGAATAAACAATGTTGATTCGCTCACCTGTACAGCTTATGTACATTGTTTTTTTGATCGATTGAAGCATTTTTCTGCATTTCATTCTCTGACATTCCCTTCTACGTCTATGTTCGTGCAAAGACTAAATTGTCTCCATCTTAATTTCCGTTATTTTCAGTTCAGATTTATGTTGAAGATGCTATGGCTTCCTTCCTTCATTACGAGGCCGTTTCTTTTACGGGGCCGATTCATAAGGGCACCTTTACCATGTTTATGGAAATGTGTAGATGAGCTGTTTGGTCAGTTTAATAATTTTTTAATAAACCGTGAGTAGAATATTTTTATTAATTTCCTTTATGGCTGATGTGCTAACTTTTGTGTATGAATTATGCAGAGAAATTTAAATGAAGATCAGCATCCAGGATGCATTCAAATCCTACCTTCAAAATATAACGTGTTTAGCGGCGACGTCACGAAGAAGGGTTTATAAATAAATAAAGTTATAATGCATTGCTAATAAGATCAAACACTGGTGAATACTGAAGCAAGCAGTACCAATAATGTTTTCCATATAATGCTGCTACTGTTGATTTTTTGTGTAATCTAGAATCCAGTAGGCTTTCCAAAGCTATTAATCTTCAGTGTTAGATCTTCATTCTTGTCTTTGATTGGTATGTATGTATTTACAGGTTACATTTAAAGTAGTTCTTATTTATAATCAGCATCATTCAGTCATGCGATTTTCTTTTTTTTCTATTTTTAGGCTAAAAGCTTTCCAAACACAATGAGGAGCTTGGAGCTAATTTCTGTGGACTCTTTAAAAATAGATGTTGATGAGAAGATCAAATGGTTTTGTGTTGACAGTTTATCTCAAAAGGCATTCTTTAGCACTAACAATGAAGTTTTTTCATTCCTGTTACAGCAGAAGAAAGTATGCTGATTGAATATAAATTACTAATTAAATTATTTTGAACATAATTATTAATAAGCTCCCCAAAAACCTGGAAGATATATATGTACATATTCCTAAAATGATTTTGGCGGAGATGGAGAATCTGGATAGGTATCTTATTTTGCTGGATGTCATATTTGTAAGAGAGCATTCCTGACCCTAGGTGATCTGTGATTCATTGATGTAGTCAAAAAACCCCTTGACCTGTATGACACAAGGTCAATAAGATTATCGTCACCAGATTCTTCAGATTCGCCCATTTCTTTGTTTAATGTTTTATTGTTGTTGCATGGGTGTTCAAGATTTTCTCTCCCCTAAAAAATCTCACAAAATTTGTAAATGACCTTTTTTAAAGCAAATAGTATATCAAGGTCAGATCACAGTAAATTCTTTGTTTATCTTCGACGGAGGGAAGCATGACTTGCCTAAAAAATGTCTTTCTCCACTTGTGTAATATTGAGTATTTTCTTTGCCAGTCAAGATTTATCTTTTGCATTAACATTTCTAATAACATCTGTTTTCAGGTTGAAAACTCAGTCAAAATTGATCAACAAAATGTTTTATCAATTGAGTACCTGATGGATGATGAAACCATATCAATTGCATCATCTAATGGAGATTTATTTGAATGGAGAATGGTTGACCAATCACTGGAGTGCGTTGGTACCATGGAATCTGGTATAACATGCATGAAATGGAGCCCAGATCAAGAGATATTTGCACTAACTACAGGTAGGCTTCTTTTGCTTGCAGACGTCCATGTCATTGTACTGGCATGAATCTATTTCAGTTCAAAGTTTATTCAGCCAATCAGATGATTTGTCAAAAAATTAGGCTAAGAAATTATTAGGCTTCTTTGGGCAGGATCATTATAGGCACTGTACAAATGGTTGGGTATTTGCTCCAAAGGTAAACAGGGAATGTGTTGTTGTGAGAATAATAACACAACCAGCAGGCTATAGTTAATAAAATATAAGCAAAGTGTCAATAAAACAAACTACAACAATGCAGGTAGAGAAAACATCAACAATCAAAATGGTTTATTATGGACTATTTTGTTACTAATCAGTTTCCAAAGGTAGGTTTCAGTACACTGCTTGTCAAGAAATGTCCTCGTCCTTTTTGTCTGTGTGACCAAACTTTGTGATTCCTATTCTTGGAATTAACAAAAGCTAATGACTCCCACAATTTCATTGAAAGGTTGATCATGTCAGTGGCTGGGCCTTGTAGTCTTTGGCCCAAATTACTGAGCAATCCAAATGGGTCATACATAAATGACGTCACCTAAAATTTCAAGATTTTTAACACAACCCCGCCCCCCTCCCCCCCTGTCACCGCTTTGTCACCAGCTTTCTAACTACCATGTACTATATTGCCAGTGACGTCACTTCTCACTCTACACCCCCCCCCTCCCTTTGCTAAATTTTCTTTTGAAAAGAAGAGCAAAGCAAAAAGCACAATTTTTGTTGAAAACATTACGTTTTCATAATTACTCGTCATCAACAAAAGCATTTTCTTGTAACATTTTGACACGATTGAATACTGGGGCACACCCTTCATCTTTTGGCTCTTCTTCCTCTATCTCTCCATCCCCCCATCCTCGGATTCTTTCTCTTCCGGGATTTCACCTTCTGGTCCAAAGCAACCCCCTCCACGGCGATGACGATTGACTGATGCCATGCTAGCATGGTAAATATGACAGCCTTTGCATACTCTGCGAGGAACTTTGTCAATTTTGCTGGGGCAGTAGACATAATATGGCAATGGCTTCTGTAAGCAATTTGAAGGAACCATGTTTTCAATTGCAAGTCTTTGCCAAAGAGAAGCATAGCCATCCGTCTTCTTTGCATCCCGTGCTGATGGCACAATTGGTCGCTGACAAACAGGGGGCCTTATGAATAGCTACGCACAATAATTCTCCTTATATTCATATATGTTTCAAACTTTCTCCACTTCATAATTTTTTGAACTTGTGAATCTTTGCATCGTCTACACAGTCTTTACTTTGTCTGTAAAATCGTCTATATTGGAAGGTAAAATAGCACATTAATCTGTTTTGAAGGCTACGCCACTGGCTGTAGAGCGCTTCGCGTTTTTTATAGATGGCAATTTTTACATGAAAGCAAGGAATGTATGGGCGATAAAAAGTTATGATAGGGTCACGGGGTAGCAGCCGTGAGGTACCATAAAACAGTTTTGATTAAGATTTCGAAGAGAGTTTTTATGTGCCTTCATATTCTGCTAGAGATGAACCTGTTGCTACGTTCTAACCCTTCCCTTATAAGAAAATAACAACTTGTGTCTGAGTGCTTATGCTAAAGCTAAATGCATTTTTCCTTGGAAAAGATGATCCCACATTTACCAAGGTGACATCACCAAAGCTTTAAACCCCGCCTCCCCCCTCTCAAAGTATCACCTTCCAAAGTATCAACTCAAGTTGGGTGCCTCGTTTTTGTCTTTGCATAGAGGTTATGATTCGCACAAACTGCAAGTTTTCACCAGTAGTTGAAATGTAATTCTATTTTATTTACAGGTTAAATTTATGTGTCATATAACTCTTCATTGATGTTTTACTTTGATCATCATCAGCAAAATACAGTAGACTTTTTCCATTCATAAGCACTTTTGAAATCCCAGGTGATGAAAAGTTGGTATTAATGAGCCGAGATCTGGAGCCGTTTTTCGAGACAGACCTCAATCCAGAAGAATTTGGTGAAGGTGAGAATCAATTTATTTAAGGAATTGTGTACTAGTAGAATGTTGTGTACTTTTATGAGTTAGTATGTCTGACTTTGTTAAATTTATGTCATTTTTTAGCTAGAGGTCTTCAGTAAAATTATCTTTAATATCATCAGCACAGCTAATAACGGTCGGTTGGGGAAGCAAGAAAACACAGTTTCATGGGACAGAAGGAAAACCAACTGCAATGGATTTAAAACCCAAGGTTTGCGGTCTTGATTTTATTCAGTTTTGTGGTCTTAAATGCTAGTGTCAAATGCTTAAATAAGTAACAATAAGCTAATTCTGTTTTGTCACATTGTTGCCTTAAAATTGATCTTTTGCTTTTGCAAGGTGCCTGATCCTGCGCTTCCATGGGATGACAAGAAAGTACGAATAAGTTGGTGTGATGATGGTCAATATTTTGCAGTCTCCTCTGTGGATCCTATCACAGGTAAAATTATTTTTCACGATTAAAAATATATATATTGTGTGCACTTTTTGAATAGATAAAAATCAAAAATATTTTTAACTTTATGGAAGAGACATAATCATAAGGATTTTCCCGTTTTCTTTGAAGGCTCTCGTAAAGTTCGTGTCAGATCACGTGAAGGAGCATTGCATTCAACCAACGAAGTTGTTCCAGGCTTAGAGCATCCTCTTCATTGGAGGTTAGTTGTCACTAGCACGGATTGCTATCGAAAGATGCACTGATATTTCACTTCAGCAATTGATAGATGAATTAATGTCTGAGAATTTTGAAGAATTACCGATTTGATTATGTGATTCTGATTTCAATTTTTAATTACTTGTCATGCTTGTCAATACACAACTGATGCAAAATCAGAATTCTTTCTTGTCAAATTAGCCTGATTTTTTTTTGTTTATTGTGTAGGCCATGTGGAAATCTAATTGCATCATCACAGCGAAAGCCCAATAAACATGATGTGATATTCTTTGAAAAGAATGGTTTGAAGCATGGAGAGTTCACACTTCCTTTCAAGCCAAAGGAAGCCAAAGTATTTAGATCTAAGACTTGCTTTTTAGTTTTAATGTAAGGTTTATTTCGAAAGTCAACATGCAGATAATAGTCCTTCACAGAAAGAACACCTTTATTGTTGTATGCTTTTGCAAAAATTTCATTTACCTAGCTCATATGAGGTGATAGAATACAATCTGACAAATAGAGATGAAGAAGTGGTGCTAAGTAACATAACTAGCGACGCATTTGCTTTTCACTTAGTCTTGTTTTAAAGGAATTATAAAATATTGTAGAAAGTTTCTCCTGTAACGAATGTTTTTTTTCAATAGGTAATTGAACTTTGTTGGAATAAGACATCAGATATTCTTGCTGTTTGGTTAGAGGAACTACATTACGACCAAAACACCCCACAACCACAGCAGCTGTCTTACCGTAAGTGCGGTTTTCAAACATAGTAATAATGTCTTTGTCACTGAGTCTGTCTTGTTGTATCCAAAGCCTTTTACTGCTGAGTGTATAATCGATATTACCTTTAAACTACATAATGATGACATTTTTTATGGGTTTCGCACATACCTGATGGCTTGCACAGAACCTGATCAGTAGCTTACACGATTTTCAACAACTTTTGTATTCTAATGCAGCTATCAGCCTATTCTATGCAGGATGATTTTTCTAAGTTTAATTATTATATTTCAGTTCAGCTTTGGACCAGAAACAACTACCATTGGTATTTGAAGCAAGAGTATCGATTCAGTTCTATGGGAAGAAGAATTTCCAGCTTGATTTGGGATGCAGACTCTCCTTTGAAGCTTCATGTAGTTTGTGAAGGTAACACAGATTTATAATGCCCTTTCAAAACTGTGTAAGCACTTTCTATGAATTTTAGCTTATTATGTTGTGTATGTGATATTAATCGTTTTTTAACTTAACATGGAGAGAACTTATTTGATATGAATGAATCCCCATATTTGACATAGTTGGCTCACTTGGCTCGGTATCAAGAGCATTGTACGAAACATTTCCCTGTGCATATTTTTCTGAACTAGCTATATGTGAATTTATTTCAGTACTTCTGACTTATGATGCCTAACTTGTTGCAGCCCTATGAGCTAGGAATGTCTTAACTTAAAAGTATCAAGATGTTCCAAAAAGTGTATCAACACGCAGCTTTTTTTCAATTGCTCTCTAAGTTAACTCTTGCAAAGACCTTAGTCGAAGTGTTTAGTTTTGCTTGTATTATTTTTTGTAGATGGATTTTATTACCAGCTAACATTGAGGTGGACAGTTTTGCAAAACAAAGACAGCTGTGTTGCTGTTATCGATGGCTGTGAGTGGCAGTTTCAATTATATGAGTTTCAGATTTAGTTTTATGTAGCATTTTTGGGTAGTTTTGTCAAGGACTTACGATGATTCAAGTACCACCATTAGCAGACATACTCTGTTTTAATAGTTGTTTTTTTCTTTCCTACACCAAAATATTTTGTACATAACATCTCTAACTTCATTTATCGTTTTATCACAATAGCCAACCTGCTGTTGACTCCATTTGCAACGGCTGTTGTTCCACCACCAATGTCATTAATGAAGGCGACCTTTAAAGCACCTGTCAATCAAGTTTGCTTTGGAAAGTCTCCAAACGAGGCCACTGTCTTTCTGTCGGATGGAAGCACTCATTGTATTACTATTCCAGTGTCAGAAACAGAGGAGCAGATCGATTCTAAAGCTATTAAGATTGTAAGGTAACTCTCAGGATCCAAACGTCTTTGCAGTTTAGCAAATAGGGATATGTCATATTCGCTTTCTTTCTGTTGATAACGAGTACTTTATGGTGTAATAAAGCAATTTTGATGAATTCCTTTGATTAACATTGTTGAAGCTATCGAAAAACCTAGGCAGACCTAGAGAAACTCTCGTGACAACCTTGAATAAAGATATCACCAGAGCAAGAGCAATGGAAAGATCTTTTCCACTACCGAACATAAAGAACAATGTAGATTTTGAAAAGATACGATCCACAGCAAAGGACCGCAAAGAATGGAGAAGATTATCAGAAGTAGTGTGCAGAGCTGCAGAAGCAGAAACAACATGAAACCTTCATGTCGGGACTGCGCAACTGCAATTATATATATATATAAGCTATCGAAAAGATGATTGCCACGAAACCGATGCTTAGCCTTCCTTTAAATCGTGCCCCAAGGAAGAAGATATGAAGAATAAAAGTCTTCTTCATAAGATGACTCCAAAATTTATGTAAAAGATGGCTGCTTTACAATTATTATTTAAATAGATCATTCAGTCTCTATATTATTGTTTTCTATCTTGTTTTGTTTTACAGGCATGCAGATGTAGCAAACAGTCTAGAGGACGAGTTATCGGGTTATTTGCATGTCACTTCGTGGGTTGACGGAGGCTATGTAGCAGTATGTCGTATGAAGAATCAGAAACAGGCATTGTGCCATGTAGCAAATGATGATGATACTGCACAGGCATTTGTTATCAGGTTATTAGCCATTGAGATTCTGTTTACCCCATAATATTTGAACTACATTAATATTGTAAAGCTATTATTTTATACAAGAGATACTCATAATATCAAACATGAACGACTTCGTGAGCAAAAATGATATAGGAACTGAAATGGACAGACTGCCATGCGAGTTAAATAGTGTTTTAATTCCATAGGAAAGTTATTCCGATGGACCTTGAAGTGCTGGCAGTTGCCGTTGGGAAAGACTGTGCTGCGGTCGAAATGCAGGATGGGACAGTCTTCTCGTGCGAAAGAGGTCAGTTTTGAGAGTGTTTAAATTTTTAATTGACATTTTTGCATTTTTTTTATTTTCCAACAATTTTTACATTTATTCAAACTAGTTTCAAGCTGGCAGAACAGCATCTTTTATAATGGAAGAACATTAGAGAAATACATGTTAGTTTGTCTACTACAGCTTGTAAGATGAGCTTTCTCGTAAGTTTTATGCAAAAGCAATGCGAAGTTTGAATTTCTTTTCTTCAGATGACGGATCCTTTGCTATCAAGCCGTGGGTAACGCCTTTTGGCTCATCGCTTTGTTTTCCAGTCCCCTGTGACTATATTGCCGTTTGTAAAGTAAATCACGAGGTTGGTTCACTTAAGTTAGCTTTATAACAATGCATGTTGGTGTCATTTGCTTAAAGAATTCTCTTGTTTAGAAAAACACTTATATGCTGTTTTCTTAAAACCATTTAAGACCTTTTGCTTTTGCAATTCATGAACAGTTGATGTCGTACTTAATGAAAATTCTCACATACGAAATTCTAATAGGATTATGTTTTTCGATGTTTCTATGGTTGCTGCTCTTCCCAGAGTATCCTACATTTGGTTTCTGCTCATCCCAAAGCACCATTAGGGTACCAAGGCGCATATTATTTTCGTTTTTCGCGCCGACCTGACAATAAACGTCATTAATAATACTCAAGGTTTCATAACTTCAAGACTGTTGGAAATCTTAATATCAGGCTGTTTTCTATAGACGTTTAATTTGTAGCCTTACATTGCTTTTATGTTGACAGGATATTGTGATTGGAATGACAAATCACTATCGCCTTTACGTTAATGAAAAACAGGTAACAATTTTTCTGATTTATTTCCTTTTTGTCCGTACTGAGAATTTTTTTAACAAGCTAGTTGAACCATGGTTTGAATGTTTTGTATAGAATTTCTTTACAAGGTATAACAAGTATATTATGTTAGAATTTTGACCATATTTTGAAATCCGTTTATAAGTTGTTAATATTCCTTCAGCACCTAAGTACGGATCTTCCATGTTTTGGGTTAGCTTAGCATCGACTGATATTTAAGTGTTATCCTGATTCCATCTCAGCTCGACTTTAATTTCTCTTGCATTGTCGTTTTACATCAGCCAGCCCACAGAGCCATGCCACTTGCAGTCTAAGATATGTATTGAGAGCTTTGCAAAATAACCAACCGTCATTTTTGAAAATCAATAGTGAACAATACCACCACATTGAGTACATCTGTTATGTATTTTCATTGATTAAAATAGCAATCGCAATAGCAATGGTATCATTTTAAATACCTGTTTCACTCCCAGGTTGCTGATAATTGCACGTCTTTTTCGATTCATGACGAGTACTTGGCGTACACGACCCACAACCACCTTCTCAGATGCCTGCGACTCGACAGCATTCTCAAATGTAATTCAATTTTTAATCGATAAAAACTTTATAGAAAGAACGCATTTGTATTCACAGGGACCGTATTTGAAAAATTAATTTCATAAAGCCCTTCAGAATATTTTCCCCGTTGAATTTTATCTTTTGAGTACCTGAATCATTGACACTCTGGAGGCTTACGTTACCTTGAGGGACCTACAATCACTGCCAAAAGTCTTGGAACACTAACGTAGGTTTTCAAAGGCAAATTCAGCCATCCCCCTCTCCTCCTAGGAACAATGTTGATTTACTATAGAAAAAAGAAAGGGGTTGTGGAGTACGCTTTTTCTTGTGGATTGTTTGATATTTTTCTATACTTTCAACATTGTTTTGGAGGGAAAGGGGGGCGGAAGTGGTAGTATTCAAGAAAACAAATGAGAAATTGAAAAGCACAGCGCAAAGTGTTAGGTGTTCCAAGTAATTTTGGCAGTGATTGTAATGCTAAGATACCTAGTGTAATGATGGATTTAAAATTTACCAAGGTATGCAATCGTATTTAAGTTCTTTGAACAAGAACATACTCGATACATTGAGTGATATTGATCTTATCAAACATAGTACCTCACTTTATACGATTAGCATGCTTATTTTTATGTACCGAGTCGCGATATAGGCTCTGTCTTTCTATGCGTGCATTTCTAATGGTTCTTAGAGTTTAATAATTAACTATGAAGTGAATTGAAAGTATAAGATTTTCACTTCCAGCAAATAACACACGTCAATTATTTGCCGAATCATTGTAAGATTAATAGTTCTACTTTGATACGATACTTGAAGTTAAATCTTTTATCCCTCCAGTTGTGAACTCCAGTGACAAGGAGCAGCTTCAAGGAGAGGATTTCAGCAGGAGTCTTGAACGTGGATCAAGGATAATTTCTGCAGTTTTTAACGACACCAAAGTGGTTTTACAGGTATTTCATAATGTTTTTATATACAAAGGGCTGAACTATTTCATTTTTTCATAATCATGGTTTTTCTCTAAGTGATCAGATTTCAAATTGAACATCGAAGGCCAAGAAACTTAACTATTTCCGAATTTTTTTTAGATGCCTAGAGGTAATCTAGAGACGATCCATCCACGAGCTTTGGTTATATCATTTCTAAAGAAACAGCTTGATAAGTAAGTTACCTTTTCTTTCTTCATCTTTTTTATCCATTAAGTGCCAGTTTTTTTCTCATCTGAATGTTTTTATTGCTCATCGACCTCCTGGTCTCTTCACAACACTCCTATGATAAAGATATTTAAACAGTTTTTTGGCCGTACAGAACTTGAAATGGCTTTGAAAAAAGCAAACATTTTATAACATATTGGCTAAAAGCTTTCTCGTCTGACACTCCTCAGAGCATAAAACGTCAGAATAAGGGTCCGAAAAAACACTATGAATAATATATACTCTGACTCTCTGACGTTTTATGCTCTGAGGAGTGTCAGACGAGAAAGCTTTTAGCCAATATGTTATAAATTTTTTGCTTTTTTTAAAGCCATTATAATGATATTTGAAAAATAATTTGTAACAACTTTCGTACGTTAGCTATATGTTATGATGGGCATCTTTTTTCGTAGGCTACTTTACAGAGAAGCATTACTACTAATGAAAAGGCATCGAATAAACTTAAATCTGATATACGATCATAACCCAAAGGTTAGTATACGAAGAATGATTTTGTTAGTTGAAAGATTGAAATTTTTACGGCATTCTATGTATAATTTCCAAGTTTCGACCTTCACAGTATTCTGCAGATCTAAGGAAAAGAAATGCATATGATATTTTGAAATTGGTTTTCAGTGGAGATTGAATGTTGATGTGGGATCCACTTACTGTCTTGCGTAATTCTTTATTTGCTTCATATTTTCTTATTACAATTTCATATATTTCTCATCACCCATAAAATGTCATTAGCGTTTTCTTTTACTCAGCAAAACATGACAATTTAAAGTGATTAATTCTCCTTTTTTCCCAGCTTTTTCTAGATAATGTCGATACATTTATTACAAATGTTAAATCAGAAAATGATATAAACCTTTTCCTCGCAGAACTCGGGTAAGACGCGTTGTGCTTTTTGAATGTTTGATTTTTAGGCCTTTGTCACTTAAATTCTTTGGAAAAAAGCATTGAAAATAGGAGAAATTCTGCAAATGCGGTAATAAATGAAATCAAATTTTTGATAAATCAAGCCCCATTTAAAGCAAAAAGCATGGAAATTTTTATAAAGCTGATAGAGTGTATACTCGTACCCAAGTACTATATGTATGCGAGACTTGGTCAAAAGTACCAAAAAAGCAAATGAAAAAACTTGAGAATTTACAAAAGGATGCTGTAACCATTAGTGATGGTCTCCCAGCTTCAACACCATATCGAGGCCTGACATATGAATGTGGCCTGAAACCAATGAAATACAAAGTAATAGAAAAAAGGCTTATATACTTACATAGAATTCTAATAATGAAAGAAATAAGATTAGTTAAACAAGTTTACAATTAGCAAAAAAGACTTAACTTCAAAGATTGCTGACACTGTCAAATTAAAAAAAAATTAAAAGACCTCATGATTGATCTTGCAGAGAGACAAGTCAGCAATCTGCCAACTAAGGAATGAAAGAAACTAATCAACCAAAGTTTAGAAAAATCTATTGAAAATGACCTAAAAAAAGACAATGAATCAAAATCAAGATTCATTAGGAAAGGTTCTTTTGGAAAAAACAATATTTAAAACACAGCAAAGCCCCTACATTGTTAAATTTGAAGTTAAATATGGTAGACTTAAAGGCAAACTTTAGTGGGAAACATTAAAAGGCTTTCCCTAGGAGGTGTGGAGATCATGAGAAATATGTGGAGCATTTTTGAGAATGCCCCCTATTTGAAAATAAAAACTTGCCTAATTTTGCAAACATGACAAAAAATATTCCAAAAGTATTGAGCATTATGCAAAAATATGTGGACAAATTTATAAACTTGTTGCGTTCATTCGCATTGTTTCTCTCTCTTCCTTTTGTCTGTCCTTCTTCAAACCTCTTACCAATTTTTATGAATCAAAAAGTTATTTTGAATACCTCCATATTAGCTAAACTGACATAATTTTCTAGCCATTATTAAATCCTCCTTAATTCCTATTCATACAACTCCATTACCTATCTAAAAATTATTTTGCCTCCAGAAAGGAAGATGTAACGCAGTCTCTCTATGCTACGTCCTACCACGTGACAACAAAGAATGCTACTGAGTAAGTTTTAATTATATTCTCAGTGACCTCTCAAAATCACAATATTGATCGGCCTAGCAAATCTGATGTATCTTGTGGTAGCAGAAAGCTCTCGTTGTTCAAACCCTTTGGTTTAAGCTTTTATAAGACGCGTTTATGTTTTCAATTCTATTTGTATACTACAGCGGTACAAATATACTGTATCATTATACTAAAATATACACGACCCAAGAAATTATTATTAAAAATCAGTGATAATACTGAAACAAAAAACTTAATATAGACTGTAGCATAATATTGTTGCATTTAAAGATTGTCAGTGTAGCCGGTGGATGACATCATATTATTCTTTGGATGTTTGCTATTTTAACTTACAACTATTTTAATTTTGCTATTTTGCTACATTAGTTTTCTAATTGTTTTGGTAAAATCGCATTATTTAAATAGTTTTGGTTATTACCTTATATGTTTTGAATTTTTGTGTGACCATTTTAATTATCCCAGTTTGTGTTGATATCTCTGTCATTCTAGAAATATCAACAAGGTCGATGTTATTTGCTCTGCAGTTCGTAATGCGATTGTGAAAATTGGTGTGAAAAGGTAGGCAAAATCAGATGTTACTGATTATTGTCCGAACTTTTTGCCATAAACCAGATTTAACCTTGTTGACTTACATTTTCGTTGCTCCTAAAAGGTTTCAATAATAGAACCTTTATTAAAGAAATAGTCATTGTTTTTCAGCTTCTTTTTGTCCTATCTTACCACGTATGCAAAGGAATCAAAACCTGGTCTGGGTGTAGTGTTATCATATATAAAGTCGCTAAAAGGTAATACATTTGTTATAAAAATTGTGTAAACGCATTCAAGTACCGATCAATTATTTTTATTCCAATTTCATTTAGTAAGTTTTGTCAATGCTCGTTCAGCAGGTATACATGTTATATTGTTTTTAATTAAATCTATATGTTCTGATGTGCTTTACTGTAATTTTGCAATGTTTTTGTTTATCCAATTGTAAACAGACCAAATGAACTTCTGACCTAGATAAAAAGATAGAGGCTGATGTAACGCACGAGAGAGCCCTCAGACACATTCTGTATTTCGCTGATGTCAACGAGTTATATGACGTCGCTCTTGGGCTGTACGACTTTGAGATTGTGCTCATGGTGGCGGAAAAATCAAATAAGGTCTGTTTATGCTCATTCTGTGCTCACCGTTGCTATTTAATTTTTTGGGTATTGAATTGCCCTTTGTTTCCTATGTCAGATTCGGAATTCTCCTTCTTTGCTGTTTTATCAAAGGCTGCGTTTAAGCACAGTTTTTAATTGTTTAGGCTAGAGCCTCCCTCAGCTGCACTCTTAGAACTGTTAAAAATTTCCTGGATTGGCTAGTTTTTGTCGATTTCATTTCATTGGTGTCATTTTCTACAGCCAAATTCGTCCTCGTGACCTTTAAAAGATGTTATTATTTTCTAGGATCCGAAGGAATATCTGCCTTTCCTAAACGAGTTGAAGAAATACGAAAAGTTCTATTGTCAGTTCAAAATAGACTGTCACCTCAAACGCTACACCAAGGCTCTAGGCAACATTCACGCTTGCGGTTCGTCAATTTAATTGTTTGCTTTGTATTAGTACTACTAAGAAATGTCACTATTGATAGTTTTTTGAAGCAATGTTTGGCATAAGTTTAATTTGATAATTTGATTATTTGTTTCTCGTTAGGCCCGTCTCGTTTTGAAGAATTTCTCGACTTCACAGCCAAGCACAATCTCTACAAAGATGCACTGCTTTTTTGCAGGGAAGATCCGTTTAGTTTCAAGGTGACTGCCTATTTTTGGATTCATATTGTAAATACAATTATTTCCTTAATATTTCGAGACTGTTTTTTTCTCTGTACTTTAATTTTATTTAATATGTTTCTAAGCCCCAATTTCTGAATTAAAGCTAGTGGTCTTATACCTTTGCATAAAGTTCATTGCTTGGTATGGCAACCAATTCATTAAGGCATCTACTCATCTCTGTAATCTCCCCTTTTGGAATTTCGTCGTAACTTTCTTGGTGATGAAGTCCCAATACTATAGAAAGTTTGTCTACTTGCTTTTTCTAGGAAGTTAGTGCCGTTTATGGTTCGTATCTTGTGCAGAAGAAGCGTTACAACGAGGCTGGGATAGGTAAATAAATCATATTTATTATTCCCAATCCCTGATGCTAAAAACCGTGTGAAAAGCTGTTTCAAATGTGGACACAGTTCAATTATCGCAGTTCGTTGCCTTGCCAACAACACAACAGCGTCGTATCCCATAGCTTTTCAATTTGACCATTGTTCGTTCATCGAAGCAGCTTACCTAAGTCAGATGGTCCTATTTTTTCTGCCAACCCATTTGTTCATATCTTATCGTTTATATAGGACTATTCAAATCATATTTGAAGCTATGCATCCATGTTCAAATTATGTTTTTTACCCTAAGAAACCTTTAAGTGTAGCATTATTTGTGCTGTCGCAAACTTGATATTTTCTGTACGTCTCTGCATAGAGAATAAAGTGAGAGATTGGCCAAGGAAGAAACTACTTGTGATAGAACAGAAATTACGAATTATTGCTTTCCTGACAGCTGTGGTTTGTGCAGCTGTTGTTCAGAGAGCTGGAGTTTGTAGCTTTCGCAGAGCTTACTTCTTAAGTCTGTTCTGCATTCCCACTTGTTGGTTTGCTTCTTATTTATTATTTTCTTATTTTTGTTCAAATAATACCATAATACCATGTTGATTCTTCTAAAATACCATTGATTTTCTAATCACATATAATATTCCCCTGTTTTGTCCTTACTCGTAGCTTTTTGCCTTAATTCCTTAAAATCGAGCCATTCCTATCTTTTATGTATTCATAGTTTATTCTCGAGTTTCATTGCACGAAGAGGCAAAGGATTCGTTTGTCAAAAGCCACAACTGGAAATTAGCAATTGCTGAAGCAGAAATGTTGAATTACTCCAATGATGCTTTAGTTCAGTTTGCAGTCAGTCTTGCAGGTAAAATTAACAAACAAGCCCAATCTTCACTCTTCGTTCTTCCAAGCAGTTTCATGTTATTTTCAAACCATCAGTTTTGTTTAGTAAGCAATAGCTGTATTAGTTAATATTTTTTCCACTATCAATATCTGTGGATAATTCCACTCCTCCAAGATGTCATAGGAATAAAGCAACAATCATATTGTTATCATAAAATATTGCGCATTAGGTTTTAATCGGAATCGAAATTCTATTAATTTTCCTTGTCGAGTAACCTCAGAAGAACACCTTGTTCATTTATAAGTAAGCAAGGAAAAGAGGTTCAAGTCTCGGTTTGAATGCAACATTGCACCATGCCTGTGTTATCGAGAAATGGCAACATCACTTTATCTGTTCTCAGTTTAAGGTATATTTTTATCTTTGAAGAAAATAACCCAGCTTTTATAGACTTGAAGTTTTTGCGGAGGAAATAGGTCAGTGCATTAGTTTGACTTATACAACAAGATGATTTCAAGGCGTATCTGAAGCGTGTGACCATAGTCGATTGAAAAAGCCTTTGACATTGGTCAAACTACTTTTTCAATTGACAATTGTCTGAAAGTCATCAGGCACTGTTGCCTTATAATGTTAAACTCAAATCTAAAATTTTGAATATCCCGATTTGGATGTCTAGCTATAGTACATATCTGTGGCATATGACATATTACGAAACAGAGCAATTTACACTTCTCATTTTAACTACTATATGGTTTGACAAAGATTGCCAATTTTTGTGTAGGATGAGCACAAAGCTCGACACTACTTTGCATGGACGTAAGCAATGAAATATCGAAGTAATACCACGTCAACTTAGCCTAGAAACTCAGCTTACGTTGGTTAAGTTACATATTTCAAGTTACTAGTCTGATAAGAGGGCATTTACAATTTAGGTGAAATGCAAGAATTGAAGAATTGGAAGGAGAGCGGAAACATTCTTGAATTATATACAGAAGTATGGAATTATTGCCGTTTCTTTTAGAATTATGCATGATTTTATTTTGATATGGAAATTATTGATGTGTTGACCAGCTTTGATCATGTCCTGTTTAGTAGAGACTCGTTGATTATTTCAGTTTTTGCAGGTTAACTTGGAACCATCATTTGTGCAATTGTACATTCAGTGATAGTCCAGACATTTCGTGTCTTAGGTGTTTGTCGTTTAATACTACAGAGCAAATTATTTCATACCTATTATTCAACTTCTTCTTAAGTATGGGCAGCCACCTTGAAGTTTAATTATTCCAGCTAAGAAGCTTTGCTGAGATCGGACATGAAAAAACCATGAATTCGTAATTTTGTACTTGTTAGATTTGATATCTTAGCAGATCAAGAATAAAGTTGCTTCCTGTGACGTTCTTTGACAGATATTTCTTTTCTATTGTGCAATTCTTCGCCCACAAACAGTATTGTTATTATACTCAAAGCGAGATTCCTCACAGTTTAACGATATTAAAAAGGTCCTCTCACTAGACGCCGAAATTTTCTAAGGCTCTTGCTCAAAAATATGCCTTTCTGAGAAGTGATACCTCTCTTACAGTTTACTTTGTTACTTTGAAGTGATACCTCTGCAAAAACTAGCTTCGATATCATCGATTTTCAATATTATTCTGTAATCAACATTGATCATCCACATTATTGATCTCTAAGATACGATATTAAAAACATTTGCTTAAAATTTATGTCCCATTGATTGCTCAGCAACATGTCTACTCCACTCATATGCTTACAGAAAAGAAGGTTTGCCCATGTCACTGGACAATATTCGAGCTATATTTGTGAAATGGCCAGTGTCACTTGAACCACATTGCCTGTATTTTTGCAAAGCAAGCACCCACTGGTAATCTTTGTCCACGACCATTTCCTAATGTTCACTCTTCAATTTATCAGGATTATGAGTCTGCAATATCTGCTTATCTCAGTGGCAACATGTGGCAGGATGCGCTTAGAGTGGTACGTGTGAGCTAATTATTTTAGCGTTTAAAGATTTTTTTTGTTTTTTTTTATTTGATTTTAAATGTTTTCCTTTACTGAGACTGAGCAAGACGTTCCTTGCTTTGTGTCATTGGCCGTAAAGGTAAATTTAGCTTGCAAAATGACTCTTGCTTGCTTGATTGCAAGTTTATTTTTGCAACAACTGAAAAGAAACATATGTTCCAGCATGTATTTCTTCTCTCCATCACTTGCCGCTTATTCAATAAAGAAAGTGTACTGCGTTGTCTCTTCACGGTTATTTTAAGATTCTCCCAAGTGACTTTACTCGAGGTCAATTTACTCGACAGAAACCTTTTATGTAAATACACATAATGTAGACATGGCAGCTTGCAGTGATATTTATCAATCTTTTTCTCCAAGAGGTAGGAGGAATAAAGGCTCGGGGATTTCATCCTTCGCTTGATTTCCACTGAAGAACCACCCACAACACAGAATTGACGTGATATTTTTCTTAAACGTGTTAGAATGAATGGTTTTATCATTTATTATTGATAAGTCCAAGATTGGGAATTTTTGGCTTCAGATAATTTCTCAACCATTTAAGAACTTATTTTGGCAGAGGAGACAAGCGAAATCGCGTAGTAGCTGTTTAGCTATTCAATATATTCATGTGTTTTTCCGCCAACATCTCACATTTTCGTCTGCCAGCAAGTTGAATTGCAGTGAACGAGGAATGTTAAAGTAACAAAATGTTGAGTGTGATGTTATTTGTATTCTGAGGTTGCATGGTGTCCTGCTTGGCTTAAGAAAAAAGTAATGATAGTGTGTCAATCTTTCAATGTGGGGAATTCAAATAAAGCTTGGGAATATTTGATTCTTGAAAACATTTTGACTGTCAAGAGCGTGTACTGAACTGGCCTAGATACACACATTTCTTCCTTTCTAATGCGTCATCTGATTATTGTCTTTCATAGTTGTTTGATTATCTTGGTGAGATTTATAAACTTTATGTTTCTTGTGAAATAGGCTTATAATCGCAGGCTAAACTATGATTTTAACTTGTGTACGTTAATGCTTATAATAATGAGAATAGTGTCGATACAGAGTCATTCTTGTCCCATGTCATCAGTGTATCAGAGATAATGACTGAAACTTATAAGGTATAAACCAAGCTGTTACTTTGAAAACTATTGACAAATGCATGTAATTATATCCATAAGACTGGTTTTACATGTATCAAACTATTGTCAAGTTTATCCTTTGATGTTGATGAGAATAATTTGTTTTCGCAACAGTTAAGTTTCTTTATTTTCGCGAGTTCGTGCGGTCTAAAGATTTGATCGTATGTATCTTCACGATTTCGAGTGCAAACGGAACAAAAATTGGCCTAAATCATGTTTGAACCCGCTGCTCGAAAGAGAGGTTTTCAATTGTTCTAGCTGACTTTAGGAGAGAAGGATTTATAATGCTGTTGGTTAAAGTAACTGAGAAATAAAAAAAAGATAAAGAACTAAATATATTTTATCTGATAGATATACAAAGCAAGAAGGAAAGACATCATTGAAACCAATTTCAAGACAGCATTAGAAGAAGGTACATTTTGATTTTCCAACCGTTTCAAGTCACCTTAAGATATTTTCATCTTAGCAGTTGAACTATTTGATTGTGCATTCAATTTTGCTTTCATAATTGATAAAGAACGGAATCCAAAGGGGAACTCTTTGTTTTTCATAACTTTGATTTTTGTAATGTTTATACAACAAACCCAAACAAGTGATTCTTAAAAAATTCATGAAAAAGAGACCTGCATCATTTTTGGTCATTCTTGAATACAAGCGGTCATTCTTGAAACGTAAGGCCTGCAACATTGACACAGTAGGGTCAGTTTGCCGTAAAACGGGGGCTATTGCGACTCCGTACTACTCATTCTCTGTTCCCCGTGCAGAATTTTTCCTTCAATTGTCCCCTTACAAATATAGAAAACATACCATTTGGACCCCAGATGTTGTCGCATAATCCCCAGTCATCTTTTCAGCCAAATTTTGTGCAGAATATCAGGTTGTTTTTCTAAAGTAAACTTTTCCTAGATGAAAAGCTTGATAAAGTTAAGCATCAGTGACTCAATAAAGTTAAGCATCAGCCCCCCCCCCAATCTACCTCATGCCTGTTTTCTTTTCCTGTTGTAGCTTACAAGCATCAACTAGAAGTTATTCATACTGCCAAGGAGAATTTCATTAAATATAAAGAAAGGCTTGCCGTTGTTCGGGCGTTGAAGGAAAAACAACATCAAGAAGTTGCAGGTTTTGTTCCCCTTGTTTCAAATCTGATATTTTCGCAAAATCAATTTTTATTCAATAGACGAATTATCAAATTCAGCGAGGCCTGTGTTTAGTGGTACGCGCTGAAGTATCACCCAGCAGCGAATAAATGAAACGACGACATTCACCATAAAATGCATCCGTTTTGCTTTAACCATCATATTAAGACTATTGCTCCTCCATTAAGCATGTTTATACAGCCGTATAGTTAGCATTATTCAATTTTCAATCAGATCGTTTTTCCGTCAACTCTTTGGCAACTTTCGATTAGTAAGGAAGCAGATAGTGAATTTGAATTATCGCTAACAATAGCAGTTGGTTTGATGGATATTTTACACTTTTAGATGGACTAAGGGAAGAAGTTGAGAACGATTTATTTTCTGAAGCAAGTAGTGTAACAGGCCAGTCAGACATTTCAGCAACCTCCAAAGGATCGAGAGCTTCTGGGTAGGAATTTTGTTTTTCTATCTTATTTAATCCTTTTTATTCTTAAATTACTGCTGTTTTATTAAAAGATGGTTCCTTAAGATGCACTTCCACCTTTAAAACCCATGTGAGATTAAGCACTCTTTAACTAAAGTCTGTGTCAAATTAAACACGATGAATGTGACTTTAACGTTTACACGAAAGCGGATGCACCATTTTTAATGCTTACATGAGAACGGATCCAAGATGGATTTAACAAGTTGTGCTTGCTTGATCGAAATGTGTTATTTTAACTAAACAACTTGACTCTTTTCCGCTCAATCTAAAGGCTAACTTCCGCGAGGCGAAATTCATAGCGGATTAGCCGTGAAAACGCTACGAAAATATACTTTGATTTCCTCAAAATTAAGACTTCCCTGCTTATTTTGCCTTCTACCCGGCGAAACCTTTAAGCACCCAATTTCAAAATTCAGGCTTTTCGAATCTTCATAGATTGTTGTCTCTGAAATCAAGCAAATTTACCGTGCTCTGATTAGTGGACAGTTGTTGTGAATTATTTCATCGAAAAAAGTAGAACATATTTTTATTTTCTTGTGATTTCGCTACTTCTTGCGATCAACCAGTCATTTCACTAAGAATTTGCTGCGAAATTTGCTTTATTTTCTCTGATAAATACAAGTGCGTGGATAATTAGTGAAACGCAAATATAGCTGCTCTCAATCATGCGTATGAAATATTGATGTGAGAATCCGAGGCTTTTCATGCAAAACACGAGTTAGGAATGCAGCGCACTTCTTCGAAAGCTCTAAACATTTGATAGGGCTCAAATTGGTAGAATGCTGCAGAAGTGAGTGAAGAATGCTTGTTCAGACCTCTTTTATCTCTCGCCGGTGTCATATGCGTTTCGGTACCAAAACGAATGGTGGAATTTAGCATGCAAAACGGTCCTGGTACAGAAACCCATAACAATTTTGCTTATACAAAAACGTACCCAATCTTTTAAAAACAGGGAACTGAAACAAATGGTGGAATTTAGCATGCGACCTGGTCTGGGAACACAAATGTTCTGATTCATAATGTTCAGAATGTAAAGAACAATCGAACTATTTCTAACAAGGGGGTACTAACAAGAAGCGGTGCTGTGATTTCCCTTGTTAAGTTTATGCAAAAAAGTACAACATTAATGGCGACTCCAAAGTTTTCTTGATTAAAAAGTGTGAAATTTTGAACAAAAAGAGCATTGTGTTCTATTTGTTAATTATAATGTGTCATAATATCGAGCTACGATGAAATCACTTGATTTGAAACACATTGCGTTTCACAATGTTGCTTTTTTGCATAGGGTACCAAAACGCATATGACACCGGCACGACGTTCTGTCTTGTAATCTAAAGCTGTTTGTCTCTGTCCTACCCAAAACCCTAAGTATTGAGTGCTATGCATCTATGTGTAAAATCGCCGCTACGCCAATGTTAAAGGAGAATATTTTGCAGTGAGGACACATGTAGGCAAAAAAGGTGCACCTCTGCGAGCTGCAAATATTCACTTAACCTCTGTTTTTTGACAATGATGGACCCATGCCCCTTGTGTAACCCTGTTGCTACGTATATGCCAATGGTTTTTTAAACAATAAGAATTGTTCTGTAAAAAGCTGCAAAGATAGATTTCTGATTTTTTTGTTTTAGCCATTCTTCAAAATCACGTCGAAAATACCAACGCAAAAAATACAGCTTGAAGGAAGGGAGCAAGTTTGAAGATTTTGCTTTGGTTGAGGCATTGGCAGAAATAGTAAACACGGTGGACCATTTACAAGGTTTAGATAATAATATTAACTTAACTGCTAATTATAATTCGTTTCTGGCTTGCTTTTATGTTACCTTCATTTTTACCATTTTACGCTAGAGGTTCATGTATTATAATCACGTGCTTGAAAAGAGAAACTGAATCTAGATATAGAAGAAACTTTCTTGGTGAGAAATAGATGAGAATTGGGAGTAGCTTTAATGAAAATAAAGAAAAAAAATTGCTAGCATTTTATTTTTTATCAACGATGGTTTAGTCAGTTACGATTGTTGATTGTTTGTAGCCGACGACCATCATTTCAAACCCCGTCATTGCCATACCTTTAAACTTGATTTGCTAGCTGATTTGTATAGGATAGAAGTCTTAGTCTGGTAAACGTATAATTTAGCAATATTAATTCAGAGCCTTTTAGGATTAGTTTTTGTTATTGTTGTCCTTGCATTTGCCTCACAGTGGAGGATAGGAAGTGTTCATCAGGTCCATAAGCATAAATCTGCCCCTCATATATTTTCCAAAGCATTGCACAACAGCGGTATATAAAATGTCAGGTCTTGCTTCAGTAATTTGCAACAATTAACAAATAACGTTTTTGATCAGCATGGCCAATGTAAATCAAGTGGGGGGGGGGCGTTCATTTATTTCATCGAAGGAAGACAGAGTAACATTTTCAAAGGAGCCCTGTCAATTTTTCTTAGAGGGTATCTCCCAAAAGCAAGCTTGGATGTATAAGTAGAATAGCTAAAGTATCACAATATCAAGACAGTCGACTCCGCTTTTAGTCGCTCCGTTTGAAGTCACACTGCCGGTTACAGTCACCTTTTAGGCCCTAACACGCAAAACTGTTAAATTAAGCCCCGTTCATCGTCAAACTCTGCTTACAATCAGAATATTGCAAGCAGTATTTTGTGTGCCTGTAACCGGAGTCTACCGTATCAAGATTTGACAATAAAGAATACCAGAATGTTTTTGTTGAATTTAACCTACAGCAAAACCGATACTAATAACTGCGCAGTTAAAAGCGCCAACCTTCGGGAATCCTACTCCATAAAGCTTCGCAATCCCCTACCCAATTTGGCAGGCTCCAAACTGTCATGATGGCAGAGTATATTCCAGTTCATTTTGCTGCTATAGTTGCTGTCAAAGCTTTGGTATCTAAATATTTGTTAAACGATGGCATTTTCGTTGCCTTTGTAGATAAACCCGCTTAACCATCACCCCTTTATATAAGAGAAAGATACAGTCTCTTACCACGCGTATAGCCATTTTAGTCAGCTAGCCAGGAAACCCATATTTCTGATGTCAAACCATGTTTTCCGTCCATAACCTTCTTGGCCTAAATACCACGAGGTCATCTAGCAAAGATGGCTGTAGAATAGCTAAATAGAATAGCTGACAAATATCTTGTCATCTGGGACATTTAAAATTACCTTTTAACTCCCAAAGGGGACAAATGCGTCAAAATGCACCTTTTCGAAGCATTTGCAAGAAGTGCTTAACAATGGCGGCATCACGAGGGAACCCTTAATGAAGAGTTTTCATTCTTTTTTCTAGAAGGGACTGCTTCTCTCCTGGAAATGTTGACACTGTTTATGCGCGATGGTGATGCTGCTTCATTGCAAGCTGCATATGACACAATATTCTCACTGATTAAACGTAGTATGAAGGAAATCTGGTCTCCATCTCAGTCCCAAGAGGCCATTGTACCATTTGGTACTGGCCCTGATTCTACCGTCAATAGTATAATTGCTGGAATGAAAACACCAAAGCAACTCGAACAAAATTCGGCAGCTGGTGAGTGGTTACTTTTAGTACCAAAAAATTTTAGTACCAAAAACTCCGGTGAATTGACTTTCGTTGGAAAAGTTGACGACCTACCTTAGTTAGGCTTTATAATATTGGAATATTTTCATTGAACTATCTTCTCGTAGAATTAATGAACTTTTCTTGTATTAAATGTACTTTGAATCACTTCCTTGCGGTGCCCTTTTGTTTGTTGTAATGCAGATAATTCAAAGTCATATGTTGTCTTTAATTTCACCTGTTTTGGGCGGAAGAATGGGTCGAAAAGTTTGGGAATGGGCCTTTTGGTATTTTAATTAGTTAATGTATGAAGGTACTAGATTTAGTTTGACTCGACCTGTTTTTGTCGACTTTTGTTTTTATTGCGGTAAACTTTTATTTTCTCCTTCTTTTAGGCTTACCAGAACCCACTCGGCCTGTTCTTCGGGAAAACGTCACATGGAAACTTGAAATGCTGTAGACTTTAATAAGCCAACGCAACACTTTAGCGAATTCATATGTGATAAATTATGCAATGTGGTATAACAGTGAATCGTCAAACCGAATTATGCGTCGTCTGACACCTAGTGACACGGCTAACGAGAACATTAGGGTTGGCAACACCAAATTATCTTGCCATCTGTTCTACCTTGGCTGTATATCTGATGAGAGTTTTGCAAATGAAAACGGATCGGCACTGAAGTTTTTTTTCGTTAGAAGTCTTTGATTAGAAATGTTTCATGCAATACTTTATTAATCCCCTCAGTGTGCAATAAGCGTTTCAGCATTTTCCTGCCGTATTGAAGTTTTCAGTACGAGATACAGGTTTGCTGGGGTGGAATAAAGCTTCACCGCCCTTTTTTATTGTTCTCATTCATACAAGGTTTTGGATTGCCTCTACCTTTGACCAACGTGAGTCTATTCATTCAGTTATCTTGCCAGTTTCAAACAGCCTCCTTCTACGAAACCAACTCAAGAACTTATAACGGCAATAAATTGGGAATAAAAAGGGGCAGTGTGCTGTCCGTTAATACAACATACAAAAGGCAGCATTTGACGGCAAATAAAGCACAAATCAACTCGTTATGTACTATGCGTTGAATAATAAAATTCTCCAATGAATATTTCAATGAAGCTACACCATGATGGCAATGAGCAAACTCCATAAAACCAAAGGTATATTTTCTAATTCTAAAACAAAACAAACAGCTATAAATCGAATGCTAATAGAGGTATAAAATCACTAAAAAATTTGGCTAAACAGAAGCAAATGCGAATGAGGAAGGTATTCACAATCTTGACATGACAGCGTGTACACCCTCGACTTAGCGGGCCTGATTGGGCGTGATGCTTATTTAGGGTGCCTCAGTTGCTTTTGCTCAGTGTCCTAACTGAATGAGGTTGATTAAAAGAAACCACCATACCCTGGCCTCAATTAATATTCACTTGGTTGGCGTTAAATATGGTCTAAGGTATTTATGCTAGCCATAGCAAACATCAGTGCTGCATTGGAAAGAGGATTTATGGAGACAAAGGTAATCCACTGCCATACGCCTATTCGAAATTTTATGCTTATCGTCAAGACGGAGCAGAAAATCGTTAAATATCTAGTTCTATCTGAGGCTCGTAAGCTTGATAAACATTAATTAACGATAGAAAGAAAACGAGGCAAAAATGCAGCTGCTGTGCGATCCTGTTTTTCGAAGATTGCCGGCTGGTTGGGCGGGGCCAGTTGTAGCCAAACTGCTTGCTGGCTACAAGCATAGTGACTGTGCCTATGTAATTTGACTGACTTAAATCTCCACCTACATATCAAAAACATGAATTCTGATGAGCCCTACTTATGTAACTTGACAACGTAAAGGTTCACACCGATGAACGCGTTTAAACTACAACGTACATTTGATGGTACAAAACACGTATATACTTTACATTAATCGGACTAATATTCTCAACGTATGCTTCAGTTATTCAATTTCAAGTGTCAATCAGCGTGCCCAGCACAAACTCCACAATTTAACAACAACAACAACAGCAACAAGAATGATTGTCGGTGAAAATATATAAGCCAACAGGTTTAGACAATAGAAGAAAGTAATCTATAAATTATTTTATTACAAAACCCGTAAACGTGAAAACTGTTTGAAAGCCAAGGTATTGGCAAAAGAGCAGCGGGCTTTCTAGGGCACGGTGGAGCAGCCAGCTGCAGTTCTGTTTTAAATTGTACAAACAAACAGGAAACTTGAGACTTATTTACGCTGTAGATTGCAGCATGTTTGAATCATAGAATTGCAAACCAGCCAAACATAAAAAAGATATCACAAGGGGAGAAAGATTATCTAAATGTACACAGTAATGAAAAGGCTATTTATCATCTGCTTACTCCGCTAAAATTGACTCCATCCCCTAATATCTAGAAGGAACGGCGCAAAAGCCAGTTCAAAGGTTGTCAACGATGCGTACAGCTGCTTAAATCCCTTAGCCTGAAAACCCGCTTTATCAAAGATCCTCATTTCTAGCAGAGCCAACATGTAGGAATTCTAATAAAATCTACGTTATATATTTATATATATATATATATATAATATTTATATATATTACAATGCTACCAGAATCACGATCAAAAGTCTTTATGGTACAATAAATTTTTAATTTACACAGCATTAATGAAACCAATTTTTGAAGAGTTATTTCGCTAACGTTTCTACCACTAATCGAACACCTCTAATCCCCGAGGTTAGCAATACGAGAAATAACAAGTGAAGGTTGAAAGCATCAAATCTGCATCGATACATTAAGACCTTCGCGGCAATCCCATTCAATTATTTATAAGAATGGCAAGATATTGCTGATCACAGCAAAACTGATGCTTGGGATCAAGCTAACAATAATTAACCTTAGAATTATTCATTTGCGAGCTTTGTCAATGCAATCACGAGCTCAGAAAATCCAATTAACATTTATGCAGGTTCTTTAATGATGCAATGTTTCGCTTGACATCATTTTTTTCATCGTTGTTCATAAGTGCATGGCTTGTTGAAATAGGACCACTGACTCGACTTAAAAAGGTAAATAGCACAGATGCCCATTTTTCATAGAAAATTTCATCAGTGAAAAGTTTTCACTTTTTAGGTGAAAACAATTTTTTAGCAAAATTCATAATAGATATCTTTCAGAAGCTGGAATATGCTTAAGCTGCAATTTTATCCAAAAGAAAACAACCAAAATTGGTGCAGGTTCAAGGAGCTTCTGGGGTGGATTTGCCAAAGGCATAACGATGCAGTGTAAACAAAAACTGGCATTTGCTTCCAATGAGCACTCCACTGTTTACTCCTATATAAAATGGATCAGGATTTAGGATAGTACTGACAGCGAGATAATCCCAAAAATCTTTAAACAAACTCTGTTTCTACTCAACTGATTCATTAACCAAGAATCTGTATAAATCCACAAGACCCACTAGCACTAGATATGAAACCCCCTAAACAGCATATGCTACCAAATTTCCTGGTTACCTTCCATCCTCGGTCGCTTTAGATTCGGTCCTTGCATAGTCTTTTCTAGTATATGGTCATCCTTCTGTCTCATGTATAGATGAGGCCTCGGCGAAACAGAGTGGGCACGCACTGGTGACGTCATTTCTCGATGAAAGTCCGAAGGTTCCACTTTCACATTAACTGACTTCCCCGGAGGCATCCCCATGCCACCTCTGCAAAAAGGAAATTTAATAATCAAGATGCTGCTGTGCAATTGGAAAAATTAATTTTTGATGATTTTTGCCAAAAAAAATTCAATAGATGGTTTAAGTATCTTTGAGGTTATTTTTGATCTAAAAACGCCACCAAGCACCTGCTTCCACAGTCCATGTGCCTCTAAATAACATGTCCGTTCCATACCCCCCTTCGACTTTCACTTATCAAACAGCAAGGATCTTAAGATGATAAACGCTAAGGATGGGTATGGCAGTGATCGAAAAATGAAATACCTGGAAATTTTTTCCTGTCTGTGTACCACATAAATCGGGGTATTACTTAAATCACATGTAAAATTTCTACTAAAAGTGGATTACATTGCCCGAAGGTATTTATCAATGTGTAATGTCTTATCTAGATCGTCGCTTATCTTGGCTTGAGCCCAAAGAAAGAGTCAAATGTTAAAATCAGCATGTTTTCGGCAACGAGCAGCCCCAATTTTTTTAGCCTAAGTAAGCAAGTGTTTCGTGCAACGCAGTACGAAATTGTATTTCAGAAACACGACCGGGGTGAAAGTTACTACAGAAATTTATACGCACTTGCTTTGGAAATGTCGTCACATTGCAATAAAAAATGAGGCCATGCTATGTTCAAATGATGACAACTGGCCTTCTCATTGACTGAAGAGAGAGCCTGTTCTAAAATAGGAAGTACCACAGCACCTCCATACGACGCTTAGCATTTAGTGTAAGGGAATTCAACTGACCTTTGTAGGGCATGTTGCTGCTGCGACGAGTAAGCCTGGTTTAACGACGATAACTGCATCAGCTTCATGGCATCTGCTGACTCTAAGGTATAATCGCCTGGGTAGCCACTGGGCAGTCCAGAGGGGAAAGATGAAGGCATCGAAGGAGGCATGCTTGGCGTAGCAAGGGATATGACCGGCGTCGCAAGGGTGTCATTTGTCGGGATATTCATGTGGACTAGTGGGGTTGACATATTTGGGGCATGACCGTCTTGCATGTTTGAATGCGGCTAAAATTAGAAACCAATCAATGAATAGAAAAATAAAGCCACTAAAGAAACAACAAAACTGTATGAACTGAAAACGTCTTCAGTTACTTGAATTTGTTTCAATTTCAAGAATGCCTATAAACACTTTCTCTTGCTCTTTAAGACTGAGTATTTTTAAAATTGACTATAAGTTAAGCTCGTGCTTTCGCGAAATTCCTCATCCTCCTCCATGTGATACTTAAAAATGACACGTGATTATGAATCCATCAAGTAATCTGGGTCCTTGTCCTAAGCAGTCTAAGTCATAAGTAAAAAACATACGGTTATAACATTATTCCTTAATCAAGGTCTTTCTTCAACTAACATCACAACAAAGGGCAATTTTCTAGTATCCATCATCAGGTGCAACAAAAACCGAAAATTCACCTGTCTCGATGAAGAGCTAGGAATGACAACCTTCAGACCAGGGTGTGTTTTTCCTTGATTAGATATGACAGCTGGCGATGTGCTTGGTGGCATCCCCCCACCTGCAAAATCTCTAGGGCTTCTTGAGTCCTGTTGGTGTCTAGGAGATGGCGAGGTCATACCACGGGGCTGTGAGCCTGAAAAGAATTGATTCGTCAGGTTAGCTACTGAAGGGGGGGGGGCATTGGTTTATGAAGGTACACTAAAAAATAACATGCAAAGAAACGTAAAAGAAAGAGAAGAACAAGCCAAAACATCCACTTCAATGCACCTTAGGACGGCGAGGTCCGGTGAAAAGCAAGGTCCCGGCAAAGGAATATCGAGAACAAGGGAAAGCGAAATGAAAGCGTAGCTTGTGACAGTTGAAGACTCAGGACACACTCAACTTGCGAAAACAAACTACTGCTTACTGTTCAAGTTTACGGTAGCTCCACCTTGATTTTGTCAATTATAAGACATTTCTGTCTTATGGGCAGGTCTTTCAAGGATAAGCTTAGAAAATTGACAACAAGAAGCAGCTAATTGCGTTGAAAATTCATGCCCAAGGCTAAGCTTGGATTCAGCGTGGGTTTGACTCCCCAATAAGGCAAAGATGACATGACTAAGTGAAAATCCCTGAAGAATATTCCATGAATGCCATCGAGCTGCGGGAATATATCTGGTAATTCTCACTCAATTCCTGTAACTCTAGTCTAGCTTTTCTAGGCCAGTCAATTTACTTGTTACTAATCCGGGAAATAACTGTTAGCTGTACGAGATTGCGGCTGTTTTTCAGGAAATCTTTGCATGATCATTGAAAATCTATGACCGACATTAAGCACATACTACAAAAACACATCATACTAAAAAGAAGGATTATGCTGAACGCCTCCCAACTCAACTGGATACGTTTATACATCTGATTAAATTTTATTGTTATGGGCCAACGACAAAAAAGGCTCGTGCTATGAACAGTATTTAAAGGCAGTAAATGCTTCATTGGATTAAACTAGCTAGTTACCGTCGCAGGTTAGGTTAAGAGCTATACTAGGCTTAGTGGACAAACTTTTGAATGAAATTTATCATCAAACAGTATCGCTTTTGGTACTCACTCCATTTTCATAACCATACACTTTTCGTGTTTCGTTACAATATTGCTATGAACCATGAATTCATTTTGCAAAAGGGATTTGGTTATAACTTATGCTAAGCAGAAAGGAAGTAGTCATTGAAAACAAAATAATTTTTCAAATAATAGGAAAACACGTTCATATAAGAACAAAAAGGAGTGGAGAACAGGGAAATTGTAAAGGGGAAGTGAAATATTGTCTATAGAACAAAATCCCGAACAAACATAATGCAACGTACATCTTTATTGGGCTTTGGTAAAAACCAAAACAAGAGTCAGACGAAAAGCAAGTACCTATGAGCTGCATCGGGCTTGATGAATGTCGCCTGTCCTTTGCTTGGGTCGACATGGTTGGATGCTGTGGCCTTCGCAGAGGCGGTGATGGTACTTCATTGGGTGATGTCTCACTCACTGGCACACTGACAGGCATCGTCTGGTGGTGGTATGGGTGCGTACTGACCTGTGAAGCCAAATGAGGCATTGGTTACAGAGCCAAAGAGGGAATGGTTCACATAATTGGTTAGATAGACTTCTTTCTAGTCACATAAAGATGGTAGCATGGTTTACAACCAACAAAGACTACAATGTTTAGAAGGCCTAAATACCTTACAGTGAATAAATGCTTTTGTCGCAAACCACTAGCACATTCGCTTCGATCTTTAAGTAACTTTAATAAGGTAGTACAGCCCATAAGGCTTTGGTAATAAGTACTTGAAGTACAGAAAGCTTCCAGATAATTGAAAACATTTTGTTGCATCATGCGCAGTGAGTAACTTACATAATGACCAAACGGCATTATTACTTGAAAAAGACAATAATTCAAAGAAATTCTCAATCACCTTGTAGGAGTTTGGCGCATTGTGCGCCCACTGCGAATGATTATCCCTCTGCAAATTAATTAAAAATGTATGATTGTGACGTCGGACACCGAAGCAAAACAACACGTGAATAATGAACACAAAAAGCCTTACTTGCAAAAACATAAAGCGTGTATCAAATCAATATTATGCAGACCTGTGATAGAACAAATGCATGTGATAGATTCGGCTAAAGAAGACAGGTGAAAGCCTTCAACACCAGAAGCATATAAAATAGCAGTACTAGATCGCTGACAGTGGACATCATTTTAATTTCAATGGAGGAGAGTTCAAGTGATTGTGCCTGACATTCTAGGATCTCAGTCTTATGTTTCTCTATCTTGTTCATTTATGGTGCATATAAAGAACCAGGCTTAATTTTCTGGAATATGGAACCTTTAAAACTTCTAAAAAATTAAAGGCTTTTGCACGGGGTTAGATTCGGAAATGAAATACGCCCTTTCGATCAGTATCGTGACTGTCTTTTCTGTTTATTTTTAAATTTACGTTTTTAATGCTTAAGTATAGTATAAATTCATTTATTCAAACTTTAACTTTAGATAACCCCAGCTGAGATAATTCTAAAAAGAGAACTGAAACGAAAAAATCAAGAATAAAAGAACCTAATTCTACAGACGTTTGAAAAGATGTGACACTGATTCAAAAAACTTTGTTACACTAATAGCTAAAAATGTTAAGCTTATATTATAGAGAGATAAGATATGACAAAAATTCAAAAACTCGAAAAGCAGAGGAGTCCTTAAGAATACACTATCACAACTACGGGTTATCACAATTAACATAACAAGGAAAATAAATGTTTTCATATATCGATAAAGGCCTAGATGCTCCTTTGCAGGAGCGTATTGACGTGTAGGATACATCGTCACAGACAAGAGAGGTTCTTAATCCAGTTACCTTAATCCTTGGAAAACGCAACCGTATTCAAATGAATGCATATGTGGATTCTCTTTAAAAGCGCGACTTATGCAAAGCCCAGGACCAAGATAAACCCTGAATGGAGGGCGAATAACAAACAAAAAAGAGCGAGCAAAGCAGAGGAGACAAAAAGATTTTTACCAATTGATTGTTCTTCATCATCTGGTCAAACTCTTCGTTGATCTTGTTGAATTTCAATTCAGTTCTAGGCGTGAGAACGAACTGCAAAAGGAGAAATGTTCTTGAAAACCTCTCAATGGTGTTTATGAAGAAGAGGCTACAGTGCCCGAAGAATGATACGCAGCCAACAAAATTGTTGAGAATTAGCTAGTAGAGAATTACCTTCCAACGATAATGTTTTTCGTGGTCTTCTATTTTTAATTACAGGAACGTAAGGTCTTATATATAAGATCAAATAGGTAGACAATTTGAATCAGACAATTTTCTTAACAAAATAAAAAAAATGTATCCATAGTTTAACAAAGTTTTCGCTTTTATATCTAAAGGTAATTGCCTTAAAGCAATTACCTTAGTTCCGATTTTTTTAATAAGTTAAACTTGCAATCTGAAAATCCGTTTTACTTTGTCATTTAGCAACGAAAATTCTAAAATTTGTGACCCAGTGTTTCTAGGAGACCGGTTTTAACAAGTGAAAAGCAACACACTATTTTATAAAATACATTAATTTATATAGACTCAGAATTACAGAAAAGAAAATTTCTTAAGAGAGAATGCTTGTTATTTTGCCACTTGGGTTAAATGATAAATAATGATTAGATATTTGAAGAAAAATTAACTCAAAAAGCAAAAGAAATGTTTGGGAAACAAAAGCGCTATTACAAAAGCGCTAATGCTAAGACAGCCTTTTGTAGTCTGATAATAAACATCAATTCGATGTTACAATACTGTGTAGTTCTAATTTCAACAAGAACTAAAAAACACCTCGGGGATTGAAAACAAAAAAATATCCATTTGGAAAATGTAAGAGTTATGTATCATATGTATGAGTTGCCTAGAAAAATGAAAGCAGAGTTTTTAATAAAGGGAACTCTGGGACATTTTTTAAAAAAAGCCAGCAACCTAACGACAGTCTACTAACGGTAATTCAGCTCAACTGGGTCAGTGATAAAATCGGCTGATAACCACTCGCTACCTCAAGCTATAAAAAAGGTACTTTCTTAGTGTTGGCGGTGAGATAACATGAAAAATAATAGTGCTTTTGTGCACCCGCTAGAAAGATGAATAGTTATTGTGACAAATATGGACTGAGTGAGGATACTCACACTTGCAGCGCCCTCTGCTTCTTCGGGTGAGTTGCATTGTTTGTTTTCTTTACGAGAGATTGCCTGTGAACAAAACAAAATTAATTTAAAGCCCGCATCTAATCTTGTGGAGAATATTTAACATTAGACTGTTTTTGTTAACAACATGACCAGCGAACGAATGTTATTCAATTTGTGAAAACCAAGGTCAATGGTCAAGCAAGATCAAAGCAAAGACTAACATAGGGGTTACTCAAGAGCTCATTTTTCTCCAAATATAGGACAGCGCTTCCTTGCCACATCTGCTTCAGTTTTCTAGGGCCTAAGTGGGTCTTTTATACCCTTTTCAGTAGAATCCCGATACAATCACACACCAAATGTTGCTTGGAAGTTGTGACCGAAAGCCGGGTATGACTATGAACGGAGCTTAATTGAACAGTTTTACTTAATTGGGCCTAAAAGCCGGGTATGACTATAAACGGAGCTTAATTGAACAGTTTAACTTAATTGGGCCTAAGTTCTATCTGACATTATCAACATTTAAACATCACCAAAACTTTAAAAAATTGTGCCCGCTGCTTTCCAACCATTTGGCGGTTTGGCCGCTTTGACGAACTATGTGCACCTGACGCGAGTTGTACCCAAGCGGACTCCTTTATGTGACCGCAGGCGGAACAAGAGAGAACAGCCGAGCAAACCAAAAACTAATGAATTTCCTGGCAATTAATGGACAGGTGGTAGTATGAAAAATACACGCCAAAAACGAACTTGAACTAAACCCCCGAAGACACACTTAAGTAAGTTTCTATCTCCTTCAAAATGTCGCAGGCTAACGCATATTGTTATAATAACAATTAATTAAAATCTGCCCATAGCCATGATGTGTATATGAATAATACGATGATGTTTTGAATAATATCTTGGTTGTAACAATATTGGAAAATATGAAAAGGCAGGTAGATCAATCCCGTTGCATTATTGATAACAACCTTTCATGGGCTCAACACCTCGACTTCTCAGGGCAGAGAACAAAACAAACGCTTACAGTTTTGACAGTAGCAGTTGAACGAGCGATAAATCAGTTTTCGTTTCTGTATCTTTTTCCGGCAAATCAAGCTAAAACCCACAGTGTTGAATGAGAAAAACCCCTGTAGTGCTCATTTACTTTAAACAGAGAGCAAATGCTATCAAAATCACATTTTAGATTCAAAGCATGGAGCTCTTTCAGCTTTCGCAAATTCTCCGCCTTCTACATGAAAAGTGACACACAAAGAACGGTAATACGGTGTCTTTAAAATGTCTGGAAGAAAATCTCGCTCGAAAGAGCAACAGATATGAAAGATTAGACGCAGATTAAAGAGTCATTATGGAAGAATTGCTTGGGTTTGTATCGCAAGATATGTTCGACTAACAAGTGAAACTCGAGTTTCGAACGGCGTTTCAAAATGTGAAACGATTTGGTGGAGACTGCAACATATAAAAGTAAATAAATGAACAGTGAGGCAGCATGGCAACTTTTTGCAGTCAAGCAAGCTGAAAAATTCGTAAAAAGGGAGCTTCAAATGGTTTCGGCCTCATTAGATATCATTACGATCTTTCTCAATTTTATACACCATTAGCTGGAATATTTACCAGATTTGACGACTTTGAATAATAGAATAAGTTGCCAGAGCGAATAAGCAGACAATGAACTAGTTTTAGCAGATGCTATTCGCCTTTTACAGGTTAAATTTTGAAAAAAACAGTCTGTTAAAGAAGGACGACAGCAGGAGCAGCCTTGAATCCAAAATTATACTCGGTGCCATAAACGAACAGACAAATCTAAATTATTTGGGAAAAACCATGCATAGAATGTGCAAAGCAATGAGTAAGGCTGCAAAGTAAAGGCATTTTACAGTTGTGATTCAGTTTGAAGTTTCAGGTGTACATCCTTGCAGGAAAAATGCAGTAAAATGGTCAAACAATGACCAAAATATCAGATAAAACTGCTGAGACAGATAGAAACATGACATTTCCCAGCTTAAGAAGACATCGTTAAAACACAGGCTATGGCTGTTGGGTCAGTGCAAAATGTAAATAAAATGGCAGGGCAGCCAGCTTTGTTGCCAGTGTTTAGCGTAGGTGGTACTGACATTGACTTAGTGAACAAAGTAAAATACCTTGGTCTCCTTATAGACAATAGTCTAACGTGGAGGTAGCAAATGGAGAACATGAAAGAGAAAGTTTCTCACACGATCGGCCTATTGAAGTAGTGTAAAAACTTTGTATCAATGGAGACCTTGAAGGACATTTATCGTAGTATTGTAGAACCACATCTAACTATTGCTGCTCCGTTTTGGGCTGTAGTGGTATAACGAGAATAGAGTCTCTACAAAAATTACAAAACAGGGCTGCTCGAATCGTTACGGGCAGTCCTTATGATGCACCTTCTGTGCCGTTGCGCAAAGAACTTGGCTGGTTGTCCATCAAAGAAATAATCGTGAAAGAGACATCTACAATGATGTATAAATCTTTAAACGATCTTGCACCACAGTACCTTAGAGACCTATTCGCTAGACTATCAGATGCCCATACACGAGAGTTAAGAAACACTAAAAGTGATCTTGCAGTACCGTTAATGCGAACAGTAAATGGCCAAAAGGCATTCTCTCACCGTGGTACAAAAGTGTGGAACAAGTTTAACAACGATATCAAAGAGGCCCCCTCAGTATACTCTTTAAATCTAAGTTGAAACAGTCGGGTACGAAGATCTTAAATTTTGTACAGATATCTTATTGTATTCAGATGTATATATTTTATCTAATTTATTTGTAATTACTTAATTAGCAACTTTAATTTTAACAGGGCCAAATTGTAAAACAGTAAAATTTATTGAATTTGTACCTTGTATAAATGTGTATAAAATATGAAAATATGAATACATGAACTTAAATAAACAGTATATTGTAGGCATATAATTCAAGTCCATCATCATTAGAATTGTTATTATGAAACACAGGTTATATTAAGGAGAGGGCCCAGACCTGGCCGTAAGAGTTTTGGCAGGGGAGCAGTAAACAGTTCTCCTAGTAATTTCTAGGTAGGCAATTTGTAGATAAGTAAGAATGGAAACAAAGGAAAACTGATTTCAAGAGAGCAATTTAAATTTTAGAGGAATTTAGGAGAACAATCTGTAGCTCCTCTCCAACATTTGAGGACAGCCTCGAGGAGAGCAAAGCCATGACACAACAAAAATTTGATTATTCGAACCCGTATAGCTCGACGGTGGTTAGTAGTAACGACGGTGGTTAGGGGTACATGGAAACACTTACTTCAATTATGTCTGCATTGGTACGGCTTTCGTGGGGTTCATTGTATTCTGTATACCGCAAAAGAATCTTGTCCATATCAGAACTTGCATATTGAAAAAGCTTGTTGCCGGAATTAAAAATGATTAATGCTATTTCACAGTCACAAAGGATGCTGAGCTCATACGCCTTCTTCATCAGCCCAAACTTCCTTTTGGTAAAGGTGACCTACAATAAAAAAACTAATTAATGAAATATTTTTCAACATGCGAATAATTCACTTTAAATGAGTCACCAATCTTCATAATTAGTGGCAAAGATTTTGAAATACTGTGCTACAAACATCATTGCAAGATAAGGAAACTTAAATTTACAACCTTAGTAGCAAACTCACGATGGGATTCTTACAGATAAGGGAATCTCACATATGAAGGAATCTTTTGAGTTAATATACGGTCGAAGAGCTAGTAAGCACCAGCGCCCTAATTAGTTCCACAAGTCAACAGCAAGTGAATTCACAAACAACTACATTTCTCTAATTAAAGCATCTGTCACACAAAATGTGTTCAACAAATTCATCCACATTTCCATTAAAATAAATGGTGGAAATTTCTGTTTTCATTCTTATGGAATGTTAACGGAAAACTCGAAGAGTTTTAGACCAAAGGCAACTGAGAACTAGCAAGGGGAAAGCAGGTGAATATTGCAGGGTCAGCAAATTTACAATGCACTGACAGAGGATGGAATGTCGTGTCAAAAGAGAGATCTTCAGATTGACTTTGGGACAAAAGAATCTCGGCTCGCAAGGGTCGCTGGAAAATGGAAAAATGCCTGCGTCATCCGTAATTTCGAATACTCCCTGGTCGGGGAATTTCTTACAGGGGACGGTTCACCAGGCTTGCTAAATGTGGTGTAATAATGCGGGTATCAAGCTAAAGGTAACTTGATTGTCGAATGAATGCTTATGTATGTGAAAACGTGAAGAGTGTCACTGAGCTCCGTTTAAAGTATTTTTGAATTCTGCGAAATCTTTCAATTAGTCTTAAAATCAACAGTCCACATTGCATCTACAGATGGTCTAGTAATGAGGTCTGAAATCTGTTCACTGATTCGCAGGTGATCTGTAACGCCCACATAAATGCCATTTAGTGAAGATTTGAAACAAATAACGTACACACCTATATGCTTGGGCAAAATGAAATAGCACTATCTAGCTTGCTTTTCCTGAATTGCCAAATTGATTTTATCTACGCCTGGCAGGCGTTCAAAATGTAGCCTTCGGTTGCCATATCCTTATCTTTCGTTTGTGACACCGACTACGACTTTAGAAATTCTAAAAACAGACAAGCTGAATTTGGCCAGGCTACAGAAACTCTCAAGTTTTGCGATGAAACACTACGCATGTATCAAATGTTACTATAATGTATATAGCCTTGGCCAAATTGGGTTGCCCGATAATGTTGCTCGAAATCTTGTTGAAGTTCTTGTCGTCGAAACATTGTGATAGCGAAACATTGCCTTGAGCAACTTTTGCTCACTTTGTCAAAACAGCGCGCCAAACTTGACTTGATCTGTGGTTTTCAAAAATTTGGATAAGGAGCTGCAGCCACTGGAAGCTGGTTTTGACATCACAACACCATTGTTGCTTTTGTAGAAGAAGTAGCGGGTAGCATTTGGCTGATTTGTTGTTTTCAAAGAACTTGCACTTGGACTTGCTTAAGACGAGACCTTTTTATTCTTCCTGAACTATTCCTCCTCTCCATGGTTTTCTTCCTTTTCTGTACAATAGACTTCAAAACTTAAATTTTGACAAGCCATTTTATTTGAATCGAGTATAGCATATTGTTTTGCAATACGACATTGCGCATGTTGATTTTTCTCAGATAGAAAATCAAAGCGAATTGTTGCCCGACAATGTGGCCAAACTGGACAATATTTGAGCAACATTAGGAATTTGTGAATGTTGCCCGACAATGTTGCCCAGTTTGGCCAAGGCTTTAAGGATTACTGCTATGGATCAAGGGTTGCCACAATGTGTAAAGGGTGGAACAGCTTTGATCATAAGAAAAATAAGTTGAAAATATTCTGCGCAAGTGGGAAGCAAGCCAAAAAGGGCGAAATTGTATTACTAAACTACAATACCAGACAGAAAATGCTGAGACTTTGCACCATATTTCCCTTTTTTATGTTGATATCCCAGCAATTTAAGTAAAGATACAAAATCAATTTTGAAAGGGGGAGCAGGGTAGATGTTGGGCCATACATGCCAAGTTTCTGGTGGCAGTCAATTCTTCTAAATTTCAGTTCCAAAATAAACAGATCGGTTACAAATATCCTAAAAACTAACAAATAAAAAACTTTGAGAAGATTTTGGGTATGAGCCAGCTGGCTGCTATAAACTATTGCATTTTCATGGTATTATTTTGAAATCGCTGAGCACATTGTTCGTCGCTATATGTCTTGGTAGAGCTGCCTCGTTTCGAGGACAATAAGCAATGGCAATTTGATGACATTGTAGTCACTTCCCTAGTTTTCAAAATGAGGACCAAGTTAAATTTGGAAGGAATTTTTCTTGCTTTCCAAGTCAAATTAGAATGTCTTGTACTTTCCATGAAAAATTGAAAAATTCATCTAGCTGTAAGCCGGACAATAAAGTAATCCTCTTGTATTACTTGTATCAAACAATTTTTGTAATACAACAAATATACTTCTACGGAGGAACTAACTTTCTTATATCACATAATAGCATATTGATGAAAGGATAAGCCTTGGCCAATACCCCAAGCAAAATACTTCATACAAAAAGGTCATCATTTCAATGTTGGGTTACCGTTTAATGAATAACGAAGCATTGGGACAATTGATTAAGCAAAAGGTTGCGATAAAAGAGGCTTATCTAGTTTATGTTTGTAACCTTATATCGAGATCCAATAAATGACATGAAAATACCAGCACAAATGGTGTTTTAAATCCGTTTGTGGATGAAAGCCATGTGAAATCGCTAGGGGTCAAACTGTTATGTGATCTGACCGGTACTCAGACGTCTAAATGTGGCTCAAGAATCTAAGAATAGAAACCGTAGCACTTAAAATAGCAACGGAATATAGCACTTGGATTTCATTGTTGAAAAGCTCGAGACGCTCTTGCCTTTCCGGAAGGAGCAGCCTCAACACTGGGGTGTTAAAATTTAATATGTTCATGGCACGACAAAAAGGCATCGACACCATCAGTGAATGTTAATTACGACAAGGCGTTACTGCTTATTTTCATCATGAAAACCTTGGAAATAGGGAAGACCGAGGGGCAAATCGCTGCTTGAAATCACGTACGCTCCCGAGAATAATCACACTTTAATCACAAATTGATCACATTGATAAAAAAATCAAAATAATCACAGCGTAACATTAATCACAAAAATTACTTAAAAATAAATATCATAATCTTAGACCACGTCTATCCGCATATGTTATTGAAAAATGAAATATCCAGAATGTCTCTTTCACACTTTTTCAAACATTTCATGAACACATTGGAAAATCTGCAAACAAACGCTCGAGAACAACAAGCTTTTATAAATACGAAGTGAAATGAAGCAAAATATGAAGGCCTCGTTATGATGCCGGGGTCACTGAAACGACCATTGCTGTTTTTGTTGCCCAAATGCCACTGAAGTTGATCTGACCGAAAACCACACCTGATAGCAGCTTTTTTACTCATTTCTCGTTGGTTGCTGTTTTAAAATCGTTGCTAAACTGCCAAGATAGGTTGGCATTCAATTTATGAAATATTGTTGTTTTATTTAGCTTATTAATTAGTTTGCTGTCATGCGTTCAAACGACGTTTATTGCGCATGAAATTATTTGAGAGCATTTTGGAATCTATGATTCAATTTCTAAATAATCACAAATTAATCACAAATTGAGCAAATATTAATCACTTCAATCAATAAAAATCAAATTAATCGCACACAAAATTGATTTAATCACAAATTAATCACTAGTGATTATTAATCTCGTACACCATTTTCAAGAGTGATTTGCCCCTCTGGGAAGACATTCAGTAAAATAAAGCGTTGTGGCTTCTTTAGACATTAAACTAAGCCGTTACAGGAGCATCCAGATTCTAGAATCTAAGATGACCTTCATTTATGTCTTGTGAGTCACCTCCTCTAACGAGTGAGTCACCTCCCTCCGCCCTTGGTAGGATAAAAGAACAAACATAATTATGCTTAATTTTAATGGATATGCTCTTTGACTCCATGACTTATCAGAAGAATCTACTTTGCATGTCTCCAAAATCCTGCAATGATGTAGGTACATAATCACCTCCTCCCTGAAAGATTGAGTCTTGGCTGATTTCAAACGGTTTGTAGGCATGGGGGCAAGCACCCCTAATCTCTACCCCTAACCCGTACCCCTATGCTTGCGATGTGAACGCCATTTTAGTCTCCGACTTAGCACAATGGCCTTCTTGAGTCGACAAGAATGTTGAAAAACTAGAACTGACAGGAGCCCCGGGTGACTGAAAAAAGCGGGTACGCTCATTTTTATATTAGAAACTTGCTAAAAGAAACTTGCGAAACAAAACGAGTACTGACTTGCCAAAAAACTAAAGAAACTTGGCACTAAAGGCAAAAAAATTAAGAAACTACGTCAATGGGATTGGCTTAAAACTCTAGACACATCACAAACTGTTAACAAATCAAGTTCAAATCTCTTATCTCTACTCTTAGCTTCTTATCTACTATAATAAAATAAAATACTGAAATATGAATTAAAATCTTTTTTCAAATGAGAGATAAAAATATGAAATAAATTAAAAAGAGGTAACAATTACAAAAAAGCATTAAGTACTGATGCATTAAAAACTGGACAACTCAAATATGGACCATTGTGCCTTTCAAAAAGTGAGAGTTATTGCTAACCACGAAAGTTGCTGGTATCAAAGACTAAGTGATTTGATAATTCCTGAAAACACAAAATTAACTGAAACTGGAAAAAGTTCACTCAAAAAACTGCTATACAAATATTTGATAACTTTTCTCAGAGATTGAACTAAACGAATATTTCACTGACACAGAAAGCATTGCTAACTAACGAGGCAAAATTAGCAAAGTAATTAACAGACCGCGATACAAAGGGAATCCAATGACCTATACCGATATTCTGTTTTCCAATTTTTTTTATTTCGTTCTCGCTAATTAAATATTAATGCGGGCCTTTCTTACCCTTTTCACAATTATCAAAGTGAAAGAAGCTAACAAGATCTGGGAAACATGCCCACTGAAAACAAACTGGAACAAATGGCGAAAAGAACAATTTTTCTGAAGAAGGAAGTGAATTAAAGGGTAACTGCTCCAAAATTTGCTTTAAAAGCACTATACAATTACCATACCACATGTAACTGTATTAATTCATCACATGATACATACAGATATTGTCAAGAATTGTTCGAGAATTGATTTTTAGAAATATGAAATGCAAGAATGAGTTATTCTCCGAGGGGCATCTCTATGAAATCTCGTACACCTTTTATGTAGATCCTATTGTTTTCTATGAAAATACTGGGATATCCGTTTGTCTTCGTGATTTTCTCGTTCGCTACCTGCAACAGAAAATTGCCCTTCGCCCTTCTCTTGTCTTTACTGACCATCATTTATAAACGGTGCATGCTATATAATTATGTTAATTTATGCCAATCTGCATTTTCGTTTGTATGTAAGCTAGTTATGTAGTTACTTTATAGTTACTGTAGTTATGCAGCCAACCAGTAATCAATCTCAGTTAGAGTCACAGGTTTCTGAGCGTTTCCTATCAATTCAAGACTACTCAAGGTAACAGGAAACTCCCCTTACGGTCTCAACCCTGTTCTAGGAAGGCCCACCGAGAGCTTTTCTTAGGCCTGGGGCAAAAAGAAAGATGCGGCACGAGATGACGTAATTATAACTGTGGTTGTTAGGAACCTTGTTATGACTTGTTTGGGCCCCGCTCAGCTTAGGGTGTATGCATTCTCCCCCTGTCCCCTTTCTCGTTGGGTCTGGCTATAAAGGGAGGGGCATTGGCATAAGTGCCTTGCTGTTGAATACCTTTTTTATGTGACAAAACCAACAGCTACGAAGCATTTGTCTGCTATATAGTAAATGTATCTAGTAATTTGCCTTTCTTTAACAATTCATTTCATTTATATAAGTTTTAATGTGACGTCAATATTTGACCATGTGTCTGCCCCTGTATTCAGTAGTGTTAAATCAAAAGGTTCAAAATATCTTTACTTAATTTGTTGCACAAACTTCTTGCAAAGTAATGAATCCAATCATATATGTTCCAATGAAGGGTCCCTCAAATTATTAGGACGGCTAGCAGCGGGTTGTTCAAAAGCAAGAATTTATTGCACTCAGCCATGATAAAGTAGGAGCATAAGGCAGAGGTGCGTTGAAAACAACTGGGGCATTTAAATGGAGGCTTAAATGCAGGTCCAATAAGAGATTTTCTGTCGGACTGGGGAAAAAGAAGAATTAGGCTCGTGATGACATCTTTATAAAGGATAATTATTATTGTTGTTGTTGTTGCTGTTGTTGTTAGGAACCTTTCAATAACATTTTGGGGGCACCATTCAGCTCACGGACCGGGGAAATTCTTCCCCCTTGTCCCCTGTCCCCTCTTGACGGTCCTAATTAAACGTATAGGTTATGAGACTAGAATTATCAGACTATAAGAATTATCACACTACAATTATCAAGCACACCTGATCATAATTGAATTAACAAACATTTTCTTTGTAGATATCCAGGCAAGAAGTAAGGACACAAAAGACCAACAACCACACCCATGACTGTTTGTTTAGTCAACACAACACAATCGTCAAGTTCTTTAATCATTTTACAAATGCACTTTCCCACCATTTTGAAATTTTTTTATTAGATAAGGAAGAACAGGAGAAAAGGAGGTTTTTTGGTTATTTGATACAATTTATAAGGAACTTAGTCCATCGAAGGAATGAATGAAGAGGAGCCAGAAAAGGACTTCAAGTCCTATATTTGCAGGAGTCAGGGCTTTACCAATAACAAACCATACTATCAAAGCAAGCACAACAGCAAGTAATAAAAAATGAATCCAAACCTAAAAGTAGCTAATTAAGCCTAGTTGAGCTGTGTCTTCAAATGCAAAATAAAGCAAGATCACCTGTCTATTTCTTTCATCGTTGATTTTGGAAATTTGAATCTTCTTACGACCCATCCTCTGATTGTCGATGCTGAGAGATTGCGGCACGACTCGTGGAGCCAATGGTTTGTCTTTTCCTACCTCAGAAGCCAGCTTGAAAGAATGCACAAAATATACAAGCGCACTGGAATAGAACAACAACGAACGGAAATTACCAACTTCTACTTGCCCTTTAGGAGCGAAGTCAAACAAAGCAATGTAAACTAAAAATAACACATACATGTTATCCTAATAGGATTGATTACTGTAGACATGATTTCGCAAAAGATTTGCAAACAAAGTTGTATTAAACGCCCTCGTGAATGCTTGGCTAATTACAAGTGCGGTTAGGTATCATTTCTGTATGGAATTAAATCCGGGCAGATTGCGGTGAAACTGTCAATGGTCTTACAAACAGTCATAGAACATGGAACGAAATACCGAGAAAACTGAGCGGCCAGTGGTTTAAACCGCAGTCTTTCGATAGCATCAACTCGAGTCAAGCATAAAACAGGTGCTTCCTTAAGAGGTATCTGCTATGAAGACTGTGGACAATAATGCCCTGCAATACATTGTAAACAATCCATATAAGATATTGCCGTCCATTGCATTGAAGTCCTATGCTATCAATTATTGCTCCATATATTAACTAAGCAATAAATTAGTTATCGATGTAACAAATTAACAACTTCATAAATTAGATTGGCACAAAAACTTTGTATATTATGCACACAATAATCACCTTGATGAATGGGGATCTTTCCCTTGAAAAATTCCAAAATGCAACTAAATGCAGAAAAATTTGCTTCCACTAAAATTCGAATTGTTTGCAGGTTTCGCTAGGCCCACGAGATTACTTGGATTGCAAACTAAAATAGGACCTGCAGAAAACTGTGTGACCTGATGTTCATTCTGGTGGCAAGGGCGAATAACTTAGCAACTATACATATTTGTGGTTACATGTCGTGTTATGATATCAGGAAGAATGGATCGTGGATTAGCTCTTAAAATGAAAGCCATTAAATAGGCAAGTACACGGGTTTTGACTTATTACTCAAAACTTCAATCAAAAATAATCACAACAGATAAACTGTTCTTCTATGCAGTCAAAATGCAAATACAGTGTGATCGTGAAGCAGGCAGCTATGCCATAAGCTAAGGGAGATCATGATGAGGTTTACGACACATGGAAGCTATTTATCACGGCGGAAATTCAATCAAAACAAATAAATTTATCTGGATCCATGATACGTTCACCCGAGGGATCACAGCCAAAGAAATAATTATTAGATGATAATGTTACCCTGGTTGGTAGAGAACAGAGCCACTATTGAAAGCATAGATTTTATTTGCATAGCATGTGAAAAGGCGGTAAACAAAGTGATTCAAGACGATTTTGAACAAACTCTCGCTTACAATTCGAATGTAAAGCTAAGTAAACCTTTGATCACGTCAAGAAACTCTTACTGCGTAGTTGATATGAGAAAAAACATGACAAGGACGCATCATTGAAATCGTGGGGAAATATTTGCATAGGGCGTTGAAATTTGCCTTTAGCAAAAGTACAGAGAGAAAGCAAAAAATAACAGTTACGAAAGGTGAACAGATATGCGTACACTTTCAGGCTAAGTGAGCTAATTTAACGCTGGGAGCAACATAAAATCTGACTACGAAGTCAAGTATCTTTGCCGGGTTTCATTGAACCTACTTGTTGTGGCATTCGAAAGTAGGCGTTCCCCGCATCAATATTTAGTAAGGAATTTTGCATTTCTTAAGATTAAAAACAAAATCTTGTGATATTAACTGTTTTTCACATGCTTCAGACAACTTTCTGAGAGTCAAAGGCAAAAATTTGGTCTGATATCCAAATCCACCGTCAAAACCAATATCCCCATTGCGGCTTATACACACTTCCTGTTAGCCATTCATTGCTCTAATACACTGGCAGTTTGCGTTAACAAACATGTCTCAGCAAAATTTCATTTAAAAAATGCACTTACTCATACTTTTGACCAGAAGAACAACTTTTCTTGCCGCAGCTAATCTGACACTAACTTAGACTTGCAATAAACATGGCATTAACGGTGAATATACAAAATCAAAATTTAAAAGTAAGTTGCAACGGTTGCCTACTTGCTGGCGTGAAATCCAGCCTTTCGTTTTCAAGCATAGTTCTAATATTGCACCTGTATTTTAACCGAGCGCCTTATGACTTGCTGTCAGATCAAAGATCCATTTTCCAAGTGATGGAATGCAGCAAGCTACTTAGTTCCTGAGTCCACCCAACAATATATCAGTTTTAAGCAACAGTCAAACTTTTTTTTATTGATGCTAAAATTAAATTTAAATAAACATTTTATTTGAGAAAACTGTGAAACTGCATAGTTGCTTTTGCTAAACTTGTGCAGCGGGCAACTAAGATGGAATATGACAGACTTGACTGCAAGACACGCTACAAAAAGCTCTCACACACACGTACAAAAAGATTAGCATACATTTAATATTCCATCACATACTTATTTTGATTAGATTCTGCGCTTCTCGGCCGCTAATCACAAACCTTGAGACACCATCAACCTTGACATGAAAACATGATGACTTGACAAACCTCCCTTGGAGAGGAAATATTGCTTGGCTCAAAATGGCCTCTTGCTTCAATCCGACCGATAGACACATCGTTGAAATCCTCAGTTCCCAATTAAAACTCGAATCGGGATTATAAGAGCTAACGTATATCTGAACAAAATCGCATTACAAAGTGTTTATACATCTAAATACAATTTCATTGCACCACGGAAAACGTTCTTCTTCTGGGCAATCAATGCAGTTATCATGGAGGCAACCCCACGCCATTGGTGACGGGATGCAGGCCTGCCAAGCTAAATTCCTTTAAAACGACGATTTATAATAAGCATACTCACTGTACCCCGATATCATTAAGTTGATAGAGAATAACAACATTAGCCTGAATCCAACGTTGATAGCTCGATCGCAAAAGAAATTTCCTGCAAATCCATAATCACAGCTTTTAAAATGGACTTTTCCTCGATTAGGCGAAGGAACGGAGTTGTTAGGCCATGCAAATTTCTACAGCGAAGTTGAAGCGAGAAAATTATTAAACGAGTTATGCGGTGACCCGCTCGCGATTGCATGATTTCTTGTGCGAACGAAAAACGTTGAGCCAGCCAACAGAGACAAAAATAATCGAATAGTTTTCTATTTTTACCCACCAGTGATGTACGCCGAACGAGCTGCAGTGTGACACTACTCCCAACGTACTATTTGTGGCAACACTTATTGTGCGCTAAGTATTTCTGGACAGGGAGGCATCCCGTCAATGGATAGTAAGGAGAATTTAGAATTTGATCTTTTCCTAGTCAAGCCTCTCTCTGTCTTCATACGCTTATAGCGCTGGTTATTTGTTTCTTTAGTCAAGACTCAAATAAACTACAGAAGGAAATTTTAACTGAATAACCCATCAATCTTAATTATTTAAGGACGTATTAAATTTTTGTTGGGGATTTCGGAAACTTCGACAGGTCGAGAAAAACAACGGTAGGACCGTTTTTTACATAATTAAAAAAATATCTATTAGATAAATTTGATCACAATAAAAACAAAGAGCGATTGTCTTTCGTTACATTGTCCTTAAACCCTTTTGGCTGCAACTGAGCAGCTCTTGGCCACTCTTGCTCGTTGCTGGTGCTGACTTTCAGTTAGATAAGCAATATTAAAAAACAATACTACTTTGTTGTCAAAATAAGAAATCAAAAAGAGACGAAAAGTTTTATTAGTAAGGGCTATAAACAGACGTCTTTTCAAGTTCAATTATAATTCCCGAAAAATCGCTCTTAATATAACAGGTAGTAAAAATTACCAAAATATTACTTAAAGTTTGTCTTTTTGTTTATTACAGGTGCATAAAGTTATCGGGGTACCTTCACGTTTCCATAAAGTGAGGTTATATTCCAACTGTGAATGTAGATTGTCTAGTGATGGCGAATGATTTGATTTGCCACTTCTAAGCATGGGGATGAAGCCCACTCAAATCGCAAGTATGAGAATTTGGTACTTGATCAAACATTATCATAATATATGCTTTGTTTGCATGCTTCTAGTTTTGAAATACGTTGCTTATTAGAGCATAGATTAAAGGTAATGGTTTAAGTTTAATAATATGATTCTTGATAATATTATCTTTATCTTAGAAAGTTGACATCATTAGAATAGGCTTCTTGACACTGGATTGATGAAATCCTGGATTTATGAAAATAAAGTTTCAGTGCTTTTCAACAGTTTTCTGAGAATCGTGCGATAACAAGCATTTTTCGACTTGAGATGCAATCAATACAAATAATTTTATGATTTAATATTTGCTCATAACCTAATTTTTGGGACAATAAAAGCAAGTTAAGGTACAGTGAATCCGGGCACTGTCCTTTCAATGATTATGCGGTTGTATAGGATATTTGAGACTGATGCATCATTAGGTCAGAAACATTTTTTGATAAAACATGGACTGCAATAGGAAACTGATTGCGAATCAAATGAACTTGTATTTGCGTTTGAATTTGAAGGACTATTTTGAAGAGGCATTTCCTGTGAAGTTCTGGCGATGGAGGCAGCAGACGGCTGAGTCACCTGCCATATGGGCATTCCCCTCGGTGTTACGGATGTGTCGTCAACAAATAACAACATTGATACAATCTGTCAGCAAACAATAGTGCAGCTACTGATAACACCAGGCAAAAGTTTAAATTTTGCGGGCCATCGGATATGAAACATGATGGGCTTTCATAATTCAGTTTAACTGCTAAAATTTTTGATGTTTTTGAATCACTTTTGTAATTGGGTTTTTAAAATTTAAGTCAAATATCGATAAGCTCTATATTGTGAAGAGAAAAAAGAATATTCAGTAATAGGTAGCTAAATTATATTTTTTAAATGGAGAAAAGCTGAACATTTCCCGCTTCCCCCTTTCAAAAAAGACTTATCGAGAGTCTTCAAAGTTTAGATTTCCCAAAACTAAACGCAGCAGTCCGAAGTGCCCGAGGAGAACGAGACTCGTGCCCCCTCGCAGTCAATCAACGACATAATGGATTTTCTAAATTCTTATCCAGTGATGTAATTGCATCTATTTACTGTGATCACATCCAGCATATTATATGGTCCATCAACGCGAATAAAATCCAATCGACATTGCCATCACTAAAATAATAATCATAGTATTATTCATCAAAATCATAATGATAATAAATCATAATAATAAAAATTATTGTAATTGTCATAATCAACATCATCATGAAAATCACCTTTACCAGCAACATCATTTTTTAAAAAGTGTTGTTTACTGGTACATGCATATATTGAAATATTAATTTGTTAGGCCATATTCCATGAATACTTACCTGCTGGTATGCAAGCTTGATAGCTTTATAGCACTTCCAGGACTCGTCAATGAATTTATGCAACACCGTTGGCACGATGAATGATATGAATCAGTGATTGGTTGTTACCTGCACAATTACAATTAAAAAATCTCAAACTGCGGTCAGAAGGTCGCGTTAGCATTACTCAAAACGACTGCATTGCCATCCCCGTTCTAAACGACTTTATGCAACCCTCCTACCGTATATTCTGGTGCCTAACTAGAGAGGGCTGGTATAGCAAGGGGGCTAATACTATCTCCATTAATCAATAAAATTGAGATCATACAGCAAGATGTAGTGAGAAAGTAGACAAAATGGTTGATGGAAGAATCTTTTGTATCTTCAACTGCTACAAGCAATGGAAAACGAAATATGGAAGCTGAAGACAACCGATTTGGTATAATTTTGCAAGGGCACTTGCAGCATGGAAAGGCGGGTGCACCCAACCCCTGACATCAGCCAACGGGAGCAGTTGGGGCAAAACGCACCCTTTGAAAAACAAAAGAAAACTGGCACGTGTCATTTGGTGTATTTTGGTATTCAGAATTTCCCTACATTGCCTTTTCTTGTGCTGACGTTCGTGTATTTGTTTTAGAGAAAAAACTTCCTCAGTCACTCTAAGTATACTCTGTGAAATGGAGTTGCCTCAGGTTTTTTAATAAGGGAACGGGCAAATGTATTTGCCCCTTCTGCCCCATTGCTCCTTTCAAATAATAGATTAACTCTTGAACCCCCAAGTTGCGACACCTTAGGAAGGATTATGCATCAGTCCTTTAATCGTTTTCATGACTTCGGTGAACACCTTTTTTTTGTTTAGGGGGCCCAGCCCAGATAAATAAGTGTAGCAACAGCCATATGTTACTAAATAAAAGTATTTCACTTATGCTACTTAAGTTTTATAGGGGGAGAGGCTTTATGCTACTTAAGTTTTATACGGGGGGGGGGGAGGCTCCCCGGTACATCAGTCCTTGAAAACACTTTTTGAAAATGTCGAGGGTCTGCGAAACTGTTTGCGCAGTGTTTGCAGTTTTTGGCTAGCTATCAATTTTGAAAATAATGAGAACGAAAGGATTGAAGAGGGACTTTGATTATTAATAAAGGCAACATGAATGGGACTGTAGGCAAGATTCAAATAACGAATCCGTTTTTCTTTAAGCCATAGAATACTCTGAAGATTGAGCCCCTTTCTTTTAACTTTCTGGGCACCTGTCTCTATCCCCATTGCCTATGGTCTTGCCTTTACATAACAGATGCTTCTTTGTTCTATATAAATGTGGTCAGACATTTACGATGTTCTTGATATGGTGGTTTTTGACAACACTTGTCAAAAACATCAGTTAAAAATTATCAATTTGTTGCTAAGCCTCAAGAATCATGTACAGGGAAATACAAAATATTTAAGTCAGTGAAAGCAATTGATACACCTCAAAATACAGTCTGTCTCCTAAAATCGCAAGAATGCCCTTTTGTCTAAAGTTTTAATTTGAAGAGTTATGAGTCTTTATCTATCTAATACTCTATTCAAGTGACTTAATCGATACCCTTTGAAGTCAAAAATACAAATTTATAGATGATAGTCGTCTCAAATGTCCAGATGAATTTTTGAGGAGATTGTCTGGAATCTTTTGTAAAAAGGTTGAATGGTTTTAAGGAATCAATTCCAATCATTAACTTAAACCCTGGAATCTATGAATTAAAGACATTTACCTATCTCTATCAAAACTTCATACTTCCATAAATACGCACTTGTTTTACAAAAACAAATTCATCAGAGCACGAGCCTCAAAGTTGGTCAAGAACTAAGAACGGATTAAGAACAAGCTAAGCTGCTGGGATGAGGTAATAAAATGGAAGAACATTGCTAATAAAAGGATGTGTATTTCATGACACAGTATACTTATTTTATTGCTAATGTTATTAAAAAACAACATTTGCGTTATACACATCAAACGCTTTTCTATCTAAATTTATTTAAATTACACCATTATGATTTGAAACAATTTAGAACAACCCAGCCTCAAATTTCATTTTTGTACACAAAATGATTGCACATGTATCGGTGATCGAAAAATGTGGCAGTGATTTCAAGAGTCATAATTGTCAGCGCTTTTTTCGTTCATAAAGAAGAGTAGCTAACCACATTGAAATGGAGGTTTACAGGGGTATTCAAAAATATCATGCCTAGCCTTAGGCCTCCGTGTAACTTGGACCGACTTCCTTAACTTGAAACTAAATCTAGCTATGTATCTCTAAAAATACCCTGTTTGGTACAAGCTTATTAACGTTCACACATGACAGTTCCCTTTGTGCTGAATGGTAAAAGTGAATATTTCCAAGATAATCTGTTAAATGTAACCAATGACGTATTCTGTGATTTAAGGTTGGAGAAGGAAAATTGCAGAAGGGGAAGAACACGGGATCGGGAAACCCTTACCTGGAACATTTTTAGGACCTCGCCCTCTAAAATGCCTGACAAAGTCCCTTCTATTACGATCTTCAAAAAGCGATACATTCACTTTAGAGCCACATCAAATCCCAAAGAGAGGACCTTTCAAGTCATAGGCTCAGCTAAAATTCGTTCAAGTAGGAAAGGTAAAATTAATTAGTTTTTAACCAAGATAAAGATCAAACAGTTGACATTTTCTTACGCTATATAAAGTTGGCATAGAACACAAAAACAGGAGGGTTTTACGTCTGTGTGGTCGTAAAGGCGTCAGTCGCAGGTTTTCTGTCATACCTGTTTATAAATGTAGTAGTGGAAATAGAAAGAATTTTGAGGCAAGGAATAATTCCTCAATTTCCTCAGTGACATAGGCTTAAATACGCCTATTGAAAATGTCCCTTCAACAACGAAAAGGCTTGCAATGCATTACGTGAGAGAAGGCTTAAATACGACACTGTTCCAGTCCCAGCAAAGCGTGAGACTCAGAGCTACCACTTGGAACTGTATTGTTCTACAAACTAAAGAGTTTTCACACGACATTGATTTGTACAATCAGCACATACAGCACGTTCGATTCAGTAGCAATCATTGTACGATAAGTCAAGAAGAACATTCCTTTTATCCAAATCCCTTGTTTGCCCATGACGTGCCATCTATAAATGCTCATCTATAAATTCCATTATTCATCTTTATCACAAGCGATAAATATACGGTGACATTCCAGTATCACTATTTGCTCTTTTAAACCATTGGATGATCTTTCTGGATGATCAGAATTGTCAGCCAAACGTAAATGAGCTGTCAACCAGGATTGGCTATAACGAGAGAAGGGCAATTCCATGCCTGACCTCCAAATGGATCAATTTATGCATAGCAAAATTTTTTCAATAATTCCAATATTTTGACGATGATATGTCAAATAATACAAAATCAATATAATTCCTGGATCTTCAGAAAAGCGCCATGTACCAATAAATGCGATGGCCAACGATGCTTTTATCATAATGATGATTATTACTAGTATGCAATGTATTGTATTGTTTCAATACAATGTGTTCATTCGGACAGAGCTTCTTGGCTCGGCGGCTTGGCTCTTTTTCAAATATGAAACTAGGGTTTTAGTGGTTAACCCGTTATTTATAACTACAATATTACACTGGCATCGGAAGGGTGATTGTCCCACCCACCCAAACATCGAAGTTAAGGGAGGCAAAATCGGAAAAATTGGAATGGGGGGATCACCAAAAACAAGAGATATTAAATAATTACACCCTATTGTGATGAACAGAGACTCTTCTGTATAAGGAGTTTCTCTACAGTTCAGTTTTTAGATTGAAAGCATTTGATTGGAATAATACTGGACAGGTTAAAAAATGCAGCTTGTTTGCTGTTATTTTCTAAAAGAACACCTCTTTAGACGAACGCTGCCTCCTTCAAGGAAGTCGCCCAGCGTTTCTCTCGTCAATCAGATACTTTTGCAATAATAGGCAGCATGCAACTGAAGAAAATTTTGAAATATTTATCAGGTATTAGGAAATATTCAAGTCACCTGGGTTAGGTTTAAAGAACTTCTTCGTATTGAATATTTAAGCAGGACAATCACTGTTCAATAGAAAGCTTCTTTTTACATTTCCCTACCTGAAACATACCCCAAATCGAATACATCGAATTTGATCTACAAAACTAGCGCTTGTTTGGCGGAATACGGCAACGTAAGGTGAAACGTAGAAGGCGCCTTTCCCCTTTCCGTCGGTCTCCTTCGCAGAAGTCCACAGGAAGGAAACAAACACTCCTCTCTCAAGCACAAAATAGACTTGGAGCAAGTCTAGGTGGAACGTTGCTTCTGTTCGTGACCCAAGGCATCTAAAATAGCTGACCTTGCTTTCAAGAAAACGGTAGAACGACCAAGCTGGCCGAAATGGGGGCAACGGAGAGGGAGAATGCTTCAAGGGAACGTTTCAAAGAAAACCCCGCTAGGATATTCAGATCGTGTATTTTTGTATTAAGATATACCTGATGCAAAGTTTTATTCCTGGTCAAGTAACTCGTGTGGAAGGCTGAAGCTATCTAGACCCCGCGTGGACCATTGCCCTACACGCCCATTTAAATCCATTCATATGCGTCCGCTGGGTAAATGTAATAAGTTAACAACAAATCAAAACTTTGCAGAATTTGGTAATTGCACACAATTGAACTCAAGGCAATGGCCACCATCTTAAGACGGACCTCTTTGATCCGAGCCTGGTCCGCCGGCTTATAAAAGTAGTTTTGCTAACTGGTCAGATTTGCTTAGATTTGTACCATTCCTATTTTACGGATAAAAGATATAAAACTTCCAATCACATCACAAAGCTCAATAGGAATATTTTAATGATGATCCTACCACTTCTAAGAAGGATTAGGATAAATCTGCATTGTCCGTTGCTTCTGAATCGATTCAAAAAACGTTTTAAGTGACTTTAAATCTGTACATTCTTCCTCTGACGCAGATAAATTTGGTCATGAGTTAAAATTCGCGCTTTAAATGCGATAAGAGGGTAGAGAGGTACAAACACGTTAAAAGAAAGTTTGGTAAATGGAATAGTTAAAAATCAAGGGCGAGATCAATAATCAGGTTAATTTCTATCTTAATTTTTTATCCATAAATGATAGCTATCGCCGTGCTAGGAGGCCACTAACTGATAACCCTGCCATTGTGACCTGGCGTGGATTTTCGCTTTATTTCATTATGACTCTTATCGTCACATTTTCTATCTGAAGATGTAGGGAGCGAAAAACAGGCCTGGCATTTGGGTAATCTGATTTCTAAACGATCAAGGGATAAGCACTGTACAATTGAATTGAGCACAATAGACTACATGTAAATTTCATTTTCGCCCTTGATTTTGTTGAAGTAGCGAGACGAAGTAACGCAATTTGCACATGGGTAAGGCAAAACAGAAGCAAATACCTCTGGAGATGGCGCCAATAAAGATCTGAGGTTGCTTGCCTCTCCCATTCACCATAAAATTGAAATCAGAATCCATTTGATGAAGATTCCTTCATAGCAGGGGTTAGATTTGACGTAGCATTATAAGAGAGAAAGGATTGATTTGAAGATTAACTGGAAGTGCATGTGTGCGTGACTTGGGTGATCATTTCAATGGTAGCATCAATTGAGCAATCAAGCTAAGCGGGGAGGCTACTTTGTATTTGCAACAAGTAAACAAAATTCATGCCTGAATGGGAAGGGTTGCAAAAATGAGAAATGAGTCAGAAATCAAAGACATGTTAATGCATATCTGGGGTTAGGAATACCTGGATCATGACAGACAGCAAATCAAAAGGGAATCCAGCAAGCATCAGGCATTAGTTTCATTCTATTGAAAAGTCGACGTAAATTAATTCATGTTACGTCAGTTCTGAAGAGGGCACGGCTTTTGTAACAAACACTCAACTAAACGATTAATACGGCTTCTCATCCCATTCACGCCAATATAGAGCCTATGCCATCAGGTATAACATGAAGATGGAAACTCAGGACGTGAAAATCTGAAACAAGAGCGAGGACCATCAAGACTGAAAATTGTCTACACACTTCCAGGGTGGGCTTTAGAGCAGGTTGAAAATAAAGCTACAATTAAACGATTGTTCAGAAAATTGTTGCATGCAGATAAATTTAACACAAGAATCACTAATATCTCGCTTTAATGATATGAACGCAACCAGAAGCGTTACAATTTACATTCAGTTTGAAAACAATACAAGACAAGGTTTGAAGTCTTACGTATTCAAATTCACACACTATATTTTTTTAAGGAATCGTGAAATGACGTCATTCTGTTTCGTCCCATGACCTGAAACGAAAAATCGAATTGTAAGCACTTGAACTGCAAAAAGATATTTAAAAACAGTGATAGAACACTCTGTGACTTAAAGATCATTTGGTATTGTCTGAAATGCTGATCTTACAATTTATGTTTTGCAGAAAAAAATTCAACCAAAACAGGAAACAAAGGAGGTTAAAAAGCCAGTAAAAGCAGGCTTGAAGATTGAATAATGAAGCCAGGAATAAAAAAATTTAAGAAGCGATCACAGCAATACTTTGCAAGTACAAACTTCCACAGATAGAAGAGCATGCTTACATTAGTAACGTTCAATTTTTATCACAGTTACAATGTCGGTTGCTTTTTTGAAGAGGAAAATATTAACAAGGGAATAGTTAGAGAAATATATAGATGAATATTTGTAGAACGCAAAGGGCTTATAGGGACAGATACTTAATAATGCTGTGCAGCTCAGTGAATCTTTATGCAGATTCAATAACGTATTGCAAAGTTTATGTCAGGTATTGTTTTAATTGTGCACATATGATACACAAATGATAGAATATGCCAAATCAGTTGTATAAAGGAGTTGATAACTTCCCTAGGGATATCAGAGCCCTCTCCACTAGATCTAGAACACATAATTAAGGCAAATCGTATTGTAAAGCATTTAAAAACCATATATCTGACAAATTATCAAAATAAAAGCATCAACAGCGGCAGTAATATCTCCACACAAAATATAGCTGGATAACGAAACCTTAAACAATAAAATCATGGCAAAAAAATAGTAGAAGAAGTGAAGACTTACTAAAATCTAACTTTGGAAAGGAAATGAAAACATAAGAATTTATAAGTATATGGTGGAAACTAAGAGACTTCTCTAAGATCTTAAATATTTCTTAGCCTGTGTTTTTTCCTTCATTGACTAGGACACATGGTCTGGAAGAGTAAGCTTGTGAACCTTGCACATGGCACTGTGTTTGTCTGGTTGGAAGGCATTCGAATGATTTGAAAATCCAAACAAACAAATCAGCAAACAAAGTTCTCAATGTGACATTAAAAGTCTATTCAGGAAACTGTGCGGTTTGAACAACATGGAAATTTTGTAGATATGCTAATTACTTTGAAGCACAGCTCAAAAGATAAATAAGTAAACTTTGTAATGAATAGGTTTATAGGTATCATATGTACAATTTGAAGAGAGTAATTGTCGTCCTGGCTACACCGCTGTTTAGACCTCATAAAGGACAGCAACAGCAACAAAAAGAAGATGCATTTTCGGTAACGGCAGTGATGATACGCCAATTGTAAGGGGATAAAGGGGGGCTGTGATGGACGCTAGACTCCCAAGCATGTGGAAATTTTGCTAAAATGAAACCTGATTCGCTGTAAATTAGGAAAGCTCAGCGAAAACCCCCTTAATTCCCATCGCCATAAACATATACTCCATCAGGTAAACGGGGTACGTGCATGGTGACCATTTAAAGCGAGAGATCCCTATCCGCTACTTTGTGTTCCTTGTCTGGTTCGATAGTATAAATGCAAACAAATATTTTTAAAGAGAATCGATGCATAATGAACTGACTTCACCGGCATGAATATGTAACCAATCATGACAAAACAGATCTTTTTACAACAAAACGGATCTTTTTACAAGCTATTCTATGTTCCAAGTGCAAATGGAATGGGATTTGAAACTATATTTAAAAACAGGACTTACGTCCGATGGTTCTCTTAAAGCTCCAGCTCTGGTACATCTGAAACTGTTTTAACAAAAATTCTCACATGCTCGTCACAAAGCTTTAAACTGAAGCTGGGTGGCCTTGAGAGCAGTGGTAAGAAACCTGGTACACATTAATCTGATTTTCGCTTGAGGAATGTTACGAAAGCCCAAAGTTTGTGGAAGCCACGGGCTGGCACGGTCAACCACGCCCCTCTGGTCATGATAATTAGAGCTAAAAAAGTGTGTGTGGGCAAACAAGATACACAGGTAGCTTTCACATAAGCTTCCCTTTCACAGACGCAACGTTTGTTGCATACGAAATTTCTTAAACGTGTGTACTTATATTGGCTATGTATTTATCTACACCCTTGGCTGGTTTCTCACTCCACTACAAAGGTTTAGAATTGAAAAATTTATCATTTACGTCTTTCTATCGTGTTTGACATGCTCTACCTCTTTGATGCGCTTTATTGCAGACACAAATAGGGGTACAGTCTCGGTTTTTCTTTAGGTTCTCATACATTACACTATTACGCCACTGAAAAGCTTGTTAGCTGAGATGTACACGTGCTAATGCAAAAACTAGATTATGATGTAAAGGGCCTAACTGAATCTGAAAATTGTTACAAGTTGGTGTTAATTAGCTGTTTATTAGCTATTGTAAACCAATATTAAATTAAGTGAATGAAAAAAATAAAAAAATCTGAAATTAATGCTATAAATATTGAGCAAATGTTCTTCAATCTCTACTCGTCTCAATTCAGTCCAGTACGAAAGTTAGCATTATCTGGGGCACCATTGTTTGAGAACAATAGGAGCAAAATGTATTGTTTATTAGAAACTCAGGGTTTTTCGACATTTTTGAACAATAATAGTAAAAGTGAACCTGCTTCAAGACAGAAAATGGCAAGAATAGGTGAAAAATCAAGTTGAGTGAACTTGCAGAAAACTTGGGAATCAGAAGAATCTTTATTTATAAGGTATTTATAAGGTTTTTAGGGAAGAAGAAAATTATATTCAAAGTCACTGATTCAAGTCATTCTGGTATCGACTGTTGATCCAAAGAGTCTATGGTTTGCACCATCCCACACATGGCTCAAGTTGCGGTCACTGGTTTAAAAAAGATCGTTCAAATAAAGGAAATTGCTATAACTTTATTTCTGGCCATTCAACTGCTGAGTCAAATCTGGACTCAGTCGCCCTGTAACTTTACCTTTTGAAGACAAACTTTAGAATTGGGTCATTTCTAACCAATTTTCTTGTTTCCAGAAGTTCTCTAATTGCAGAAAAACAAACATAAACTACAGAAGTATATAACACACTAAATCGGTCACGCGTTGGCGTTTGGAACTGAAGTAACATGATGTTATTGCCTGCTTGAGGGATCATGTGATATGCGACAATAGCTAGTGTATCACCTCCTTCAATAACCTCTTATCTGACTGACAATATACTTATACAGGGGTCACTGGCTATACACTCAATGTTTACGCATAACCTCGCAATAGCTGACAAATGAAAAGCATATTATGAGTTTGTGACAACGGCCTGGACCAACGGCTTTCAAATGTTGACTACGCACAACCTCCGTTGTCTGTTTGGATTTTCGAGATCAACGAAATAAGATGTTCATGGTGGATTGTATACAGGCGAAACACTCTCATTGTAATCATAAAGGGTGTGGTGTTGTAATGCAATAACAGTGTGGCGGGCTCAAACTGAAAATGACCAATAGTTCATTTTTGATGATCGCTCTTGTTGTCACAACCAATGGTGTTCGACAGACGCTTAAACTTAAAGCGTGTTAACTAAAGTAACCGTGAAAAAAATAATTACAAATTTCAAAGAGGAAAAATTTCAACACAGCCACAAATAACCATCTCGCTCTCCCAAGAAAACAAAACTGCGTCAACGTATCGATAGCACTCGCATCGTTATATGCAAAATAAAGGCTGGTAGGAATGGAAGAAATAACGTTTTATAACCAATTTATCTTACCACTTGCCCGTTTAAGCAAAATTAATCTCAACTCAATCAACAATTGCCTAACAGGGTCGCATTAGTGGGGCAAATGACTCAACAGGCCTATTCATTCAAACAACAATGGAATCCAAAATTCATAAAAAGAGTTCATAAAAAGGGGGTCCAATGAATAGGATCAAGTTTGGAGGGCCTAGTTGCTTATTCTGTTCAGTTTTAAGGCCTATTTATTCGCCTCGAGCTAAAGAAAGAAAAAATCTCCATTCCTCCCACGGACACATGTAAAAACAGTACCAAAAGTAGGGTAAGGGGACCAGTTGCTTATTCCAAGTATCTTTAAGGTAAGATTGAAACAAAAAGGGTCGATTTACAAGAAACTGCTTCCTATATAGTAAAGGCAAAACACTGCCCTTAACATAACCCATTTGGACCACTCTCACTTAGAAGTGTACCAAACCATACAAAAAATATTTACTCTGAGTTTTCGTACAAAGCTCACATTCTTTCCGATGATACATATAAACTGATAAAAAAATTTCCCCTGCAGAAATTTCCCCTGCCCGTTTGAGTTTACAATGCTGAACAAGCTGTTAAAGGAGGTAAATTCCCTAAAAAGGAGGCTTTGTAAAAAACATGCGGTGCCAGCTGGTTTATTTTTCAAAAATTGAAACCTTCAGAATTTTAGAAGTAACTCCTCCTTCAAAGCATCATTTTCTGGGTCAATGAGAGATAGTGATTCCCTTTTCTATGATTTTTAGATAAGCTTTGGTGAAACATTGTATTAGAGTGGCCCCAACAATACCGTCAGATGGTCCACGCTCTTCCATAAATTATTACTGCACACTATTACATTAGCAAAGTAATAATGAAATGCGGCAGATAAGATAATTATTCTGCGTTTAGCGAAATCGCTAAAAGTCTAAGTTGATTAATAATTCAGTTTCTGACAACGATAGGACGATTTCTAGCTCAATCAATTATTCAGTGGTCGAATAAGCAAACATAAAGCGCTAATTGACAAGAAGAATAAAGGTTTAAACCGAGGGACTGAGGGGCGACATATCATGTATGGGGTGTTGCTGTGGTAAAAATCTGAAGGTAACAACAAGCAAACATTGGCTACAGGCTGACACCTACGCAGAAGGACCTCAAATCCAAAACCAAACAGGCTGAAATTATTTATGAAAGGATAGGCTATCTTTCCTGGCTTGGAATTTCTGGTAGAGTAGGGGCGGGCCTAGCTCTAACCGATCTGTGAATCATAAACCAAAAAGATTTATGCATTTGACAGTCTCTAAAATTCAACTTTATCTAGAATCGCAAATTCACGAAATCGACTGCTCACTTCAGATAATCACGCTCAACTGCCCTTTTTTGATTGATATGAAAAAATTTACTCATTTATTCGAGGTCATCAACAGGAAAATTCCTCGTGGGCAGATAGTAATGCTAAACAGCAGGTTAGACAGTGTCTACGAAAAAGCATTCGAAAGAGAAATGTCTCCATCACTGTGCTAATCTCACGTGGCCTCAACAAAATTGTTCAACGTCTCGTAGAAATAAGAGCTCGCCACGACAGTGATTTTATGAAAAAGTCACAAGAATCGATTATATTGCTTGCAAATCTAGTTCTATAGTAGCTAGGAACAGATAAAAACGTGCGCTTCCTTGCAACATAAAGGCTGTCTATAGAACTTACTTGCACGTCTAAAAGAAACCGAAACCATAGCACTTATCATCCTCATTGCTTTCGAATGGGAAGAATTATTTTAGGGGTTAAGGAACGTATTTTCTGTTCAACTGACAAAGATGGCAGAAAGAAGAAGTCCTCAAGGCTGATTGAGTGTTCTATTCATGCTACCCTATGTTACGTTTTTGGTTCTCAAGCATGGTTTCTTAAAATAAATGCAGGTATATGATTCACTGAACTTAATTGCAAGGCCAACTTGATAGAAAATGTTTCATGGCTTGACATACAAAGAAGCAGTTTGTGGATTTTGAAAGGCAGTTTCATTTCTTGACAGAAGGGAAAAGAGACAACCTCAAAAGAATCGAAATATTTCAATGAACTGAATAAAAATCAACCAATTTACAAAAAAGGGAAGAGAGAAAATTCATTATTCTAAATCATGTGTTTGCATAACTTTCGTGTGTGCACTTGAATATTCTCAAAATGAAAGAAATAGAAACCTGAACACGTGGTTTCGGGATGCTTATCTTTTCCAGTAATTAGCTGGATCAGTAATTAGATTAGCAGGACTGGGTTTTGCCCTTAAAAGACGAGATACTGTGGGTTCGCACCACAAGATTAGTTATTGTCGTTAAAAAGAGATAAAAAATAAGAAAAAACCCTGTGATGACTGTGATAATTATGATGATCGGTTGGGGCAATTATTGCGATTGGCGATGGTGATGATTGATCAATGATTATGATTGATCGATGATCGATTATGACGATTGACTATGATGTCGTTGATGACTATGATAATTATGATGATCGATTAAGGCAATGATTATGATTGGCGATGGTGACGATTGATCAAGTGGAAGATGATCGATTATGACGATTGACTATGATGTCGTTGATGATTATGATAATTATGATGATCGATTAAGGCAATGATTATGATTGGCGATGGTGATGATTGATCAAGTGGAAGATGATCGATGACGATTGACTATGATGTCGTTGATGACTATGATGATTACGATGATCAATTAAGGCAATGATTATGATTGGCGATGGTGATGATTGATCAAGTGGAAGATGATCGATTATGATGATTGACTATAATGTCGTTGATGACTATGATGATTACGATGATCGATTAAGGCAATGATTATGATTGGCGATGGTGATGATTGATCAAGTGGAAGATTATCGATTATGACGATTGACTATGATGTCGTTGATGACTATGATAATTATGATGATCGATTAAGGCAATGATTATGATTGGCGATGGTGATGATTGATCAAGTGGAAGATGATCGATTATGATGATTGACTATGATGTCGTTGATGACTATGATAGTCATGATGATCGATTAAGGCAATGATTATGATTGGCGATGGTGACGATTGATCAAGTGGAAGATGATCGATTATGACGATTGACTATGATGTCGTTGATGACTATGATAGTCATGATGATCGATTAAGGCAATAATTATGATTGGCGATGGTGATGATTGATCAAGTGGAAGATGATCGATTATGACGATTGACTATGATGTCGTTGATGACTATGATAATTATGATGATCGATTAAGGCAATGATTATGATTGGCGATGGTGATGATTGATCAAATGGAGGATGATCGATTATGACGATTGACTATGATGTCGTTGATGACTATGATGATTATGATGATCGATTAAGGCAGTGATTATGATTGTCGATGGTGATTAGAGATAATGATGGTAAAGATGGATGGTGATGATGATGATGCCAAAGACGATGATAATGATTGTGGATCAGGATATAGAAGCTGGAATAATTTCCAGGCACGTTATGTGCTTTTTGTGACCTTGTCGTTGCCACGTTGTCTTGACAGAACAGACTGGTATCTGAATCTTACAACGTTAGAAGCTACCGATATTGATTTAGGATTCCGATTGCTCTGAAAAGTTCAATGGAAATAGCAATTTCGGTCTAACGTTTGAGCAAACAACAAAGTAGTTCTGTGATAATAGCCGCCGGTAGCAGTATAGTGCGAAAATATTTCATTGCACACATTAAAATCCATTAAAACTTGAATTCGTCTGCGTCTATCAATTCTTTAAGGCGCCAGAAACTCAGACAATTCGATGTAAAAAAATTTCAAACCTGAATACTGGCCAGTTTTATTGATAATAATGATACAAAGTTTTTTAGGCTAAAGATTAATGAGGAAATCTAAACTTTCAGCAATCAAAAGGAATCTATTGCGGTTGCAATTCAATCCAAAACAACATATCGGAAAATAAAAATATATAGGGCCTTAACGAGGTGGCCATTCCGAGTAATAAAACTGAGCTTTTGAAATGAGCCCCGAATGCAATGAAAAACACTGAAAAATTTAAGAAAAAAAATTGAATATCCAAAGTGGGAAGAAACGAGTGAAAAAAATTGTTTCAATTGGGTTAACCTTTAAAAGATCAACTTAGTAAGAATTTGACAATGAAAATTTCTTTTCATCGATTAATATCTTTACAAGGAAGCTTTAAAAAAACAAGATTGAAATATAAAGGAAGAAGGAAAAACACATGACAATGAGGAATAAAATACAGAAGACCGCACCTTTATTTTCTGTACCACATTCTGATTGGTTTGTGACTTCTTCTGATCTTTTTCTGTAGTTGAAGTACTCCGTATAACAAGGCTTCTGCTGTAGGGGGGCAGCCAGGGACATAAATATCTACTGGGACAATGCGGTCACATCCACGCACAACTGAGTAAGAGTAGTGATAATACCCACCACCGTTGGCACAACTAAGAAGAGACAAATATAATGAAATAAGATTACTTTCGACATCAACTCATCCCAAGTTGCTGAGTTGCTCTGTATTACAAGGAAATAAAAACAACGATTATCTTCTACGCGAAAGACCAGTGAAAGCAATTCTAAACAGGCATTAACAAGCTTCAATGTGATTACTAATGCTAAATTCAGGAACCCCACCCCCAGGTCCTTTGATTACACCCTTGTAATATCCCCATCATGTTATGGCATGATAATGATTTCGCCCCTTAAATTCATCATTACCCCCCAGAATGCGCTATTGTACTTTCACAGACCATTAAATGAAAAGCTTTTTTGAAATGGATGTGAGCTCCTCAAATTCTAAAAACCCATACAATTTCATTAACTGACATTCTTAGGACAAAAATATGAACAGAATTAGTGGTTAATTAATTACAGCCACACTGATATTGTTATTAATGTTTCTATTGCATATTTTGAATTCCATGGCATTGTATAAACTTAAAGTACGTGCGTTGTAATGCAACTGTATCAAATCAATTTGAATATATGCAATTATAATGACAGTGTTTACAAAATGGCTTAAGTGGTTCTTAGCTTCACAGTACAAGCACTATAAAATTCCTTCTTTAGAACCCATAACAAAGTAACAAAAATATGATTATTCTTCATCCATAATTGGATTTTGGTAAAGCAAAATTCGGCTTGTAAAAATGGGTATTAATCTAAAAGTTAATCTGAAAAGAAATCCAATAGGTAGTATATGCTAAAACGAATTAAAGCCCCGAAATCGGAGTGAAATATACTTTTTTAAAATAATTTATTAGTTACTGTAGATTTGATTAGGCCAATAGACCTTTGCTTGTGGCCAGATAAAATCATAAGACGAACCGTATATGCTAAACTCAGAAACTTTGTGTTCTGACATGCAATAGTTAAAGGGAAACTCACTATTTGATTGGCAGTAATGACTAACTGTTAGATTACATTCGATCAATCTGATTTAATCACGTGTTCGAACACGCATTTTGAGTCAGTGCTAAGCTGGTCCTAATTGCGAAATTTCACTGAAACACACTCCAACTACCAATGACGGAATAAATAATTTTTATTTGTAGTAAACATGCATTTTTTGATATCGAAAACAAGAATAAACAAATGTGGCAAATATTAACCTAAAAAGTATACGTCCAGTCAACATGATTGGAAGTCAGTAAGACATGACAAAGCTTTTCTGAGAGGCTTAGGAAAATTGCCTGCTCATTCGATTAACCATCATCAATCAAATGGTTTTGGTAAATTTTTAAAAGATACCTAATGACAATCTTAACTTACAGGGCCCACGCCACCGGGGGGGGAGGGGGGCCGGGGTGGCCATGGCCCCCCACTTTCTGCGAACCAAGTAGTTTTAAAGCTGCAGTAAAAGGGGAAAGATACGTTGGCACCCTGCTTTTGCTAGTCTTGGCCCACAACTTTCACATTTGTGGCAGGGGCCCTGGCTCAACAGAAAACAAACAAAGAGGGGTTTACGAATTAATGTGGGCGCCAAAATAGCTGTCAATTCTTGAATACTTTCACGAATATCCGGCGATATACTATGATTTACCTGCCCATAGAGATGACCCATCGTGGCTCTGGCATCTGATCATATACCTACAAGAGGGATTTTCATCTGTATCAACATACAAATAATTCCCAGCACTGAATGTTGACGCTTTTACAGAGTGTTTTTGGAATAAACATCATTAAAGACAGAATTTGTGAATGGATAGAGAGCGGGGAGCTATGCTTATGGTATTCATAATTATCGTGCCAAAGCCCACAATAAAGACATGAATATTTTAGATTTCTCCCTTAAAGATCTCGGAAGGGCTAGTCCAAAAGCTGAATATGACATGACATGTCGTTCTGGAATTTGGAATCTTTAGGAAGAGAGGTCAGTAAAAAGTTGGTGCTCTGCTAACTTTTATTAGGGTAACAGAATTTCACAGCTCTCCGAAAGGCCAAGCATTCATAGACATCCTTCAAGTAAAAACGAAATAGAGTTGTTTAGAAAATGATCCTTAGTCATCGCATGATCCCAGATGAAAAGACAGCATGAAGGGCTGCAAAGAGCAAGAATAAGGAGGAATTCCCAACACTGCCATGTGATTACTGCCTGGAAAGGTTGGCAGTTGCAAAAAATCCTAATTTTAGGAAATATCTGTCACGACAGGTGAAACTACTGGGGGTATGAATCGATGTAGATTCAAAGCATAGGCCAGGCATCATGTACAAATTGCAAAAAACAGGCTTCACATAATAAGCACAAAAAAGTGGGCGTCACCTTTCTCAAAGCAGGAGCCATCTTGTTCGTGAGGGTGCCAGCCACAATCATGACATCTGCTTGACGCTGTTTATAACAAAGTAAAAATCAATACGTCAAGTAAAGGAAGTGTGGACATGGGAGTGGAGGGGGATCAATCGGAGCATGAAGTGGGCAATGGAAGAGACAATGAATAACATCGAACAGCAAATTGCTAACTATAGAGGTCAAGCTCGAGAGCCACGGATGTTTCAACCATGGTTTTGAACTATTTTTGACAGTTAGGAACTTGAACGTGAGAAGGAGACCCGAAGTCTGTGTTGGGACCCGAGGAGTCTTTATCCTACTCAAACCAACCCCGATGTGTTGAGACCTGAAGTCTGTGTTGGAGCCTTTATCCTACTCAAACCAACCCCGATGTGTTGAGACCCGAAGTCTGTGTTGGGACCCGAGGAGCCATTATCCTACTCAAAAATAGTACCTTGTTATATGAGGTACTAGAAATGGGTATAAGGTGAACAGGGAGAAAGAAAACGTTAATATACATAAATGGTGCATTTAAATACAAATTGACGCAAGTATGTCCCGTGCAAGACATTTGGTTTCTTTGTGAGCCAAATTTAGAAAAAGTGTTACCGGGGAAGTTAGCTAAAGTGAAAAAATGCAACATTGCAAATTAGTATCCAAAATGAAAGACCGATGTTATTTTGGCACCCGCTTTGTGCTGCCTTTGATGCAGAATTTGTTACTTTGAAGATGAGACGACGGCTAATCCGCTGCTAGAAAACTGGATTCTAGAGATCATAATTCTTGACGGAACAATTGAAGTTGAGGCATCGCAACCCAGCTCTGCAGACGTTCGAACGACATGCGGCTATTTTCGATGGGCGACTGCTTGTGTCTATTCAGATGTGCATAAGAGCTTTAAGTAACCTGTAGCAAAGAAAGCGATCGCTAAGTTTAGTACAGTGTCGGATTTCTGCTTCACCAAACAACAAGTACCACACAAGAGTGCTTGAAATCCTCATGACGGTATTTACAAGGCCTGCCATACACGATTCAATGCAATGCACAGACATTCAAGTAGACGCGTAATCCAAAAACAATTCGTCTTCTTTTTCCACTATCTGTCAGCGATTAGACAGATCACTAAAAGGCATGAGAGATGATTTCCAAGTCTCAGAAAGATAGATTATTCTCAAAAGTTTGTTGCTAATTTGAAAGATCTTTCTTTGTCGGCAGTGTTTGTAGGCCCTTCTCCTCCTTCGGGGGACAAGCAGCCGCCCATTTGCTATCTGGTGGTCAAAAATGCTACAAATCCGCTTCCTTCCTAGCTCCTTAGAATAGTTTTCAGATTAATGAGATTCTTCCTCAATTTTCTAGTAAAGGAAAGTAAAACAATTTTTTTGCTTATAAACAGGTAATTAATTGTTTCAATGGTATGATGCGACGGTCCAACAGGAGTAACTCCACGGCATGTAGATAAAACTAATGACAAAACCAAGTAGCACAGCACCTTAAAATTAAAACTCATTCATTATCAAACCAAAAGTAGCATTCAGCATGCGAAACCAGACTTGAACAATGTGCACACACTATATTTTATTAAAACAAACAAAGCCGATGGTGTCCTTAAGTGCTATCCACTTGGCATTAAACCCAACACAGTTGGTAGGGTAAGTGTGAAACATCTGTTCCCGTCTTCGTCTAAATTCAGCAGACATTTGACGAAACTGCTAGTTAAAGCAAAACACACGGTTTTCTAGTTTAGGCTGAAATATAAAAACAAACGGTATGCTTTCTAAGAGCTTTTTGTTTAAGCGTATGACGAATAGGTGGGGAAAGCAGGTCCAAATTCCGGGGAAAACTCTACTACAAATGATTGAAATACGTCACGTTAAAAAATAACTCTACATCTCTAACGAAGCGAACAAAGTCCTTGATCACAGAAAAAAACGGGAGCATTGCGTCTTTTTTGAAGAGAAACTCGAGAAAAAGTACCCCCTCTCCCAGTGAGACCCCCAAAACAGGCCTATGGCAGGCACCGCGGAGCAGGGGGGGCTAAGACCCCCACTTTTTGCAAAAAATGCCAAATATTAAGTATCAAACTACCAGAAAAGCCTCTTTTTATACGGTTTTAGCCCCCCCCCCCATTTTTATCAACGCTCCGCGGTGCCTGTATGGGGTTATGGTATGAATTTGTCTTATTGCTTTTGCCCAATGACTTCTGCGATGCAATGTTTCCCTAGGAATCAACACGAAACATTGCGGACAATTGAATGTGAAATATATGATGCAAAATGTTCCATTCTATTTGAAGAGCTTTCAAATTAACAGCTTCAGAGAAGTTTTACGTAACAGTGGATGCGTCAGGAAGCATGAAACGCAATTTTTAGAACAGCACCGAGATTTCAGAAAGCCAAATGATCTAAAAATGTCACAGTGGTCACAGTTCATTATAAAAAGGAAACCATCAGCATGCGCAGTGACAGACACCAGAGGGTAGCTTTGCAAATCAGAGAGATCCGAGGGATTGGTTGACATTTCCATTTCTCAGTTATGTAACCAGGGTAAAACCTCATTCTTGTCAAATATGATAAAAAATATCAAGAAGGGGAAGAGGGGTGAGAAACAGTCCCCCTCTTTTCATCTCTCTCCTATGATAGTTTTCCCTTATACAGGGCCGCCGGAGCAAGGGGGCCAAGAGGGGCACAGCCTCCCCCTGATTGTAAAAAATGTAAAAATTGCCCCTCTTTGATTAAATTGGGTGCATTTTTTCACTACCAAATATTCTGCTTTAAAAAGCTGAGTAAAATAACTTAAATCAAGGCGTTATTTGAACCATTCACTGAAATTTCCTTATATTTTTTCTCGGTAATGATGCAAAAGGCGCAAGCTTCTAAGATAAACAAAATTGCATAGCATAAAAAATTGCAGTTTGCGACAGTTATATACAGAATTTGTTTGGTTGGTTGTATGATAAAATTATGACAATTACAAATTAAACTTATTTCTATTCATATGTCTAGCCATTCATTTATAAGTTCATCAATTGATTAATTAATTTGTTTCAACCATAAACAAGCAACACGTGGAGGTCAACATGATTAAGCATATTCTTGAAAATTGTTATCAATAAATAGCCCACTTGCACAGCATAAAGATAGCAAGGGAAGAAAGAAATTTTCTCGAGTTTCAACTCCGGTGGTTTGTGGATTATTATTAAAATATGAAAAAAAATTGGTCGAGAACCAAATGTTAACTTGAGTATCTTTAGTTTCAAATATAGAAAACATTAAGCATAAAAATTAGTGTCATCAAAAAACAGTGTTATTCATCTGCATTCAAAGTTGCGTAATTTTCTTATGTCACCGAGCATAATTGTTGCCAAAGTTAACTATATTTCAAAAGAGGGATTTCCTTTATAAAAATCGTCAGTTTAGAATGATGTTTGTTTGATCTCATATTTGACCTTTGCCCAAAAAAGTATAAAAACTACAGCTGCACGTAGCAGGAATGTATAAGTTTCTCATTTTCTCTCAGGCAAAACTGAGAACAATTTGAGAAAAGAAGCTGATCCTCGTACGAGGTGGGTAACGCATCAGTTACAAAACCAACTGCAAACATGAAACTAGCTTTACATCTCTTTATTTCACATTTAAATAACTTAAAAACAACGCGAAATAAAGAAATGCAAAAGAAGGTAAAGGTTTCTGTCACGCTTTTGCCAACAAAGCTGTTTTTGACAGACTCAGTACTGTGTTGTAGCTGTGAACGCGGTCCACAAAATAATGGACAAATGCTATTCGCAGTTGGTTGGAAACTCTGGGTTTTGAGGTATGCTTGAAAATAGCAACAGGATTTTAGAGAAAGGAAGAAGAAAATCCCGGCGGAATCATAAAGGTGACGATTCGTGGTTACAAACGAGCAATGTTGGTCAATTTGTTGCTAAAAAGGAACTTAAATTGCTTGTTGGGCGAAACAGTGAAGCGTCTCGAAAGCGACATTGTTGGTAGCTATCGGAAACCAGACTGTATGAATGGGGAGTTAATGATGAAACCTTTAAATTCATGAATACAGATGTATAAAAATATATCTCAAAAACTGCAAAAAATAATGAAATCCAATAACGAAAAGAGTAATTAAATCTGAAAGATGAACACTTGAGCCAATTGACTGTTTTGGTGAGCATGCAGTAAAAATTAATACCATTAGTATTGAATAGTGCTGGATCCATGAATGGGCAAGCGATCAAATATAAAAACAAATAAATAAGTCTTCAGTTTTGGGATTTGGTTACAAGAAAAGTTTATTTATGCAGATGATTGAGACATTTTAACGAACTGACCTCAAAGCGGCTGTGTGTCAAAAACAATAAAATGCAGGCTTTGAAATAATGACGCATCTCTACGGCTCATGCGCATATACCTGGACTAGCGTGCATTGCTGGCTATTTTTATCATCACCTTAACCTCATCAGTCCTTATTTTAAGGAAATTTTATCACTGCACAATCAGGGTGGTTTTATGAAAAGATTACCTCTAGAGGCAGGCTGTGCAAAGTGCGTGTCAGAGGCACGCATGCAATAACCGGTGTCTGGGGGCGCTGTAAGCCCCCAGTGGGTCCAGGGTATAGCCCTGACAGGGGTTCAGGGGGCAGAGTCCCCGGAAACTCATGAGATTTTGCCATCTCTGATGCCTTAAAATGGCTTAAGATCCTGAAAATTCTCTTTCTGTACGATAGTAAAAAAGCAAAAGAAATACACATATAGCCAACCCCCTAGCAGAATATCCCTGAGTAACCAACCCACTAGCAGAAAATGACACTCAGCAAAGTGCTCTCACGTGCCGCTAAATTTGATTAAATGTTTTTAATACCATCAAGACTCTTCTTTTTCCCCTCCGCATTAGGGAATACTGCCTCAATCAAGTCCATATTAAGTATTTTGGAGCAGTGAAATAATCGAAGAAAAGGAGAGAAAAGACGCAAAAAAGGATATGAGAAAACTTTTTTAAACATAGTAACTGTGAACTATGATACACCAGAAACTGTTGATTTGAATTCTTTATGTTGCTGTTTCAACTAATTTATCACTGCACAATTTTCCATTTATCATGGCACATTTTGGATTTATCACTGCACAAATTGGTTACCACTGAGCCTTAAAAGTAAGGCCTGAACCTCATCACATTTGCATCACCTCACGCAAAACGACTCACGATTTCAAATTCAGTACGCAAAAGCAGTCCCATAATTAATGGAGAAAGTTGGATGAATTTTCCTTGAAGACGATTGATGATTGGACTTCCATGTGTAACTGCGTAGCAAACTCTACTAACCACTCCTAGGCTGGTTTTTCAGATTTTGACGTGTTAAATTATTAAAATCTGTTCTTATATCTTCTTTTTTGCCGTTATTTAGCGTTCCTGCGATAAAACATTTAAGTTCTGGTTTCTCTTTATTGAAAATAGATCAGCACGAAAGGTTTAAAATAATAAGTAAATATGCGTTGAAAGGCTAAACTTATTTTTTGATCGATCTTCATTGTGTTATCACGTTGAAATATTTTCAACGTAGCTGACTCTTATAACTAGGGTTTATATAAAGAATATTCGATTAATTGTGCCGAGTTAAAAGAGAATAGGGTGTGTTTCATTTGCATATTGCTTTCTAAATTAAAAAAGATCCGAATATGTTTTTATTTTTGAGCTGTTTGCTGTTTGATCAGAGTAGAAAATAATGGACATGATTAATGAAATAAAGTCATATAACGTTCATTAAAGACCTTTTTTGATGGAGACGTTAATTAAAGACCTTTCTTGATGGAGAAGTTTTGGAATCTTATATTCATCTTCTACGCCTTATGTTATTGATTAAGCAATTTTTAGCGCTACTCTAAAAACACGAACTTGATTTCCATCCTTTTTTATCATTTCTACGAAATTAAGTAAATTTCCTTACCGGACTTGCACGAAAAACGACACCAAACCGATCCATGTCATACCTATAATGACAAAATGTTCCAAGCTTATTCCAATCAACAAATGTTTTGGATGCAAATAACCAAGGAAATATAGCCCAACACAAAATGTACATAGACTAAAAATACCTGAGCTTTAGCATTCGATCTACGAGATAATGCAAGGAACTATTGCTTAAGTTTAAATGAAGCAGCAACGAGGTCTGAAAGCGGAGCAAGGGGCATTAACTAAGGGAGCTATGAAGAGCTACGACAGGCCACTGGACACTTGGGACTGGAAGGGAATGGGTTTTTCTCCCTCCTTCCTTTCTCTCTTAATCACCCACTCCTTCTTCGATAACACATCAATCTATAGTACTGTATCATTGGTTCTGGTACAAAGGGTATGCAGACAGACGAAAAGCAACTGTTTCATCAAGAGGTCATTGCCCCATTGCCCCATTGCCTCTTTGCCCTCTTTTTCACTTGGTCTGGTGTACAGTCCTAGCCTTTATAGAGCCCAAAATTTTAAGAAAAATATTTCGAGGAGAATTTCTTCTCTTGTAGATAGATCTTAAAGATTTCAAATCTTAAAAATCTTAAGTGTTTTATAGTTTGATTAATAGCCTAGAAAGTTATTATTTTTTATTGTCATCTAAACTTTACTCGGAAGACCCCTTGAAAAAGGCAATCCTCCTTATGGTGAACGGCAATCCTCCTTGAAGAATTTAAAATGAAAATATCAATTTTTGTTCGTTTATTGAAAAAAGATCTCACACTGTCTCTTACAAACTAAATACAGAGCACAGAAGGTACGTTTGCGTGAAATAAGATTGCAAACTTAAAAAAAAATTCTCTCAAAAATAAACAATTGAAATGGACCAGATACCTTGGGGCTGCAAAATGCATCATTTCCACGGCACAACAGGCTAAGCCGAATGTCATAGGCCATAAAGAACTCTGAAATGGAAGGCTTTTATCATGAAGAAAACCCATAAAAACTGGTCCCTGATAATTTCCTTGCTGGGAGTTTTTTCAGATTGATTTATTATTCAGCGCATCTAAATTTAGCAGTGAAAGTAGTCGATATTGCATGAACAGAGGATTTTTATGTTTCTGCTTAGCATACGGAGGTTTTTAGGACACTGAGAATCTATGCTTATCGACCAGAGTCCTGGTCCTTCCTCTCGACGTGAACATACCCCGTGACTCCTACGTCTCGAATTGCAAAGAGCCGACATTCCTCGCACCTGGCATAACATTTTTCATGCTTTTTGGTGTGTAGAATTGGTTTTTAGGACCTAAATGCAACTGAATGACGGCATCAATGGCAACTTGGAGCAGCCCTGTTCTATACATGAAGCGCTGCCTCTGTGTTTCCATTCTTCAAAGCCCAACCTCTAGTCCTTAATAGTTCAATGCATTGCAAATACTTCCAAAATGTTCAAGATGAACCCTAGCATGCTTTGACTTAGTGCCTTGGCAAGGATGCTCCATGTAGGACTTTCCTTCTGTAATTCCAAAATTCACAGCTTTTGTACGTGGTACCTGGAGTTTATAAATCATTTCAAGAAAAACCTCGATTTCATTTTTTCTGTACTGTCTTCAAATAACTTAACCGACTGTATGGAGACTTGTGCAATACTCACAACTATAATTTTATAGACCCAAATATATTTTCGCCCACATCCTAACATCTTACAAAACATTTTGAAGGAAAGCAAAATAATTTCATACCCGTCTGGCCCAGTTGACTAAGTCATCAATGGTTGCTAATACAAACTCTGTAAAAAGACAGGATAAAGTTAAATGATCGTGAACGAGAAGATTGAATCAGAGTCTCGGTCAATATATTTCGCCTTGAAAACATGTGCACCGCATGGAACAGAACGCGACAATGTGGTTTAAAAGTGCGTGTATTAGATTATTGCTGAGTGGGATGTTAAAGCTTTACATGAAATGACATGGTCTCTAATTTGGTTCAGACTCGATTTTAATGGGAGAGACTGTGAAAATTTGCTGGAAAAAAACTTCGACCAAACCAGCGTCCTCTCAGGAAGAAGCAACACCAAGGAAAAAGCAAGAAACTTCTTAACAAAGAGTCATATTAATCTATTAGTCTTACCCCATGCCAAATATATAAAGTATAAATAAAAAAGATTCAAAACTTGCCTTGAATTTTGAGGAAATCGTGAATTTATGTTCATGCAATATGCAACATGGCAATAAATATAAAAAATTATGAGCTCCAAATAAAATAAAGTTTGATTTCTAAAATGCCAGAACTGCTTCTTGTAAAGCATAAGCGCAATAGAAATAAACCTGCAGCATTGTCGACTCTTGCCCTCAGCTTGCTTGGTGCTGCCGTGCTCTGGTTTCTGTATGGCACAAGACTACAATCAAGGTAGTGAAAATGAAGTGGAAGCTATGCAGCCCTAGCGTTTAAACAACATTCTGATAGCTTACAAATAAACATCCTTTAACTTCTAAAATCACATCAAAACAGCATCATTTTACAGAAATTCTATTCGACAAAGAGGAAAAAAATGAATGAATGCTAGAAGAGTTACTTGGACAGAGACATCTAACCAGACACAATTGTTATTTAAAACTGCGACGAATTCCAAATAAACCACTGTTTTAATTTTTTTCAGACAATAATCCGGTCTTTAAATAATGCGTATTAAGTACTTAAAAGACAAAGCATGATAAATGTTTAACTTCACAAACACATTTTAACCGCTCAAAGAACTTTCGTTGATAACGGAAAACGCCAAGGAGAAATACTGAAAGGAAAATGGCCGGGAGAGATCAGTTTCAATAAAACGCAAAGTCGTTGCATACCTTGTGCATGTGGTTTTAGCTGCAATCGGTGATTGGCCTTCAGTGCGTGTGCTGACACCTCGAGATTGCAGCACATTATTCAAACTAAAAGCAAAATACAAGCAAAAAAATAAGCATGCTATTGAGAAAGAGAAGAAGAAGCTATTGTGAATCGGAGATACAGTTAGAGCTGCCAACAAATCACTGAATAAAACAAGGGTGAACTTTGCATTATAGACTACCTTTCTGGCAAAAATTTTACGAAAGGTGTTGGTTATCAAAATCAATTTGAAACGGACAGCCTGAATCAGGTTCAATTCAGCAAAATGAAAACTATGCCTTCACTCTTCAACTGTATTTTCTGTACAAATAAAACAATATATCGACATATGTAACTTAAGATATGGGTAAAGTCTACAGATTAATGTACATTATAAATATAATCATGGACACATGTTACATACATCTTTAAAAATACAGAGCCACAAAAATCCTCACACTGTGCATAATATGCAAAAAGTGCAGAATATTGTCTTTTTAGGAGTCACCTCAATGCAATTAAATCAACATGTCCTAAGTCACAGTAAGAATATTTTATTTCCGAATGAATGCTATTGGTTTTGTATGGGATGTCTGTGAATTTATCGCAAAAAATATACACCAGATCAAAGCAGGGCATAGAATTCTGAGATTGGCAAAGCGACGAGATTTCATTAAATTAATTCAAAGTAATTTACAAAGCCTGTCAGTATGACTAACTAGAAATGCAATTCAAAATTTTTGATGAAAGTTCAAGTAAGAATTGCCGCCAAACGCCATTCAGACAGGTTTTTGATAAAGAAAAGATTTACAATGTTTGCTTAGTCCGATAAGATTGTCTTTATTTGACCTGGATATGCCAATGAAAATAACATCCAAGCTATTTCAATTACATTGCTTTCATTTTCTTTGCCGGCAGTTGTTTAACATACTAATAACTTACTTGATAGTCAAAATGAAGAAAATAAATTCTATTCTCTTTGTGGAGTCTTTGCCTGGAACCCTGATTTTGTATGCATACTTAAAGGATTGGATCCAACTATTTCAAATAGAAAGTGTTTATGCTCTTCGCAAACGTCCAAAAAGATTAGACGGTTTTTTAATCACTGGAAAAGTGACGTCTACAGCTCTAATACGAATTTGCAAATCGCCAAGCAAACAACAAGAAATCTCGTTACAGAATGACCTACAGCAAAGCTAGCGACCGTTCATTTTAGCGAGAAATTAAAATTTTTCATTTCAAAATCTGGGCAGATGAGCAAATATAGTAATCATTCTCTTTGAGATGCTGAAAGTAAAATGAACTGTCTGGTCATCAATTTAAAATGGCACATGGTTGACTGAGAGATTTCACATAATCCACGTCAAACCTTAAAGGTACTGATTAGGATTTCAATACCTCATTGCAAAAATATTAATATAATCAACAAAATGCTGGCAATTTGTAAGCAGATAATGACTCAGTTTTACACCTGACAAAATATGCCACGTTTTTATAGCTAATAACTTAATATACTTTCTACCCACCTTTCGAATTAAACCTTTAAATACAAAAAACTGCTGAGGTTCGATTAAAAAAATAGCTTTCTCTAGCCATAGACTAAAAACCACTTCAAGATATCATTTGAAACATCAATCATGAGAAAAAAAATGACTTTCCCTGTTTCACTTGCGAAAACTTAACGACATCTTCAACATCAATTCCTAGAATATGCTTGTTTCATAATGCTTACCATTTTTTTTATAAACAGCATTTATCAAATTCAAAACGGCTTTGTAATCAAAAAATTGTCCGGGCTCAAATGAAAGACATAAAAGAATCCAAAACCCAAAAGATCTTTAGATTTTTGTAATTCAAATGTTAATATCATTGCTGAGGGTAGGAGACATTTCTCTTGGACAGACCAAATTTATAGAAAAGACTTCTTGTTGGAAAGAGCTTTCAATTCAATCTCTGTGCCAAGACTGTTAGACAAGGGAAATGTTTTCCACATCTTTAATAAAACTAGTCAAATGCATGAACATTAATCACATTAAATTTTAGATTGGTTGGATGCTGCAAATAAGGTAAGACTCATTTTCTAATGAAATTTACCAGCATTTAACAAAATTTGCAGTGAAGTTAACCATGGTAACATTGTAATTTGGGCCATATTTCAATTACTTCCTGTCTTATTCATTGATCATGCTATCATTGTGACATCCTCCTTCAATATTCATGTCATTGTATACAACAGGACATTCACTCTTACATTGTTTACAGCTTAATTCATCAAAGTCATGCTGGCTCAGCTCCTCTTGCTTCTAAGCCTAGACCTTTCCTTATCCATTACATGACACAACATCATCATTACATCATCCCAATACATCCTTATTCTACACATTTATTTTTAGCCTTTCAGTTTGTATATAACTACAGTAATTAGTAAGAAACTTTAGTTCAGATTAGTGTGCAGTTAATTCAAATCCACAATCCTCACAAGATTTATCTCTTTCTAGCTCTGTCTTCTCCACATGTTAAACAGGGCTCTGGGTCAGAAACAACACATCAGTTGATGGATGTATAAATTAGTGCCTTCCGTACATCTATCATTGTTGCAATGTACACTAAGATGGGTTTTGCTTACCAATCTTTGATAGGCAGGTTCTTAAAAAAATGCAGACCATGAATTTGATGCCACCTAGCTTTAATTTTTATGAGACAATTGGCGTTCAGAAAGGTCCACTGTTCATGAAGTTGTGTTTTTACATACAGGCATTTCTGTCTGGTCCCTTAGGAAAAACAACAATGTACACTTTCATTGTTCACACTGCAGAACCAACAGGCCTATTTTCGTGGACTGGGATGGGATGAAAAAATGGGATAAAAAAATGAGTAAAAAACCAATCTTAACAGCTTTGTCAATGAAAAAGTGTTCTTTACCAATATCGAAAAATTGAAATCTTTTCAATTTGCTGCAATTCTCTTTCTTACCAAGGCTCACTTCAGTTGTTGTGGATGATTCACCTTATCCACAAGCAACAACCCGATAACCTTGTCCCGCAGCCTTTTATATAACCCAGTCCCTTGAAATATAACTCTTTCTCTTTTCACTGTATCTCAGCTTATGTGCTTCATGGAGGAAAAATTGACCACAAACTAGCTAATATAATTATTCTGAATATTTTTGACACTACAATTTTAATGCCTGTATGTAAAATTAAACTGTAAAGATATTGTAAAATATTCTATTTTGTATAACAATAAAAAACTTACCATGTAATGCTGCGTACGTAATTTGTAAAAACCCCTTTCAGCAACTCACTGTTTGGACCTAAAATATAAATAACAATCAGGGAACTGATAAAAGCATTTAAACTAATTTTGTTTCACTTAAACTATTGTACATATTTTATAAGAAACACTAGAATGATAGTTTATGATAAATGTTATCTTATTTCCTAAAAGAATCAGCTTTTGAAAAATTTCCACCTTTCTATTTAGATGTCAGAAGACAACAAGGCAAGAGTACATTCATTTAAAACTGCATATTTACATAACTGTTGTGCTCTGTTTAGAATTTATTGAAGCAAGCTACATAGAAAGATAAATGAAAATAACAAATGTAATAAAAATAACATATAAGAGAAGACACAGAAAGAAAAGGATTATCAAAAATAGCATTACAAGGACAATAAAAAATATATTTTCCTGGTTACTTACTGGTTACATGTTTGGTTACAGATTATGGAAGCAAATGACTAATTGGTGTCAACCATATGACATCCATATAGTAGAGTTTGCACCCCATATTTTAAGAAATGTCAAACCAAATTTTGACTCAAGCTAAAGATATCATAGCAAGAAAATCCGAGAAGGCAATGGGCCCTTTAACCTACAGCCAAAACTGAGGAACAAAGAGAATAACAAAACTCTGAAAAAGTATGTGGGACATGCATTGCCAAAAGTTTTGAAATGGAAGAGCTGTAAATGACAGTAGTATTGAAAGACTTGTATCCAGTAATAAGTTTAAACTGTGGCTTTAAGATTAAATTCATAAAATTATCTGTACAAACACGCCATTGAAAGAGTTAACAATGTGACTTGCATTCTTAAAACAATCTAGCAATAAGATAAAAAAACTAGTGCATGGCTCATACACCCAAGAACAAGAAGTAGATCTTATTTCTTAGAATTGAACCCTTGCATTGTGTCCCTTTACATGATTTGAAAAAGTCAGAAATCTCTTTCGACCTTCTAAAATATATGCTTTATGTATTAGGGGCTCTATTACTCTTTCCACATTATTTCATATTATTATTTTTGCCTAACTATTTCTGTGGAACTATTTTAAAGAACTTCATGAATTGAATTTTTATTTCAGATCACTGGAAATAATGGATATTATTTGTATTTCAGTGAACATGGATGTTCACTGCAGAAAAAGAGACGAAGACCATGTATTTGAAAATACTTTCAAAGCATTAAATTTGAATCATATCTCCAGTTTGCAGCTGTTTTTTAAAAACTGTGGTGACATGATTATGTATAAATGCAAAAAACATTCCTCAAGTGAAATCAACAAATGTTTCAGCTTTTTCATCATGCATCATTTTGACAAACTTTTCAAAACAATTCTAAATAAAAAATTCTGCATACCAGGCTGCAAGAATTAGCAAGTGAGTGGTTTATCCATGTTCATGAAAGAGGTTTTAGGGCAATGAAGCAATTGTTTAAGATTAGGAACTACAGCTTGACCTTTAGTGTTAAATGTTTTGATGATGGAAATTGGTAATAAACAGGTTGCATGCATAAAAATCTACTTAAAAAGTAACAAATATCTTCCTAGCTCTTGTTACACTTTAGCAAGGGATTTTTAGCTAATATCCTATAAAGTCATTACAAGGCTTGTACCCTCCTTTTCAATTCTCTGTTTTCTTTTGAATGAACTGCAGGTCAGCCACTTAGCTTCTGGAGGTTCTGGAGGAAAGACAGGTGAGATCCATGCCAGGTGGGATGAATAAATTATCATATGGGACCTTTATCCATGTAAACAAGAAAGTGAGAGCTGGCCCACTCAAACCTGAGGCATATCAATACACACCCACAGACAATAATATCTCAGTTCAAAATCAAATCAATGCTGACCAAAATAAATGTTTCATAAACAGTGGTGGCACCAGCTCTTGGGCTTTGAGGGGGTGGGGAGAATCTAAATTTATGGGCCACACCCTTAATGTCAGGAAATGCCATTTTACCAACAGGAAATACTAATTTTTCCAATGGCTGATGCCCATGAATAACATTTGGTTACATAAAGGCGGTTTCAAATTCATAGAGCCACACCACAAAAACACTTTTTCAAAGTATTACCCCTCCACCAACATTTTCTGATTAAATTGAGACAAAATAAAACATTGTTTCTTCTGAGAAGTGGGGGGGGGGCTGTCCCACTTGTCCCCCCTCCCCAGAAAGCAGCTTTTTTGTAAAGGAAAGCAAAAGGGCAATAAATACATACTTATAAAAAGCAGCTATTTCTCTTTCTCTAAATATATGAGATTGCATGCAGTACAATATAACTCTATAATAACGATAAATGTAAGTAAATTGAACCAGGAAAAAAATTTGATTAAATGAATAAACATTGTTTCAAGCATAGCCCATTATATTATTTCTTTCATTATATTATGGTCTTTTTGAAACATATCACATATCACAGACACATGAATAAGATTTATTTGATAACACAGAACAATAAAGTTTTTTCTATTGAAACACTAAATATGGCAAAACTATTAAAATTATGTAAATGCTACATTGTATAGTTTATTCTTGTTTCCCTCACAAGGCCATGTTTCTAGATTTTATTATCACTGTCTGACTCTGGCAAATCAGCTGTTGATGTCAATCCTTTTAAGTTGGGATGCTCTTTTGATGATTTATTTTCATTTTTCTTTTAGATTTGAGGCATTCAACCTCAGCTTTCTGAATGATATCTTTCGATTCATCTTTATTCCAAAGAGAGCAATTTCCACAAACAATTAAATTATCCTTAGGGGTAATGTGCGACATAGAGAGGTTTCAGTGACTTTAGAAATATGACTAAGTTTCACTTCTGTTCAGCAAAGTTAGACAAATAGATAAAGCAAAGTCAAAAACAGACAAAATAGCATAAGCAAATAAAAACAAAAAGCAGACCTGTTTGACCAACAAATAGCAAAGGGCAATAAATAATGTGATTGTCCATTGAAAATTAGGACCCGTTCCCATTACATTGGTTTGTACAAACACAGAGCTGAATTAAAGGTTTTTTATTTTGCGTTCCCATCGATGCACTTAAAAATGAAGGCATTTGATAATGATGTTCACAGATAATTGATTGAAATAAAATCATTTGAATGAAAAAGGCAAAAACAAAGTTGTTGGAGAATTGAGTCATTCTAAAAAAAATTGTTATAACGAGAAAATTGAAAACCAGTGTTGTTTGAAAACAAATTTATTCCTTTTCAGCTTCAAGATGAGCTTGAACAAATGACACAAAAACAGACAAAAAATAGTATGCATCCATAAATTTTATGAACAAATTCAAAACCAATAAGTTAAGTGGCTAAAGCAGTCTTCATCATAAAGATATTGTCATGTGTGTGGTAAATCGCATGCATAATTATTCCATGCGTGCAATTCACACTCTTACCCAGGATCTCCAACAACAAAAGGCCAGGGGGCCCCTCCCCATTTTTTGTGCAAAACAAACAATACTTTTTACATAATCTTTTGTTTTTAGTTTTAAACATTACTTTTGGTAGTGCTTTTGGTGAGTGCTTTTGGTGGGCGTATTGCAGCGCAATGCATGTATTTTTGGGAACTAAAAAGTTTTGCTCCGTATGCGTATGTATGCAGTTTTTGGCCTGCATAGGACATCCTATCTCCTCCGAAAAAGCTACTATAAGAATAAGGCAATGTTGCTCAACTTTTGGAAGCAAAACTTTCAAAATTTGAAGAACTACAGCCTTAGAAAGGTCAAAAACAACGATCAAATGTTTGAGTCATGCCTGTGCCAAATTGCTCTCATTATTTGCTCCATGCGTGTGCCGATGACAAAGACTGCAAAAGGGATTTAGTTTGCATCTAAATTTAACATAATCTGTCTTCAATAGCCATTTTCAATCTCATTTTGGTACTTAATTTATTTGTTCATTATATTGTTATTTTTAGGATAAAGTGTTACATGCAACTTATATAACAATTTTTAATACCAGTTAAAATTCTGCATGGAAACAAAATTTTGAAAACTAAAAAGATGATATATTTTGATGATGTTTATTTGCAATATTATAACTTTTAGTGTATGTATAACCCTGAATTTGTAACCAAAATTGTGGTAGTTATTAGCAAATCGAAGTCCCCACTATGAAGTCTTTTTTATGCCTCCTATTCATAAATTGCATACTTCCAACTGCTCTCTTGAAGTTGCAGTGTCAGAGAATTTGAAAATAGCACATTTGAGCCAAAACAGATCATATTATACTTAAGTTTTTTTTGATCTGTCAATGGTTAGAGTATAAACATCAGATAATTTCCAAAGCTAAGCAGAAATCAATATCCAGATGCAGATCAAAAGAAATGTGCATGCTGATTGGTTCTTTGTTTCTAACCAATTGCAGCCAAAGAATAACGTATCCCTTCGTTTGCCACTACTAAGAGCTGAAGCTGCAAGAAAATCGTTTTTGTTTCAAGGACCTCGCTGTTACAACGATCTTCCCTTGAAGATTCGTTCCTTGAACTCTATCGTGCTATTTCGATCAAGCCTGAAGGAGTACTATGTTTAACAGTAATTCCCTCCAAATCTAAAATATTTCTTGTTGAAACGATTTCTTGCAAAAAAATTTTCTTGCAATTACTTCGCCTAGTTTTAAATTGTATTAGGATTACTATATCATTATTTTATTACAATTTAATTCTAACAGGGCCCTTGTTGATAACAGTACATTCTAGTACTGATAAGGAATTTTTACCCTGTATAAGTATGTATATTATTATTATTATTATTAGCTCTCACCTAGTTGAAGAGGCTGGGAGAGAAAATTTTACTCTTTCTGTCTACACAGGTCAGAATATTTTGTTTTGATGTAGACAAGTTCAAAAACTCCTAAATGAAAAGGCAACCTTGCTTACCCGATGATCTCAAACTGTTCTCACTTTGGTTTTGGTTTAGTAATGTTATTACACACTCTAGATTCTTAAGTAAATGTTGACCTAGCTGTATCACATTTTATCTGGGGATTCTGTTTTTACAAAAAATAAATAGCTAAGACTACATAAATTTTAACCAAATTTTACGAAGAGTATCTTACCACATTCATGGGCTCCGACAAAGGTTGAAAAGTGAGGGGGGGGGGGAGCCAAGAGAAAATTTAACACCCATAACAAAAGATTTTGAAAAAAACTCTATTGTTTTGTGAAGCCCCCCCCCCCCCCCCTTTCATTGTAGGCCCTTACATTGCACTTAGGTCTGAAAACTGTGCTCTTTTTGTTCATTTCAAAATAATTGGCATCAGAAATTTTTGTTAAATCGGTTACCACAATTATCCAACTGCTATATTTTAGCCATAAAGAAATAATTAATAGAGAGTGCGGGAAAATAACTGACCCGAGCGAGGCTCGAACTCACGACCCCTGACTTTGTACGTCAAGTGCTCTACTGCTGAGCTATCGGGTCGTGCTTTCAAGCCAACACCCAAGACCGAGTCATTCACCCACACTTCCCCTCTCTTTTACCAGGTACACAGGGGAGCCATCGCAGCTCCATCACAAAGTGCAGAGGACCTGAAGAGTGAGAGAGGACTGCCCACACCAGGAGGGCCATCGCAGCCCAAACACTGGATAGGGTTGAAGAGAAAGTTTAAAGACAACAGGATTTTTGAAGATAATTAATTATCTTCGAAAATCCTGTTGTCTCTAAACCATAAAGAAATGTTTTAAAGATTAGAAGCTAAGTCTCTTAGCTAAAACTTTAGTTAAGCATGATTTTTTGCTGAGGGAGAAGTTTGACCTTAATTTCTTTTATAATATTGCTCTATCAATATTTGCTGTGCAGTGCAAAAATAATTGTTCCCAAACCTGATAAAAAGGTTCTACTAGTTGTGATGCAACGTTTTCATAAAAAAGACTTCAAACAAACTCATGGGATATGCATCTTCATGAAAATTGATGATGCATCTGCTATAAGCTGTTTGATGTTTAAAATGACGATTAGATACGATGTGTTACAATGAATGAAGAACTATGCAGATTGTCATAATTAATCATAACAAGCAGTTTCCTTACCAGAAATTGGGAACTTCAATCTCAGGGCGGCCATTTTTGAGGTGTTTTATAACTTTACCTCTTTCCGTTGAAGCCTCTTTCTGAGGCTCTGGCAAAATGGCGAATATCATGAGGGCCAAGAAGTTTATAATTTGTGCCAATAATCTAATTTCAACATCGTCATTTCTTTGGCCGGGAAAGTATTTTTGTGGTAGAAGAATTCTTGCATCAGTGTTCTCGCGGCTTTATTCAGGTAAATTATTGCTATTTTCCCTTTTTTTGCTTTTTTATTCACAATAGTAGCACTTTCTCTCCTCTCTCTCTGTTGCCCTGAAACTACCCTATTTTCATCAGCATCTAGGCAACTGCCAACCCTTTCGGAACGGACAACGGCACCAAAGGTTGTAGACCAGGCTAGAAAGTGCAGGGTTTTTCGACAAGATCTTGGTTCATCAGATGCTTTCAAGAAAAGTTTGGCAACGGAACATTGATCGGGTTTTCTTCAAATCAAGTTCAAGCAGAAACTACAAACTATATTTGAAATGGAATAAGCTTCAAGGAACTGAGCTTAATGATAAATTTGAGAATTTACCAAAAAAATATCAAGCTAAACAAAGAGTGTGTTCAGGAGCTCAGGCCCAACCATTTAGACTTAAAGTTCGACAAACATAAAGCACCAGGCCAGACTGTAAAGTAGTTTTTCTGCGCAGGGAACAACAGAGTAATAATTTTGAAATTTGCGGATAATGAACGTTTCCTGCGAAATCTTGCGCGGAATTTAAAGCAAAAGATTTTGAAGAGACCTTGTACTATTTGTTTTTTCTTGTTATCAGAAATCAAAAGTGGAATATTCGCAGGGAATATGGCCAGATAAACAAATATTGTAGGCGGAATCAACAGCAAATTCTTAATAGCACCCGGGCAGAATTAAGAATCAAAATTATTGCAAGGGGAATGCGTTCCCTACTCAGATAAAACTTTTCAGTCTGGGCACCCTGTGTTAGTAACGTTACCTGACATATACGGGCATATACCTGACATACATGAATTTCATCGCCTATTCTGGACGCCCATATATCTCAGAAAAGCGCCTGTATATGTCAGGTAATGTTAGTAACCCTGCTCACATAAAGAGCACTTTTTAAAAGTACAAAAACAGTCCAGGCCTAGTGCCCCAAGTTGCTGTGATAGTGTAGTGTTCCAAACTGCAAAAACAGTAGGGATGTACCGGGTATCCGGTAGATCGGATAATCCGGCGCCGGATCGCTGATTTTTTGAAAATCCGGTTCTGGCCGGATTTGTTTCCGAAATCCGGCCAGTTGCCGGATTTTCCAGAACTTTAATCAAAACTAAGAAAATTTGGAAAACCAAGTCAGACTCCCTTCATACAGTGATTAAAAATGGATTTTCCAGAACTAAGCAATATTGACGATAAAACAAGCGCCTTGAAAACAGATTTGAAATGAAAGTGCTCGTCATCACGAAACAGGAAGACTGGATGATATAATTCACAAATTTGATCGGCTTTTTAGGCCAAATTTTTCATTTTTGGTTTTTAGACTTAGATTGCCTGGAAAAATTGTTTTTTGCTTACTACTTAAATTTGACCTTGTTGGCCTTTTCAGCAGATGTCTAAAATTAATAAGTAATTACTACATTCATAGAATAATTAGTAGTTAACTACAAAGTGTTAACCAAATTTCAAATTTTATCACCTAACCTAAATATTATCTTGATATTAGCAAAGGGTTTTGGAAAAAAGTAAGATTCTTATCAAAGTTAAGAAGTTATCTAACAGGCACAAGCGTAGAAATATAACCAGTGCCTGCTCGATGGATTCTTGAGAGATTTTTTTTTATTTGGCCTTTTTATGAGCATTTTGGCTTAAATTGCTCACCAGTCTAGCCTTCGTTTGTAAATTCAATCTGGCAACCCTGAATAGGTCTCTTTGATCTTCTCGCTATACATTTTTTCGCAAAGTGGCTGAAAACTTTTTATTACTGAAAATTCTATAAATGGTCAGATTAGACTGAGAATCTGGCCGGATATTCCATGAAAAATCCGGTTCTGGCCGGAATCTGAAAATCCTGATCCGGTACACCCCTGAAAAACAGTCCATTCCTAGTGCCCTAGGTGACTAGCCTCTATGTGTGCTATTCATGCAGCACAGGAATAAGAATATCACAGATAGGGAACAATTTTTACTTTGCTTATAAGAATGAGTTTTATTCTTGCCAAGGGGAGAACAAACTGGGAAAGGAATGGTGATCCCTTCCTATTCAATGCTCTACTTTAGTAAAGATTATGATAATAAAAAGACAATTTCTGAAGAATTTATACTAGCTTTTATTCTTTGTTTGGATTTGATATTCAGACTGCTTATGATTATCTAATTGCAGATCATCCACAAGAGGTTTGCAATGGTGCTAACATCTATAAAGAGGGCCAGGACCCAGCCTTAAAGCCAGATTCAGACTATCCCGAATGGTTGTGGAAATTAGATACAGAAAAAATAAATTTAGAAGATCTCTCAATGGATGACAAGAGATATTGGCGAAAACTAAGGAAAGCCAAAATAAAACAGCATAATGCACTTAGAAAACAAGGAAAATTAATTTAGGCATGTTTTCTATGTTTACCAGCAACTTTTTGAGTGACAGATTTTCACTTTAAGATGATGTCCCTGCTAATGTCCAAAGGCAAGTGATGAAGAATTATTGACTCTGCTTGTTATCTAAATCAATTCTTAGTCATTCTAGTTTACAATAAAAAGTCCTTTGTCAGCAGCAATTTATGAATTCGTGTAGGATGCTACATACTTTTTTAATCATCTATACTTCTGCTTGAATTGTTTCCAGTAGATTTAGCATCCTATTGTAACAAATTCTGTAGATGCCCACACATCCTCTGAAGGTAGCATGCCCATCTGTGCCACATTTTAATGCAAGAATACCAAGCATTGTATTAGAATTATTATTATCAATAAAATCAATGAAATTCTGGCTATCAATAGTGTTTTTAAAGAAGGCTTCTGCAATATAAGTGTATAAAGTCCATTGGACCTGAACACGCAAATGCAAAATTCCCATCTAATTATGTTTAAGTTGCCTTCATGTACTATAACTGCAGGCTGCAACAAACTCGGCATTTTTTTTGCATAGAATTGATCTGATGTTCTGATTTGTTAGCAATCTTATTTTTACTACCAGTTTTTCAGTTAATGCCTTTAGAGCCCTTTTATTACAATTTTAGAGAGTTTTCCTGCTAGAACCTCAATGTCTATGTACCGTATTTCCTCTAAAAAACATGGCAGTGTTTATTACAAAATCCAATTTTGAATGCAGCGTTAAATAGAGGGGGGCTTCTATCAGAAGGCTGCATTTAATGCATAATGAAAAGTTTGTCAAATGAAAAATGACATAAAAATTGCAATGAAAAACAATAAAAACGGACTTTAAACAATGTTTTCTTTTTCCCAAAAACACTTGATAAAGATTTTGTGAAAATTTTTCAATGTTCACATAACAGAAATGTCAATGAATGTCAATACCCCTGTCTCTGTCAGAGTTCAGTCCTCGTCTCTATGACATAACAACTTTCATGGCTTTCCAACAGTAAGTGTATGAACTATTTGTTACTTCTTGTTTGGTGTATTTTCTAATGAACGCTGCTTTTCAAGATGCGGCGTTAAAAGAGGGTGGCATTTATCAGAGGGCGGCGTTCTTTAACAAATGGTTGGCTGGAGGTGCGGCGTGAATGGCTTCCTTGACATGATTCACCAATGAGCAAGCCAGCCGTTGTCTTTTCAACAGCATCTTGTACTAAATAAGCATGGCCAGATTCATTTCTGCTGACAATCTTGCCACTGAGATTTTCACTTAAACCTTGCCAATTCTTGTTAAAATGTTAAAATGAGTATCAAAAGTGAATTCTACAATAAATTTTGCGTAAGAAAGATAAGAAAAAATGGGATATTTAATCAAAATCCAAAATTTCAATGTATACATCTACCTTAACAGTAGGCGTTGTAGCGTGATTATGATAATATTATGTCTATTTTGTATTCCAACAAATAAGAAATTCAAATGGACAGCGAAATGCATCGGGACATAGTGCCTTGAAATTGGTTGGAAGAAATCAGTTCAGTAGCGGTTTTTCAGAAAATTTCAGGAGGGGCAACAGTGTGAAATTTGCCGACTGTTACATGGTAAATGGTGTGGCTCATGGTAAATGATGTGGCTCAAATTAGCTTTGGACCGTTTCCAAAATGTGATGTGAGGACTTTTCTGGTCCAGCAAAGCTAAACCTTCCTCAAGCTAAATCTTCCTCAAATTTGATGTAAACTTAAAATGAACTCAAAATGAACTTTCTTTGAGAATTTTGAAGCCGTCTTAATACATGATATTCAATTTCAAATTTCCAAAACTGGATTGTAACCTGTTTCAAAACAATTTTTCTGAGAATATCTTTATTTGCAAAATCATTAAGCGGGTTGTCATACGATACAACATGCAGGGTTCATAATCAGCGAAACGAAACGAAACGAAACGAAATACTGCGAAATATAAAAAATAATAACAACAAAGAACGCCAAAGGTCTCAAACCATATCATAATATTATAATAAGCCCAACGGAATCACTAAAAGCCCCTTTACATTAAGGCCAATATTACAAATACTTGATGAGATGTTTGCAAAAGAGTCTATTTTTGCAAAGAGTTATAAACCTCAAACGTTCCACGAGACAAACTTTGTTTTTATTTTTTTTTGCCCCAATTTTGTTTTCAATTGAGAGAAGCTATAGCCCCTTGAGTTGTTGCTGACCAATCTTGTTCGTCTTTAGTTTTGACAAAGACCCCTCAGCACTGGCTGTTTTTGCAAACATATTTGATAGACTCTATACCACAGATTTGGGCCTTACACAATCCGGTTTCATGCATTCCCTTTTCTCATTGTTTTTGGAAGCTTTCTAAAAACTAGACCGAGTTAAGGCATTTTGCGTTAAAATTTGGGTTCTCTGACAATATATATGACCTATCCTGCATATCGATTCTACTTTGCTTTATGTGAAAAGGGGTGCTGCTGGAAACAAAACCCAAATGATTGAAGTATTAATTTTAGAAATTTGTTTGAAAATTGCAAAAAAGCAAATACTAAGAATTACCGAATGGATATTTGGACTCCAGGGGGAACAACTACCACCCTCCCCCTAACAACCGCCACTGAATCAGTTATATGACAGCTTTGGCATTTACAACCCATTTCTTGACTTAACAGTACTTTGCAATTGCATCCTTGAAAAGTATTGAA